GGATAGGGCAGTTTGAGTAAATATATCTTCAATATTTTTTTAATAAACGGGAAATCATTAATGTTAAACGAGTAAAAGCTGTTTACACCAGTTGGCTTGTTTAATACGGAATAACCTATAGTTTCAGTATTCTTTTAAGCTACCTACTCTTATAAATTGTATCAAAATTGATGTTGCAAAACGTCAGAAAAGTATTGTCTATTGAATTAAACTAAAAATGTATTACTATTTCGTTGGAAAAAATTGTACTTACATTTTACATTATCTAATTCGTTTCAAGTTACTCCACCTTGCCCTATTAAACTTATCTAGATGTCACAGAGCAAAAGAAAAATGTACAACGTAAACCGGAATATTATAAATAGATCTGAACACACATCTAGAAATAACGAATTTCAGCTCTACCAGTTAGCGATTTAGTTTATTATTTTACGTAGGTATAAAAGTATCTTTAAACAGTTAAATAAAAATAAATTTGTTAATTCAAATGAACTACTGATAAGACAAAAGAATTTTTTAAAAATATTTTTAGTTTTATATTATAAACGTTAAATTTGCATTGCCACACGATTAGCTCAAGTCAGCGTCCATATTATTTTGTATGTGATACTTGCGCAGTAATAATTATTGTTATAAATGGCCAATGGGATCCAAAAAATGTAGGACCTTAACTTTAAGAGAACGCCACATCTTTGTCAACGCCTACAGCGACTGTTGCGATATCTTGATTAGATTTCAAGTTTAAATTACTTGAATTGAGAAACAAAAACCGCAGCCCAGACCGATCCTATTTTGGCGCCGATGAATAAATAATACTGTTTTCGATCGATGTGGTCGGACTATTCTAGAAGACATCTCTGACCTAATGTACAAATAATAATTATTACCATTGGATATTATGTTTAAATATTACACAATTAATCATATTTTCATAAGCAGTCCGGCCGTTCCTAGAACTACTTAATAACAGAGTGTCATCGTGATTTTCTGCATGAAGTATTATTTACATATTATTACTATCATGGTTCACATGGCTGAACTATAATTATTATTGTTATGATTTGAAAGCACACATATATGTATAGGATGAAAAAACAAGGCAGAACCACTGAATAATATCGTTATTGGCATAGGCGGAATCCAGATAAATATGACAAATTGTTGCGTACTAAAAAGATTAATATATTACATGTTTTCAATGACCTCGAGGTTAACTGTTTATGGGGAAATATAATATTTAAGGAATATTAGAACAAGAACGCTTATTTGCCAAAAAAAAAAGGTTTAAAAGTATTTTTCTACTTTATGTCTACTCCTCCGGAATTTCATTCCAAGAGTTTTATCACCATTTAGAAAAGAAAACTTAGTACAGACCATACTAATAATTATCATTAGCGTAGCACGGTGTAAACCTCGTTCTGTTGTATCTGTTATTATAATGGGGATAATAATAATAGTAATTAATATTCCCATATAATTACAGACTGCGCGCCGTAGATGAAGAAACGCTGTCGTTAACGAAAACAACAGTATTTACACCTATTTTAATGTCTTAAGAGATTGACCGGTTATACCGACTAATCGGCGGTCATAATATTTTACTGGTCAATAATGACACTTGATGAACGACAATATAGACTAGCAAAGAAATAATATACAATTTTTAGCCGCCATTTTTGCGTGGGCACATAATGCACGGTTCAATAGACCTGACCGGCGGTAACGTTTGACTCGATGGATCCGCCACGGGTGAAAGTGCAAACGTTGTTGCAACCGTTCTGTGCAAATACAATATGCCTACACACTTATGCCATTTACCGACAATAATAATTATTGAGCTATATTGTAAGATTCCTACGCACCATTGTGAAGACGTGTCCGGATTAATATAAATAAACCACTACCGACGCCCAACCGATTTGCTCCAATTAGTCGCTTGCCAATAAAAGCCGGACGAAATTAGGTTATTGAGACGTTGCACATCTTTATCGTTATTATGATTTTATGATATTATTATGCAAGCTTCTTTGTTCACAGCATTTTTTCGAAATAACAACAATTCTTGAAAAAAAAAACAAAATTGACATGACACGAGTTTGGTATTTTGAGGTGGATGAGCAAAATCGTAGGGGCGAATTCTTTAACCTTGTCACGCCTGCAAATCAAGGGTTCACCTTAAACCTATGTAAGGCATATTTGACCATCATGACAGTTCTTACCAGTTTAGCATACACAATTGATATATTAGTTTGAATGATAATGAATAGTTGTCGAAAGGCGTATCCGGGGAAAGTAAAAGTACTATGGCCATTCCCGAAAATTGTAAACATTGTCAACAACTAAAGGATAAAAGACCTCTAGGTCAAATTATTAAAAGTTTCAATTTTTATAGGATGTTTTGAGCTCAATATTTAGCTACCTCGCTATCTGTATTCAAAAGATATATTTTCTATACGTAGAATTACTAAAGCGAACGGTCAACCGTTGTGGATTTTGAACGAATTACATAAATAGCAATATGTGATCATGTCTCGAGCTCCCTATAGGGTATTTAAATATGAATTTCGTCACAACTGATCGAAGAGGCCACGTTAATTGATAATAGTTATCTTAGAAGCTGCATATGTACAGTGTACACAGATGGGTTGACAGAGAGACACACTCGCATCATCAATCAAACGGGGAATGGTCGTGCAACGCCGTATTGATTTTCAGAACATTCATTCGCGTTAATTGGACCTTTCTAAACGCGACGATTCCATTGTGCACTACCATCCTATAACTCTTGTTCCTATAGATCTAGCAAGTCTATATGATTGCATACTTATTAAATTTATGTAGAGAAAATATACTCTAAGACGATGTGTGTGTAAAGAATCATCAGTGGTGCCGAAAACTTGATTGGACGGATAGGTCATAGGCCAGTGATAAGTTTAATATAATATTATGTAATATAATAATAATAAATTATTTATTACAGTACATATTGGGAAACCATTAAAAAAAAACCTTATTTTTATTGTAAAATCAAAACTAAATTGATGTATGCCGAAAAAAGTGTATGACATAATTCATTATTAAATTTCAAAATAATATCTTCACAGCATCGCATTAAATAGTAGTTGGACATTACCAATTATTATAATCAAAAGATGCGCCGATGCGTATCTGACATCGTTAAAATTTCCAGTTTCTCTCATTATTTAGTGTAAAATACTAAGAGCCACTAGTTAAAAAGTAAAATATTAAACAAAAAAAATATAATTTCTACCGGTATGTCGTTGAGGGACGAGGGTATTTCTAGACTAAAAACTATTTTTAGCAATGTATATTGGTAAAACTACTAAAGACTACAAGAGCGAAATCACTTAAGAAATCTTTTCGTTGTATATATTAACATAGATTTTACAATAGTAAAATTCATTTAAAACGCCCAAAATACTAAACATGTTTGCTTTAAACAAGTTATTAAAAAAAACATTCAAGTCATAAAAAAAAAAATTCCAAACTATTAAAATTACTTATCCTACTGCATTTATTATAACCTATATCGACCTATTTGATAATGAATAAGCGTGATACGCGGTTCATACTGGATTTTAAATTCTTGGCAATCTCATAAATATTACATTAATTTATCTGTTTTCCCAGTTAACAAAAACGTTATTTTCAAGAATCGGTACTAACGGCGGTATGGACTTTTTGAAATTGAGTCGTGCTCGGGGGCATTTGTTCGTCGATCAACGGCCTTACTGGTATTCAGAATGAAGGCTAAAATGTAAAAGGACGAACGTCTCCCTTTCGTTGGCATGTTTTTCCTTTATCCGAGCAAATCGTTGCCGTGAAGTTATTGGAATTTCGCTTTCTTCGACTTGGTGCTCGACGTAACCACGGTTCCACGGTTTCCTGTGTGGTGGTGCCCGTCCTAATCCAGCGGGGGTCGAGTCGAGTCGTGACCGCACCGGTTGTTCTCACGGCAATCCTCGGTATATCGTGATGCCTACTCCTTTCCCTTACAGTTGAATAATAATAATATTACCGATAGACATGGAACATAAGAAATAATAATAATCGATAACTGGATCTTGGTCGGGCCCGCACGCTGATTATTATTTCCATTTGGGAAACGAATAAAATACAAACATCCAAACCGCGGATCCGCTATACCGGTATATTTATATTGCGGTGTGTTAGGCAACTGCGATTCTTATCCACGAACCGATGCTCCGGCGTGCGAATCCTTTTAAAAAAAAAAATCTAGGTCGCAATCACAATTACAGTAAGACAAAACAACTGACGGCACACATTCGATTTCCTTGGCGCGATTACCCGTAAATCCGTCGCAATACAACAATTGTTATGTCCATTGTTTACATATGCGCATTAACCGCGGCTCCATTTAAATGCAATATAAATACCATAGACTTAGCAGTAGTTTTTTTTAGGTTCAACTTAAGTTATATTACACTTTTTGTAGCTACAATTTTTTTACAGGAGAACTTTGCAAAAGTGATCATTTAGGATTTTAATATTTTACATTCTTGATTTTTTAAAAAAACATGTAGGTTTTGTAATTAAAATGAAAAAAAAATTGATGTTGATAACTTTAAGAGCTTGTTGTGAATTGGAAAAAAACAAAATGCTACACACTTATTGTGAGATATTTGACTTAGCTTTGCGGAAGTTCAAAGAAATCTGTTTTTAACGTTTTAGACCAAAAAACCTAAAAAAAATTCGACTTTTTAAGGTGGTTAGATTATAATTCTGTAAAAAGATACGAGTGCTTTGTTTATATTACTATTTACTAAGTTATGTAAGAAATGGGTTTTTAAATTTTTTATTTAAAAAAATTGTTTTTTAACATTGAAAACTTTTTTAATTTGATTGGTTTAATTACAAGAAACTGGATTTTTTAATGAAAATCGGTTTTCTACATAACCTAGGAAAATAGCAAAAACACTTGAATTTTTTTACAGAGTTAAATTTTGTAATTTTTTCAGGTTCTTAGGTCTGAAATACCACCAAAAAGAAAGAGCTTGCCAAGAAGATACAAAATATGTAATTAAAAAATTCAAAATAAATTATTTAAGTTTTTACAATTAAAAATATTGTCAATTTTAATTAAATTTTTCTCTAGCCACGCGATTTCTGAAACCGAAGACCGGGTTTGGTTTTTTATGGTTTTATTAGAATCATCATAGAAGTGCAGTGTAGAGTTTCAGGACTTTATCTGGTATAGTTTATTTACTACAGAGTCTTTAAAGTTGTATTTCATAAAAATACATTGATTTCCCCTAAATTTTCATACTTATCGAACTAATTTCTTAATGGAGTATTACTTACTCCATAAACTAAGATCAAGAAAGCCTACAGCCGACCCCGATTTTGCAAGCTTTTTTTTTGTTATTATTCTCGATAAAAGTCTCAATTTAAAGTGACATTAAATTCTAGCATGATTATACTTCTTTTATTCACTAACTGTAAAGAAAACAATCTTTAGATCATATTATTTGACAGTCAAATTAGTTATACCTCGTATATAATATTTAAAATTAGTAACTCGAGAGCTCGCCGATTACCGATTTTATATCTGGAGAGGCATCATCTAAGATAATTTTTGACGACCAAGTCCAAATTGACCTTTATCTATTATTGCCGGTTATGTCGTAGGGTGGGCGACCGTGACATTTGCCGCGCCTGTCAGAATTCCAAACAGCGCATCGTGTTAGATTATCCCTCGTTAACACCGCAAGAACTAAACGACCACTCTGCCGCAGAAACAGATAAGAGTCATACAAAGTGAAAGCTCAACGGTTTCATAACAAATCAAATCGGCATTAGTCAAAAACAAAAATACAGAAATGGTGGTTAAACACTACGAGGATGTGCGACATGTTATTTTCATTGCATAATGAACACTCGTACGTTCCATTGTAGTTATGCAACAACTGAGCATTATCGACAGCGGCGTTAATAATTCCCTTAAACATATTCCTTATCTCGGTGCAGTTGTTAATAATCATTTCTTTTTTGTGTATGCGTATAAGCGACTGCCGACTACGGTTGCATCATTATAGCCGGGTTAGGCGCCTATGGGCTCTAGGTCATAGGTAAAATATCTGTAAGAGGAGCGTCTTACCTTTCACCTTTTTAACGATACGGATTATTTTACATTTGTTTCAGATATATATGTTATCCAACATGACCACCATCAGAGTTTGGGCGATCGTCACGCTGTTTGCCTGTAATACATATTATATTTTATTTACGCATATTATTAACTGTTCAATTATAATATTTTAAACGTTTTATATCGTATTTCACTAATCAGGTACGGCTTACGGCCAAAGGAGACCACCGAATTACCAGCAGAACGAAATGCCGACCACTAGTTTTAGCTGCAAAGATAAAATCGTAGGCGGATACTATTCGGACCCAGAAACAGATTGTCAAATGTTCCACGTCTGTGTCAATGTCGCCGGCGTCGGAGTGAGTACAAACGATTGGACTTTATCGTCGTGTCTTGTATGTGTTATAAAAAATAATAAAAATTGTTTTTTTAGGTCCAAGACTTCAGATTCCTTTGTCCGAACAACACAGCGTTCGACCAAGAAAACCAGATATGTGACGACTGGTACAATATCGATTGCGAAGCTGCCACGTTGTACTACAGTGACAATTTTGATTTGTACAGACTGGGTAAGGGTTCGAGGAATAAAAATATTGGTATGCGTGACCACAGGTCATTACAATATTTCTTTTCGTTTCGCAGGTGCTGGATCTCCGAGCCTATCGGCTAAAGTCACGCCGATTCCATTGGGCCCTTCTAGCGCATCGCCAAAGACTCAGAGCCCGCCTAAACCCAAGAAGCCGCTGCTGTCTTCCCCGGTCAACAACGCTGTGTCTGAACACGATGACGATTACTATTTGCAAAGGAGCGATTCGACGGACAGCAAACTGCAACATGACTTGTTGCGCGGCAGTAGCTCAGGAAATTTCTTTAGCAACAAAAATCGCGGCCTGGAAGACGACGACTACGACGACACTAGAGTAGCGTCTTCAAAGGACGACGTGAAGAAAACACAAAAAACCAGAAAGCAATTGACAGGAAGAAAACCTGTTGAACGTATATCCACCACAACAACCACCACCACCACCACCACCACTACAGGCTCTCCGTCGAGCACGACTACATTGAGGCAACAAAACTATAGACCAACCACCTATCGAAGCAAAGACCGCGGTCGCATTAATTACAAGACTTATCTGGACAAACAAGCCAAAACGGACGATTACGAATTTCAGAAAATAAAGACTGTTCAATCCAGTACTATTGCACCGATCAGTAATACTTTCCAAACTACACAATTCAACAACAACGCGTATACACAACCCCCTCAAGTGAATAACTTCAACCAAGCCAGAAACATTGACAGTCAACGCACTTTCTCCAGTGTCAATCAATTTCAATCAGCCAAAATTAGTACGCAACCACCGAAAAATAATTTCCAAGGAAATAATTACTTTGCCAAAGTTCAAACTAGCAGTGCTCCTCAAATTCAGAATTTCCAACAATCAAATAATGTGAATCAAGCATTCCAAAATGTCAATAATCAAAACCAAGGACTCAGCAATAATGTATACCAAGGTTACTCAACCACAAATCAGCCATTTACGACTAATCAAATAAATCAGGGTTTCTCCTCGAATAACTTCAACCAAGGCTTCCAGCCAAACAATAACTTCAACCAAGGCTTCCAGCCAAATAATAACTTCAACCAAGGGTTCCAGTCAAACAATAACTTTAACCAAAATTTCCAATTCAACAAAGTCGCTGCTTCACCTTCAACCCAAATTTCTAACCAAAACCCGACTACTAAAGTCTACCAAACAAATGCGTACCAAGGCAATCAGCTCCCGAGTTCTACCGTCAAATACAGTCAGCTGCCAGTTTCAAACTTCAACCAACAGCAGCCAGCTGTTAATTTTTTCCAACCTTCGACCCAGTTCAGCTCTAACGTGTATCAAACATCGCAAGCGTCCACCCAATTCCAACCGACAACGGAACATTTTTCTAAAGACTACAAAGCGAAATTCGACCCATACAACAGCTACCAAAGGGCCAACGAAGAACCCGGCGAAACGTTGAGGACCGCGCAGAGCACAAACTTGAGACCCAGCGATTTGAACGCCTTATTTCAACCCAAACCGAAAACTATTAACGCTACGCTTTCGGTCGGATTCAATTTCAATCGAAATGATGGCGGTGTCGCAAAATCCACAGTTATCGTTACATCTCCAACCACGCAAAAACCCAGGCCATTCTCAGTGACTACACCGATTCCAAGCACAACCACCACCACTACCACCACCCCCTCCTCCACCACCACTACTGTTCTTCCTTTGAAAAACAATAAAGACTCCAAGGATTCGTCTTATGATTATGCATATTACGACGATAGCAATCATAATGAATACGAAGACAACTTTGGTGAAGATTTCGCTAGAACTAAAACCTTAAAAAAAGCATAAATATTAAATATTAACATAAGTCATACAAATAATGTAATGTAAGTTGTTGTAAATAAATTATACGTTTTTTTTATGTGTGTAAACATTTCAATTCAACTATTCGGACTTACAACCTTCGGCTTCTATCTCCTCCATTTCTTCCGTTATGCCACTTAAGTTGATGGGTATTCTATTGTAGAACTCTTTTTCAAACCGATTTATGTCCCGTTTGAATCCGAGTGATTCTCCAAAAACCAAATGTTTCACTATATCGTAGTTGTTCAGCAAATCCCTTTTAAACATTTCCATTAGTCCTTGGTTGACCTTTTCCCAGTTTGATAAAGATTTTAAACTCCAAAGCTGGTACGAGTGTTTCCAGAACGGTTCTGATTGTTTAAGCGAGTGTAAATTATGCAAACAATCCATAAAAATAAAATCTGACTTATAGAGTTTTGCTGTTCTTGTTTCGTCTATTGATATTGGTAGTATATTACATTTATTTTCTATCAATTGAGCGCTGCCCCATAGAAAAGGCAAATAATGATAATCGTTTAAACCAAAACTTCCTAATTTATTTGACGGTATTAACCCATAAACTTGAATCATTTCTTTAATAATTTGAAAATACCTAAAAAAAAAATGTTAATTATTTATTTTAAACCATATTTTGGAAGTTACAATAGACAATTTTACTAAGAAATTTTAGTAAAAAATTGTCTAAAATAGTTGTTTAACATTTTTTTTTCACATTTATCTAAATATAATTCAATTTATCAAATCATTGGATAATTAACTTGAACTATAGGTTAAATGTTTGTTCTAGACATTGGCGCAACTAGAATTTATTTTCTAGTGGGGTATACATTCTATAGACTTTCTTTAAAGTAAATCAATGTTTAATGTAACTTTTATTTAGGTAACTAAATTATACTTAAAAAATTAAAAACTGTAAAATAACATGCCATTTTATTGTAAATCTTGAAAACTTGAATTTTAAATTCTAAAAAAACATTTGCGCTACTGGTTATAAAACGTATTATAAAAACGTATTTCATACGTTTGATAGAAATAGCTGAAACCCTAATAATAAATATTGTGTACGTTGTAATATAATATGGAACGATGAAATTAAATAAATTACAATATGTACAAATAATAAATAAACATTTACGATTTAATTAAAAAAATATTAGAATATTAATTATATAAAGTATCTTAAGTTATTAAATTGAAAATTATTGAAATTCAAATTATTTTTTTCGTTATTACGAAAATCAGACATTTAAAAAATCAAATCATCAATACAATTATAACAATATAATATAATAATATATATTGTGAAGTTTTTATTGTGGTTTTTCGATTAGTGTATTTGAATGATTTGTGGTTAACACAATACTATTACTTCCATATGTTTTTTTGTTTTTTTTTTTTTGTACATGTGCATTATGCGATTTTGAACTCTCCTTTCAAAATTTGGTTAAATACTAGTTTATTTATTGACGCACCATAAAAAAAAATACCAGTTTTTATCCCCCTTTACCCAGTAATCACCTCAATATTACTGTGCCGGATTTATAATAATACTATGCGCTGCTGTTAAACAAATATGACACAGCTTTTTTTAGGAAAAAAATATTTACACTATCGTAACATAACATTATGTATGCCTAGATAATAAAATTAAAAAAGATCAGTTGTTTCTGAGAGAAACGTTTTGTTCTCGTTATCATAGACGCCTAACTTCGTACTTACTTATCGAACAGTAGACAAACTACGTACGGTTCGTCCAAGGGAGTCAAGAAATTTAATTTGTACAATATTATGAGAAACATTGTGAACGAAATTTCGTGTTGTATCCCGTATTCCATATTTTCCGGCGCGCCAAAGCTTTGTTTCAAGTACACGGGCAGTTCTACGGTCAAATGGCTGCCTATTGCACCGTACATTTGTACTATCAGCGTATGTCCATCGGAGTGTAACATTTTATGGAATTTTTGGAACAGTGAAACCGGCGAATACCCAGAGTTGATGTCCGATTGATTGTGAGTGGCCCAAGCATGGACATTGTTTAGTATGTCCAACACCATTTGCACCCTGGAAGACCACGGCGGTTTTGTCGATTGATCTGAGCAGGCAATTGTTATTTTAGATTGGACTGTCCCTTGCACTTCTTCGTTCATCTGCCGCATAAAAGCCACAATGTCGCCGAAGGCCTCGCTACATTCCCATTCGAACATGTCTCGTCGGTGATGTACACGTCTCTGGACTTTTTCCACCTTCACGTCGATCGTCACGTCTGGGTCGTCATTGTCGTCGATGAGGTACATGACAGATTCTAGTAAAACGCACACTGTTAAAAAAAACTGCAAATAAATTAACAGTTAACATGAAAAAAACAGCTTCCGACCGATTACGTCCAACAGAAACAATAATATATTTTAACAAACAGCGGGGAAACACAATATAAAAGTATGTAACGCGTAACTATGATTATAATATAATTATCCTAATTTGCACAAAACGAAATACTCGCATATTATCGACTATAACAGCTGTACACCGATAGTGGTTTACGTCAATATAAAATTAGATAGATTTAAGTGAAAATGACCACGGGTGGTTTTTCGGGTTCTATAATCTTATAATAGACACAAAAATATGTGTCAACTTGATTAGAGTCGAGCCCTATAAAACCACCCTGTACCGTGTGAATTATTCAGTGTATTCAGAACGTCCAATTGTTTACAACAAGTGGCTACTACCTACTCCGTCGTTAGTTTCAAATCTCGAGTGAGTATTTTTTTCATCATTATATAATATATTATACCTACTATTAGAAAATAATTTTCCATAGATTTGTATGTAGTAATAAATTAGAGCTGCGAGTAACTTGTGGAGCTCCAAAATTTTCCCTACCTCATAAAGCCATCTCTATACTAATACTATTAAATTATAAAATTATGTATAAAAAAATTCCATTTTTTTCATCTAAAAAGTATGAAAATATAGACAATATATGTTAAAATGTATCATGTCGAACTAGTTTTGTTTTAAAATTGTACGGCAATAAGTAAAAACTACTAAGAAAATTATTCCAATTTTAATAAGTTACAACCCCGCTGTAACTATCAAAATGCATACATTATGATAACAGATAATTTAGTTGATATCCTGACAAGAGGATGTAATACCTACTCTCTTTCAGCTATGCTGGGCACTGGTGTAAGGAAAGAAGATTGAATAAAAAAAAATGAGTGAATAAGAGGTTGCTTAAGGTACTCGTATGACTTAAAATTGTAATAGTAGAAAAACGAAGAGAAAAATATGCTTAAGTTGTATTGTGTTATGAGGAGAGAAAATTATGTAACAGTGACAGTTGGTAATCGAGACGAAACATAAATGTGAACTGTATGCAAACAAATAAATAGGTAGACACTAGAAAAGGGAACTAGAACGAGGTCTAGAAAAAGTAATCAAAGGTGGTTGATAATGTAAAGTAGTAGTATTAATGAAAGTTTCTCGCATGCATGTAAACTCACAAAAATAGATAGTCCCATACTCCATAGTACCTACAGAAATATTTAACTTAGAAAGCTTTTTCAAAAACGACATAAACTTACTATTATTAGGGGTGGTGGTATTGAAAAAATTACCAAAATTTTGATATTGATTTTTCAGTTATTATTTTATTAGATAAGGAAAAGATAATATTTTTTTAAATTATTATGAAGAGGGATTATTATTTAGATTAGAGAGTAATAGTGGTTTGACGAAACAGACTGACAGCGCTAACATAATGATTTATATTAACACAACAGGTAATTTCAAAAAGAAAATGAACGGAACCACCAAAAAAACCGTTATCGCCGTGTTGGTATTAATGGTCATTGGAACTGCCATGGCTGACATGGCCGACGTGGGAATGTGCATCAGGAATTGTGCGCAGTGCAAGAAGATGTTGGGAGCTTACTTCGAGGGACCGTTATGTGCTGACGCCTGTGTCAAGTTCAAAGGAAAGATGATTCCGGATTGCGAAAACATCGATTCCGTGGCACCGTTCCTCAACAAACTCGAATGAAATATATAATGTCAAAAAATAATATTATCCCGCATTTAAAATGTACACGTTGTAGTACATAATATTATGTAAACGAAATAGTATTATAAAAACAAACAAATTATAAAAAATATATATAATATTAATAAATCAGGTAACTTGATTACATTAACTTAAACGAGTCTCATGCATTATTACACACTACTAAACATTTTTATCGACTAACATATCTATGTCTCACGACAGAACGGTACAGCGTAGGAACCAAAACAGGCGCATACGAGAGTGATGCGTTTTGGTTTCTGCGCGGTACCGTTCTCTCATCAGACAGAGTAGGTATAAGTATTAATAATAATTATTTAACACATTTAAACGCTCTGCACAAACGACATTCTCCAGTAGGCGTTGTTTTTTTTTTTTTCGGGCGTTGCCCTGTAGTTAACCGACGATGAAGACGGTTCGTTTTGGTCGTCGCCGTCGTCGAACGACGACCCCTTGGGCTTGCTCCTGGACCTATACTCGTCCCTGAGTCTCGAGTACATCTCCTCGTTGTCGTGCCCCGTCTTGTGGTAATCGCGCAGAGGGTGCAAGGGGTCGTCTTCTCTGGTGTAACGCGATCCGGACCGTTCCGAGGGCGACGTTTTGGATGACTCGTACGCTTCCCCGTGATCTATGCTAATGACGTCACCGCCATCGGAAGAGTCCTCGTAGTTGCCCACCGTCATAAACGACTTGGGACCTCCGCCGCCAGACGGATCCAGGTAATCGTCGTAGGATTTAGGTCCTGAGTACGGTTTGCTGCTGCTGAGAGACGAGTAATCGTGGCCGATACCGGCGGACGAATAAGGAGCCGCCGAATAAGACGGCGAATATGGTCTCCCCATGGAGTGTGTGCCCCTGGAGGGTTTGAAATCGTGTTCGTGGGGATTTGAGTTGTACGAGCTGTATGAGTTGTAATCCGGCTTTCCGCGGTGCTTAGGTCGCGACGACGGCCGGCTGCTAGGTCTGTCCGCGTCGATGAATTTCGGTAACGTTAGAGGTCTATGTGTGAAAATAACAACAATGTAAATCATTAAACATTTTTTATCAGATTCGTCAATTACATTATTTGTATTTTACATGCGTTAAAATGTAGTTAAACATGTTTTATTAATTTTAAATAGCAAATGTTTAACTAGGGATTTGATTAGAGTATGTTTTTAATTTTCGTTTTAAATGATATTGTAAAAACCATAAATATAAACTTTAAAAATTGAAATTTTTCACATAGAAATTAATATTTAACAAACAATTTTAAATTGTGCCACGATCGATACCTTGTCGTGAAGAATTTAAATTACTTATTATTACATTATTTAAGACTATTCGTCTTTTGCACTTTTATATAACTGAACGACAACCAAATCGATGATCATTGGCGATAATTAAGGGGGGGTAGGTATACTAAAAAAACTAGGATTATTAAATTGGTCCTATTCATTTCAATAAATAAATCCTTCGTTAAAAAAAAAAAAAATTAAGTCTAAAAAGTAGGTATTTACATAATGTAGTATATATAATAAATCTGACTCATTCATATTAATAAAAATAAGATCTATAAATTATACTGATATTTTAATAACACGAGTAGGTCGAACAATTAATGAGAAAAAACCAGCTTAAGCAAAAAGATTCAATTGATTACTCTTAAATTAGCATCCAACATATCAATGTTCTTATAACCAAATTTATAAATGTTTTTGATTTAGAAACATTATTTGGATAGAGATCAAGACTAGGTCTGAATGAACTATAATTTTCATTTGGAGATCTATAAATACATACCTATTATCATGAAGTTAAATACCCGCCGAAGAACTTACGAATACAATATTTGTTGAAGTTGAATCTAAGTTCTAACGTTATGGATGTGATAAAGGATCTCAGAATGTTCATTACAGAATTTGTTATAGTATATATTACGTCATATATATATATGTATATATGTGTAATAGCTATATTTTTATTAAATTTAATCAAATATGTTAAAATAAAACTTCATGAACTAATATTAGAATAAAATTCTAATTTCTCTAATTCTCTACTATTACAATAGTAATAGACAGAACAGGCACTTTCAATGCCTAATCGATGTTTGAGTGTGACATTGTTTAATTCAAAATTAACGTTCTGATTTTTCCAGAAAGAGGTCTTGAAAATTAAAAGTTACTCTACAACCATAGTAATAGAGATTGTACTATACTCTGTCTCGCGAGAGAACGGCATTGCGTAGATATTTTTTTATGCTACCTACAACTGCAGTAGTTCTTACCTGTGATTGCCTTCGTCGTCCACTTCCATGGGAACGTATTCGTAATGCGAATTGTGATCTCCATCATCGTCGGTCTCGTCCTCGTGGTCTTCTTCGGCCGCCTCATTTTGCTGACCGTCGTAGTAGCCGTGGTGGTTGCTGGTGGCCGGCGTCAACCTGTGCCCGTCGTAGAAAGGTACATTGGGCCGGTATTCCTCGTCCGAGTCGTAATCGAGCCGAGGCTCCATTATGGCCTGCGTCATGTCCGCGTTGGCCTCGCGTTTGATCGGCACGTCTTTTGGTTTGTTCGACGGCTTTGCCATTTCACCCGGCAAGTCGAGACGGTCGTCTCCGGCCGTTGCGTTGGCCAAAGAAGCTGCCTCGATGCCTCTCTTCACCCTGGTCGTATCGCCGTATACGGTGTTGGAATCCGTGTTCTCGTCGGCATCAATTATTGTTATAACGCGCGTCCCAGCAGTATCCGTCAATCCCGGCATAGTGGTGTTACATTTTTCGCATAACAATATCTGAGCTTCGGTCATGCCAGTCTTCAAGTTATTCAACACGTTTGTCTAAGCACGTTTTAGTAAGTAAAATTATTACATTGCTGTTTTATCAATTATACTACAACAAAGAAAAAAGTTAGGTTAGCTGTGTTGAGGTACGGGTAGTCGGTAAGTATTACAGTTAACCTTACGGCAGACGATAATAGAGGAATCGGATTGTTTCTTAATTGTTATGTACATAAAAGGTGTAGGTACTTTTATCGTATTTCTTTCCGTTTCCACCTATGAAGGACACCTAACTTTTTTTTATTAATGGATCATAGCAGCATATCAAATTAAGTAATAAGTTATTTTATGCCAATTGTCAAAATATTGGGAAAATATTAACTTTACTTTTTTCTTTGTTGTTTTAAATAAAACTCACATGTCGTACATTAGGTGCGGTAGTGTCAAGTGTTGGATCAGCCCATTTGGTTAGGTCCATTCTCGGTATAAGGCCGCTCCTACAGGGTACTCTAGGATTTCTGTAGAGAAAAAATATCGTCATTATTTATTGTATTTTGTTTTCAAAACAGTGATTCCATTAATATAAACTCACAATTCGTGGTCTGGTAACACCATTGGATACATTTGAACTGTGTCGATGATATCGGTATTGTCACAGACCAAACGCGACATCTTAACATTTCTGATTTCTTGTAATTGATCTGTATATAAAATCAGATATTCGATCAGTAAGCGCTCTGTGCAGCAAACAGGTACCGATTATATTTACCGCGAGTGAACGAAGACTGTTGGTTGGGTAGTTCGTACCAGAATCTATCGCCTTTTTTCAACTGTCCAAACTGCGATGCTATAATACAAGCGAACGTGGGGCCGATAACACTGCCAGCAGCTGAATTTTCAGACACTCCACCGGACCACAGATCGATATCAAACGGCGATCTAACAAAATTGATTAAACACAAATTACATTTCATAGAGATCATTTACATATGTCTAACATCAACTCACGCGTAAACCATTTGGTATCTCTGAATGGTCGCGTTGGGCATGAAACCGGTCATTTCTTCAAATCTGTTGGCTACGGGTAGTCCACAATGACGTCTGAACTCCATGTAGCCGGGAAGACCGAAATCTCTACCCCTCTGCACGTTAAACGACACTAAATCGAAACCAAAACCTTTCCCTGGCTTTTTGATCAGATTGTTTGTCACTTCTCGCGTGATTGAGTCGTCCATAGCTTGAGCCACTTGGTTCATGAGACCCATAAAGTATTCGTCAATAGCGCCTGCCCGGTACAAATCAAATGGCCGACGAATCAAGTCGGAAAGCCTCTTGGAAGCTAAACAATATAGTGTTATTATGATCAATGATTCGAATCTTAATGTGATCGGTCAGTATGTGGTCAAATGATAATTACCGATAAAACCGTGTGCTTTGCTCCATCGCTCTATGGTATTTGGCAAAAGCGAATGACCGAAACGGAATGCGGCTGCCGAAAACGAAGCTAAAATATTGGGATTAGCGTCTGGATCATAGCCGTCCCAAAATCCCTAAATTGCACATAAGTAAAATTTAAGTAAAATATAAAATGTATGTATTGTATTAAATTTGTTTTTACTTGTTTTTGAGTCGTTAACCCATGTTTATCCATTAAATTTTTGCCTAAAAGTATGGGCAAGAACTCGTTGAACGTAATGTGCTGTATTTCGGCTACGACTATTCGCTTTGCCTCCTAAAAAACAGGAAAGTCAATTTTATTCTTAACTAACACTCGTTATTGTATATTTTGTATTAATATGTTACCTGATACAGCATTTCATCGTTCCAATGCGGATTGATTTGTGATAATTCCTTGGCCACGCGATTATGCTCTCTAGCCATCAGTGTGTGAATACATGTTAACACGAGTTGTTCGTTCACTCGAATCTCTCCTAAACCCGTCAAAAATAAATATACAACCGTTAATTGCTCCTGAAGAACATTCGACTAAATTACCTGATTCAAAACAGTATTGCGAAGAGTTGGATCTGATACATCCTTCGTCAGGAACGTTCAATTTCATAGGAAGCAACTCTTTCAATCCCAAATCCGCAAACGCTGGGTTCATCCTCAACTGACCGGTAATCCCTGATCTCAGGTACCTGGATGTCGCTTCGTCCGCTCCGTATATGGTGTTTCCGTCGATGACCGGTGTCAATACGTTAAACGGAGCTTTGGGGCCTACAATAATTTATAAGAAAACAAGTTAGAAATGAAGAACGGTTCCGCATCTAAACAAATATTACCTAATCTGCAGTCCGGCTGCACTCCAGGATATGACCTGACAAAATCTTGACATTTCACGTTGTGACTCCGGTAGAAGTTATCGTCTTCCGGTATTTTTATCTCGTAGCAGTATTTGTTTTTTAAGTGTTCTGGACGGTCGCAGCACTCCTCGGGTTCGTTCCTGTTCACCGGATCTACAATGACCGGATGGTTAACGTGCCGCCACCACCACATACGGCATAGCCTACGATTTTAGTACTTACCTAGAGGTGTCGCGGTCAAAGTGAGATCATGATCCATAAACTGGCCCCAAGCTACCAGCATAACGGTGCCGGCGTGTTCATGACGACCGTCATCCGGGTGAACGGTTTTGGACACGACCCTGGCCAACGGCAATGGATCTCCAGAAGCGGCCACTTTGGGAGCTGACACCTTGTCCGAGTAACGCGGTGCCATCAACCTATTGAACGTAGACATGGTAGAACCCCAATTCGGGTGAGCTATGTTGTTGCACAGGCCATCGGGTCTGCGGTACTTGCCGGCCTTGCACGCCACCCTCGACAAGCACGAAGGACACACATTCCTGATCAAAGTCTTGGAAGTGTCGATCATCGGTAAGAACTTGTTCACGTCGTCGGCGTTCAAGTCGAACCTGTAAATCGAATTGGATTTCCGGTGAAACGTGGTAAGACTATTTTGCGTTGTGTGTATTCTAGAGGGAGGGAAGTGACCCGTGTCTTGCATGGTCGAAAGTTGAATATATTTAACTATGCGGTTAGCTGCGATAACGTTTGCGTACCATGACACAGTGAATTGTGAACACCCTTTAAGGTTTGTTTTCCAAACGTTTTAAAGCACATCACATCCAAAAATACAAAGTTATCATATTATAGTTATTATAAAAAATTAAGGTAAATGATATTTATTTTATTTTTTATACTTTTATCTAAGTAAGTATTTTATTTTCTTACATTTTCGCCAGCACTTGGGAAACGTCCAATAGCATCTCTCCGAGTTTGGCGAAATGCAAAGGTCCCAATATTTCATTAGTTTCCGTTAGCTCTGAAAAACCCGAATACACGCATCATTAATCCATAGAGTAATATAGAGATCAAAAACATTAATTCGACGAGGGTTGCAATTTTCTGTGCAGCCACTTTAGAGAGAAACCCATATTTATACGGTAATTGGTAAATAATTGTGGTAACACTACTTAAGTATGGTAACACACTTTTGTTATCATTTAATGTTACTTATCGCCACGCTTTAAGATAATATTATCTATAATTGTACTTATCACAAGTAAGTTATGGAAGCAGGTTGTCAAAACATAATTTTTATACGCACAATTATTTTTTTTATGGCTATGGTCAAACTAATAATCGCAACCTTTGCCGAAACAACGTGGAATGTAGACGATATAGAGAACGGCTCTTCTACATTACTCAATGCTATAACCCAATCGTCGACCACATACACAATCAGGGATGACTTACTGTGATTGTTTTGGACGTCCAGGAACACTCTGTTCACCGTGTCGTACGTGATGCACATGTGAGCCGACGAACGCTGCCTGTTAACAAAAATTTAAAAAAGCCCATTTAAAAAATCTTCATTTTGAAACATTAAACACGTGAATACTCACGGAGGACCCTGCCCGCTGTTGTATATGAAATGTTTCGAACCCTCGAGCACTACGGCGCAATCGTTTCCGTCCACTCCCTCGATTGGTACATACTGAGCGGCATGTCCAAAATAGTGCAGGTACGCACACCATAAAAACGTCCTGTTTCAAAAAGAGATAACCGTGTATTTTTAATCCGCACACGTCAAACGGGTGTTCGGTTTGGCCAATATTGCGACCATTGTAAACTGTCCATTTATAAGTTTACCACATTTTTATGTGCACTAATTTTTCGAGGTAGTACAAAATAATACAGTATTAAATTGTGTTACAACAGATACGTGCTTGGAGCGGAACCGCCGGCGGTGACTTATAGGAATAATAATATTATTGTAAAGTCATTCAGCCGTGAATAAAAAATATGTCTTTTTTCACACGTCTAAACGGAATTGACAAAAATAATCGCATTCGCGGTTATTTCGTTTTTAACTATTGTCGTTTTTTTATAATACTTTTAAGTTTCACTCTGGCGCCTATACGAATAGTCATCGGGTTTTCTAATACAAACTTTTCTCCTTAGCATTTATTTAACGACGCATACATTATATATTCGAAATCTGCTGTATTCGTCTCGGATTTCCCTTATCCTGGTTAAGTCACAATGAGGTTCACAGCAGTTTATCCACCGAAATACAGTATATTTATTACAAGTACCTACAGATCAGCCTCAAAGACACACCTCTATGTTTGTGGTTACTATCTGCTGTATTTGTTTTTATTAATTCGTTATTAAATGTACTAAAAAATTACTTATGCTAACGGGGTGAAAAATATAATAATTTCATTTAAATTTAAAAGTATAGCTAATTATAAAAATGTAATTTATATTGATTGCCTATTATAAAAATGTCTAAATAATTAATTTGCCACATTTTGTTTCAATCTATTTAAATATAAAAAATTTAGTATTATGGCAATTATTGTTTTATACATTTTATCATACTTATGTTCTAATTATTGACTATTTAAAACTGGTTCAAGTTCAGTTATTTCTTTTTTTTTTAAAAAGCTCTCATCGTAAATAATCATTGGCTAAAATGTTTTTCTCTGAAATATCCGGTTACGGAGCAGTAGGGTATCCAAAGAGGTAATGTGATCAATATAAATTACAACCTCTATCAAATTAAGTGATTGTTACAAGAACCCTTATTTTCATACTAATTATAGTTTAACAAATTATACAATATATTTTATTTATACAACTAACAAGTGTTATGTAAGTATTACTTTAACAAAATTGTAGTCTAACCTTTACAAAATGTATTACCGAAAATTATTTTATTTTGACACGTCGCTTTAAAATTCTAAATCATAATTTCGTGTTATAATTACATTGCATTTATTAGAGTAACCATATTTCTAGTTATAGAATTAGAAGGAGATTAAATATGGGAAAAATAATGACGTAGTAATCTATCACGTCATTATGGTTAGGTACCGTTTTATGCTGTATCATGTTCCAACGAAAAGAGTTTTTTATTCAAAAGACGATATCTTTAGATCATTATAGTCTCCTTGGAATTCTTTGATATTCTGCCTTTAATAAGCGGTAAAACTTGTATAACTTGGCAATAACTCGCTAATAAGTTAAAGGTAAATGAAAATGTAAGGTGATTTATTAATCTCTTGTGTATTTGTGACAAAAACCCTCCACTTTGTTCCATGTAAAAAAGGATTAGTAAAAAAAAAATTCTTTTAACGCTATAAGCTGTGATATTATATTGTATGATGTGCATATTCATATTAAAATAATGATTAAAAAGATATTTTTATAGCTGTACAGCCATAATTCAGCCGTATACTTTAAAAAAAAAAATTGTTTTCGCATAGTTTTATACAACAAAAACTTGGCTATACAAGATAAATTATAACACCTAGTCTAATTTTGCACTTCACAAATTAAACTTGGATCAAATAAAAAAAATATAATTATAAATATTTTTTACTTTACTTTGGACTTCACAGATATTTCAAAAGGTTGTATGGTTAAGATTGTATGTTGGAGTGATAAAAAAAGCGCGGTAAAATTGCACATTACAAACATCATGACCCAAAAATGGACTCAGTTCCACTAATCGAAGTCAAGAATAAATTATCTGTTCAGTTCTATAATAGAGTATTACTTTAATTTTTTTCTTCTGAAAATTCTGAAGAGAAAATCGAAGTATTATAAGTAAGTTTTAAATGAACAAAGAATTAAAAAAAATCATTACCCAAAATTCATCCATGATTTAATCTTTAGACTATTATACACTACAATATTTAATTAAAAATCTATTTTAAGATCATTAAATAATATATCTTTTAAGATCTCAAGAAAGGCACGTCATTTATGTTAACTTCCACAAGAATTCTCTTATAATCATAATAATATATGTAATTTATTGAGGATTTTTTTAATGATTATATATAATAAACTTAAAAGAGCAACACGATTTAATAACAATAATACTTACCTAAGAATCATTGTGTTTACTTTGACACCACGGTGAGTCTTTTATCGAGTATTTCAAGTTAAACAAACCAAAAAAAAAGAAAACAAAATTACTTAAAATGTATGTATTAATATTGTTGGTTTTTAAGCTATCGGATATTAAAATTCGATCGGATCACGGGTCGGTAGTGATACGATTGAAGAACTATAGGACAGATATCAAGTAACTCTCAGAATACCCTACTCATAATTTTTTTCTCCTAGATGTGTCCACCCCGAGAAATCAAAAGGTAGCTTGGTGGGAGACAGTGTAAAATGGAAATTATAGCTGTCCAACTCTACGTCGGAAAAGCCGCATGCGATAGAACAGAACTGCGTCCGGCGAAAGGTTCATGGCAGTGGCTAACGGAAGAGAAGGGGTTACATCTTGTGATGTCGATTCCATTTTATAACATCATAACAAAATAACAACCTGTAATCATCGTCATGTAATATGGCTAAGTTTAAAATTAAAATATTTAACTCAACAATATTAATTCCAAGATAAATCTATATGTCATGATATACAATTGTCAGTCGTGTCATTTTTCTAAACTACTACATACTCCCTCAAATAAAACGGGTTGTCTTTTAAAACCTCCAATGTGCCAATTTTATTATTTTGAGTTCTTGGTATCCCTGGATACAGAAAAAAATAAGCTATCTTATGATAAAATCTACAAAGTGCTATCTTCATTGTAGAATAAATGAAAAATAAAACCTCAACTGTGTTACCTACTATAAATCGTTTTACACGTGTTAGTGTCTCCTGAACAATTAGGTTTTAGCACATTTTTTCGCGGCAACGACGTTATAATAATTAAAAGTGAACAGTGAATATAGTTTATTTAATTTTTGGAGATGAGTTGATTTGACCAGGAATATTGGTATCAAAATACTCTTGTTGAATAAGTTTGCTTAAAAATACAAGGGGAAAACTATTAAAGCAAATTGCTTTGCATAGTAAAAACATTGATTTTACATGTGACGAGTTTTTATCAGTCCCTTAACAGGTATTGTTTACCTCAACACTCAATACTTACTCTTACAAGTTACACGTTTCAATTTTTAAGTACATGAAACAATTTGTACAAAATTACAGTAAGCTGGCATCGCTTTGGCTATTTAAAAAACAAAGGTTGTAGATTTTGGACAACTTCAATAGTGTTTTTTTGGTATTGTTTACTGATGATCAATAATTATACAACATAATTTCTAGATAAGTCTATAAAATATATAAAGCTTATCGTATAAAGTTATCGTTGCACTTACTAATTAATTGTATCACACAGGTACAGGGTGTATACGTTTTTTTAAACACTTTAGGGTTACTATAGAAATAATACCCTTAGTATTGTAATAATATTGTTTTCATAAGTTTAAGAAATGTATTTAGTTTATTAAATAAGTATATTTTGTACATAATTTTCTTTATAAAAGTATAGTACTAAAAGTTTATTAATTTTAACAATTTGCAAATATATATATGAATTATAGTATAACTAAAGATATAGCTAAATATAAACAGGTATAGGTATAACTAAAGATAAACAAAAATACTTCCGTATATTACTTATTATCTATTATCACTTTTTTTAAAAATTACCCCCATACCGCACTTCAATAAAGGGTTAATTATTTTAAACTGTTAATACGTTTGAAATCAGTGATCTTAAAAACATATAAATTGATGTGTGCCATGAACATTTTGTGAAAATTCAAAACCTCTCCCCCCTACTGACTGTGCAGTTATAGCCGGTCCAAAAACAAAACAACCGTCATCTTTGTAAAATTAATAGCTTCTCGTCACCATTACAGGGAGGCTAAAATTTTTGTTTTCTCGTAAGACTTCACATTTTTCTTAACCAATACACAATATTTTCGTATTTATATAAATTGGTGAAAACCTAATGATTCATGAAAAATTGATAGAGCAAATTAGTAAGTGATCTAATTTTCAGTCGTGCCAAGTGTGGTTTGCTAAGAAACAATACTTAACGCCTAATTATATATATATAATATATATTTTTTTTTTGTTCAGTAATATAATTGAATGCAATATAATATAACATACAATAGTAATTTATCTAATATCTATATAGACTATACGACCTAGTCTGGCCATTGTCATGGTTAATTGACCGAGCGTGGCCCGATGACGGATTTAAATGAAATGAAAAACTGTTTTCTTTTGTGACAATCGAAACGAGCCAATTAAAAATACGTCACGTTATTATTGCATTTAAACGGATTAAATGGCGGTTTAGTAATCTAATACGATACTGTGATCAATGTCTTTTCAAGGTGCACGAAAACTATAGAATAACTAATTTATAACACAATATTAACAAAATAAATAAAATGTTTATGCAATTTATAATATTATATTTTAGATACATCAACATTGTAATATTATGAAGTCGAATGCAATTTTGAAGTTAGTATCTATACATTTTTTTATTTAATTAATTTGTAAATGTATTTACCCTAGTTTTTGAAATTTGTTTAGCTATAACAATGTAAATTATTTTTGCTATTTCCGTTATCTACATAAAAGTGTATAAAAGCCTAATAGCTTTAGTTATATGTATAATATCATATGTACTGTATTGAAACTGTGACTAACGACATAAAGTGATAACACTATTTATTTCTATTTAATTATTCTAGATACACTTATTTTAGTTACAAAATTAGTTATAAAACAAATTATTTAGTTGTTAAAACAATTTATATTTTTATTAAATTTCTTATAATTACCAAGATCATTTTTAGAATATCGTGTACATCCAAGCTTTATTTAAAAGTAATTTTTCCACTTTCAATTGTATTCATTTTTAGGGAGCCCTCACCTCCACCCTACTATATCTGTACCCCACTACGTGTTGGGTTTTTTAAAAACTATTTTTTTTTTTAGTTTTATTAAATTATAAAGATTAAATTATTATTCAGTGAATAACAAAACTGTTGTACTATACCATTTCATTAATCGATTCTACTAGGTTTTATATTATTAAAACAATAATACTCGAGAATGTACCTGTTTTATTAAAATTGTTATTCATCCAGTAAATATGAAAATGTGAAGACATACCAAATTAAAAAGTTATATTCGTGCAAAAAGGTAATTTGAAGAAGGCTAGAGCCAAAAGTTTCTAGCTTTGGTACCAGCTGCCCGTCAATACAGCGATTAATTTGTATACAGTCAATGGTAGTTAATGGTTTTGACATGATTACAAATACATCATACACAACTTACAATTTTACAATATAAAAATTAAAGATGAACAGTGGGCAATACACATATGTTGCAGTGGGAAGATAAGTGATACACAGTAGGGTAACGGCATCAGTTACTGGCACTACCCTAATGTTTGACAATGTAGTGTTTTTTTTTTACATAAGATAAAATATAAAGATATTTTATACCATTAAGGTAATTCTTTTATAAAAAATTCATTGAAAAAATATGTTTAATATTTGCCTGATATAAAAAACATTGCATTGCCAAAGACTATATTATAGTGTCAATCGTTGGCGCAGCTACCCTAGTTGTGGTAAATAGGTGATAAAAAAAATTGTTAGTTTTTCCCTTGAAAGAAATATATAGACATATCTTCATTCCTATCTTCCCTCTCTTCTTCATCAATCACTTATACAATAATCTCTTCTCTTCCCCTACCCATCTATAGCATATTTTAAAATGACCCCAGAGGTAAGACGATTCATATTTCATTTTTATATAATATATGTTTGTTAAATGTTATTTAACAAACGTCCTTGTAAGACCCGCGCTGCCTCGAGCAAGCCTTTCCCGGTCTCGTTTTTTTTATTTTTGCAAAATAGGGCAAATGGTTAAGTTGACAGTTAAACGAACGAGATGATTTTAGAATTTTTAGTTTAACTTCTATTTTTCCTGATTTGCATAGGAAAATCGTTGTTAAACGGTATACACGACGTCATTATGATTTTACTAATTTTAGTGTCACAATAATCAATATTACCTATGACAATATATAGCACCTATAACGCGATAATCGATTTATATATAAAAAAAAAAAGAATAATACTAATAATAATAAATACCGTTTACACACCCCTTTCGCAATTCGTTGACTGGACGACTTGTGCCAAATAGTCCGTAAAATCCGCGTTTTCTATCTATAGTACAGACCGCTGTTATTTTTATTTTTTATTTCACTTCTCACTTGGTTGCTGCTGGTGTATTTTTTTTTCTTTCTCTCGTTTCTGAATTTTTTTTTTTTGTCGTATCCACGTAAATCTTTTATAGTCGTCGTTATGCAATACAAACGGGTGTATATAATTTCCCAATATCTCTGAACAGAGGTTATAAAACCGAATAACAACGATATTCGGTGCCGAAGATATATGTGTATATATATGTAAGTGGAAATATTATTATTATATGTAAAAATCGTGTATACTACATTATACTACATAATACACAACGGGACCGACGATGTCGTTATAAACTATCACATTTTTTGACGTATTATGAAGTATCTATCTGTGTACGGTGTGCCATTTATCGATGATGAAACACACCGCATCGTTTATGTGAAAACTCTATTAGAACGGTTTTATAAGGAAAAATATGCACGCACCGGAAACCGTCGGTCGAATAATAATAAATGTCTTGCGTCCAACAAAATATTAGAGGCGCTAAGGCGGAATGCATAACTACCGAAACGGTTGGCTCTGCATCAAGGTCCAAAGACGGTATTTTTCCACAACCCAAATAGGCCCATTCCGACATCTCAGTAAAATTATCGCACTCTCTCGTGGTTTATGACATATTACTCCTTCTCTGGTAGGTAGGTAAGAATTGGCATGGACAGTAATTGGATAGGTAGTAAATAGTAATTGTCAAATGGCATGGAATGACATTCTAACGGAGTGCTATTTCAAAAACCATGTCCATATAGCCCACTCAAGAGAGCACAACGACTGAGAAGCAAAGATGAAGCTCGATCAAGTTATCGGGGAGGGGTTCTTAAATGTGTATAGTATAATAGCTATAGCAACAGTATTGTAAACTATTGTAGTCATTGATGAAAAAAAATTCCTGGGAAGAATTAAACCCCCAAACCATTCTAGACTAACATTTTATTTCGTGGTTTGGATAAGATTTGCCAGCGATCGATGGAAAATGGATATGTATATAAAATGTTATTATGTATGATAGAATAAGAAACAGAAAAAAGTTAGGTAGCATTTATTATTATTATTCGTATGACAAAATAAAATGTGTATTATGTACTATTAGGTTAGATACTACCACGATACATTATTTTATTCCGTTTTTGATTAAAACGTATGTTTTATTTAGGTGCTTCACTATAGCCTTTAGAAAATTATGTATAATGAATACTATGCGGCTTACGAAAAGAGATAACGCGTAAACAGCAGTTCATCAGTAGCAATATCTAGTAGTTAGCTTGTTTTTTTCTTGATAGTTAAACATTTTAAAATGGATACAACATTTATTTTGTCCAATTGAAACTTAAAAATAACAATGTAGACAAATGGTAAAAAAAAATTTTCATCTAAACATGTTCACAAAAACTAGAAAAAGGTACCCTTCAAAGTGATTTTAGAGATAAAACACCTATGATAAAAAATATAGGAGAGAAGATTTCCAAGAGAACCTAATAAGGTGGTATTTATAACGCATTGGTCAATATGATGAATGAAAAAATATATTTTTGAAAAAATGCACCATGTCTTCTGTTTTTCTTATTATAAGTGTTTTAACTTGAAAGAAACTTTTATCTGTTTTGTTTACCTTAACATGTTTTTACCATTAATCATCTTATGATCATAATTTCACAATTTAATTAATGTGTTATTTTTTACATCGACTTACTATAAGTGTCTTTTTTGCAGTCTTCCAATTTACCGACGATTAATCTTTTTGTTTGTGGAATAAGTCATATAGTTACCTCAACATATATATTGGTTCTTTGGGTGGTGCCACTAAGCGATGGGTAAACAAATATTTTTGTACGCCACTGTAAACCGTGGAACGTTTTTCTTTTTCTTCTGCAATTCAAGCGTTGCCATTTCATTTTCCAATATAATATAAACTAGTATACAATATTATTATGTTTTTAATATGGTCAAACGCGCCTTTTGTTGCAGCCGTCGAGCCGTACCGCGGCCCGCGCATCACTGGCCGGGCCCGATTTGTAGTACCGCGTGTCTGGTAACCGCAAGTAGTCTATCTCTTAGCGCATTCATGGATTACGTGTAATGACTTAAGATTTATTTAAAAAAACATTCAAACGCAATGAAAACGTATCTTTTCGGCGAGTGTAGCCAATCGAACGTGACGGTAATCATCATGTCGCTCGCATTTTAGAAATGTCTGGGTAGTATACATTTCAATCGCTCAATGCTGTTACATATTATTATGCTATTATGCGGATTTATATTTCTTGGAATGCATGATTCGATTTTCGCAAGAGGAAGCCGAATTAAATCCCCCTCCCCCTCTTGAATTTGTCTTACAGCGTCTACACACACACACTCACACAATCAGAAAGACACTGTTATAAGTTATTACTAAATGACTTAATGTTTCCGGATAATAACACCTGGTGAAGGCGTTGCTACATTATGCTCCAGAAATATTATTTTACTATACAATTACTGTCAATTGTCAAAAACATGTCAACTGTCGACTGACCGGTATCAATGATATCGAGGGACTGGAAAGCGGATAGAATTTACGTTTTCAGTCCTAGTCGGTATTTCACCAAATGGTTTTATTTATTTATTTTAACGTGTTTTACTTTGGTGCGAAACTGAGAAAGCCAAAAAAGAATAATTTTATAATGATTTATGTGTATGTATTATTTTTGTAACAATTGCTTCTGCATATTGATGAAACCGCTGGACCGATTTACTAGAATAGGTAGCACATAAATCTATTAAATATCGTATCCGGAACGTACCTTGGCGACTCAAAAGTTTATAAAATTTAATTTAATCTTTATGTATTTGACGTTCGTAAACTATTTAAACCTTAGGATTTTTAGGGTGGCGAGAGGTAATCAGAGCTGACAATAACAATTAACTTAGTTAAATTATACATCTATAATCTAATATTTTTTTTAAAAATATGTCTATTCATTTTTATTTTTGGAAAAATAATCAATATTGCTAATAATAAGAGGTATTTGTGCATAAAAAAACAATTAGTAAATTGCCATAGAATAGTCCTAAAATCATTTTTTTGTTTAACTCTTATTGGATCATACTTATATATAGGTGGAAAAATGGTCAAGTACAAACATATGTGTGAAATCTTAGTTTGTAAGTCGAAGTCAATTAATATTTCTAAAATTATAAATACAACAATCAGCTGACAAATAAAATCTGATTGAGGCTATATCCATCAATAAAGAAAAACCTTGAAATTAGATTCTGGGTTGATTTTAAAAGCGGCCTTTAAAATGTTTAGTTAAAATATTAGTATAGTAGATTTAAATTTTTTTAATTATATTAGAAGTACTTATAAAATATGGTTCACATACACAAGTTAATAATTTGTATAAAATACAAATACATTACTACAAAATAGGATAAAAATAACATAATGTCATTATTTTTTTATAAGGTAATTAACTGGGAATCAAAAAAAGATCTTACCATAAGCCGTTTAGCTTATCAAAATAGTACGTATTTGTCAATTTTATTATAAGCAACTTTGTAAAAAATCAAAACTTATATTTGTTATACCTTACAATTTTATTGTTTAAAAAAGATTTATACACTTAATACACGATTTAATATACCCATTTTTAACAACAACCTACTTTAACAAGTACTCATATTATGTATATAATTATTAGATAAAATAATTTAAAAACAATTCTTGAAATATTTATATTATATAATTTAAATACCTCGATGGTAACGGGGTGCAGTGAGTGGAATTGTAATCTTTCATATGCCGATCCGCCTAAAAGCAATAAAATACAGTTTATTTATTACAATTATTATTAAAATATTTTATTAATTAATAATAATAAAATATACTACGGAATATAAAATTGAAAATATCGTATAGAAGATAATTTACATGCTAATTTTTAACTTAATAATTTCAAATGGTCTCTCAGTCATAATATAATAAGATATATGTATTTATTTTACCTGCGTTGAACATTTATTATACATAAAACAGGATAATTCAATTTATAATAAAATACCGTTATCAGAAACAATATTATTTAAATAGACGAAATTTAATAGTTTTACCATTCGTGATTTGTGTTATTTGTCTAAATTCCAAAGCATCAAGTGGTATTCAATGGTAGATTACGGTTATTCTGTTCAAATGTTGGTTCCAAGCGTTAAAAACGAGGTCATCAGTTTCTTTTTTAAGAAACCTTAACAAATATTATAACTACCCAAAGAATTTCAGAAGTCAAAGTGCACGAAACCGAGAGACTAAATGAAAATCCGGCCCGCCATAACCGCCGTGTGTTGTCTGCCAGACATTGTGGGTGATCGCCAAAAATACAGGGACGATGACCCGACCCAAGTCCCGACTGATAATAGAGTACGCGGCAAAACAGTAATAGATAACTTAAACAGTAAAGAAAATAGAGTAAGCGGTTTGTAGATAAAAATGGTGGCGTCAAAAGACAAGACGTAGTCGGGTTTTGGGATAAAAAACGTATATACAAATATTAGCAACACTTCGCGACAAAACAATTACTATTGAATTAACGACTTTGTAATTTTCTCTAGTATATCTTATAGAATAATACAGTTAATAATAATGTTATAATATATTGTGTTTACTATGTAGTAACATGATTATATATAAGGGACGATTCCGTCGTTCTTTTTAGGGTAACGTTATGACCAAAATATTATTGATTTTTCGATTTGTATACAGTATACACCTATAATGTTATGTATTGTGCCAATGAATTATGTACAAAAGATGATGGCCGTTGTTGTGTTTATAAACACCTGGACCCTGTACGGGCCTTATTATATCTCACAAATAACCTCTCCCACACAAACTATTTGTAGAAATGATATATATATATATATATATTGTGAAAATTTATTTATGAAAACATATATTGTACTACAAAAGACAAATTGTTTAATATACATGTAGTACCGGAATTTGTCAAATGTCTTAAATCAAATAATATTATGTCCTTGCAAAAACAGTATAGACACAGGTTTTATCACTTACCAAGTACAGGAGCATTTTTGTTTTTTGTTGGTCGTTCCATTCGTCACCGAGATTCAGCGGATAATTGATATCAGATTTTGGATAGAACTTGGCCTGTTCGTTTAAATCCACATTGTACCGCAAAAGAATATTTTCTAAACAACCAAAAAAGTATATAAACATTTTATTTAAATATTCGATTTGGTAATTTTTTATGGATACCCTAAGACCGTAACAATTCAAAAAAGGAAGAAAAAATAATCAAATTCGTTTCGGACAATAATCTGTGTATAAACATCAAAATATCGATGGCGATTCTAATCATTACATGTTGAGATTGAATTGCATTTGAGCACACCTACGGGTTTATATTAATGTAGTAAACCGTGGAAAACTAGGGTTTTATTATTATTATTTTTTTTTACCAATAGACACCCAAAACATATTGTATAGGTCAATATTGGAAATGGTATTATAAATGATGATTTATTGTATATTTTTCATGAATGTTGACCAAGCTAAGTACCATTTCAAAAAGAGGATCGATTCAATCGCGGCACGGATGTCTTACAGTAAAGACGAGAAAATGTATTCGGTAAAGCGTTTAATCATTTTTTACACTTTTCTAGCTGTAATCCCTATAGTTTTTATAACAGCCACTCCAATAGTTCAACGGTTCGACTTACCCTCATCAGGTAAATATCTAACACAATTATTTTTGAAAACATTATTCTCATTTTTTGGGTCAGATAGAGAAAGCAAATCTAACTTCATATATAATATAAATGTGTAATATCTTCATTATTAAATAGGTGCACGGGGAACGCCAAAGATCGAATCGGGTGTAGCGTCTGGTCACAATTATACGCGTTTGTTTGTACCTCTGACCAGTGTAATCGCGAATTACTTGCCAACATTTCTAAAGAGTTTGAATGCCAGCCAATATTCTCAAAAAGGTCAAAACGACAGAAGTATGTACAATTACTAAATGCCAGCCACCAACGTAGTTAAAAAACGTTACCAAATTTACATAAGGCAAGATATTTTTTTGGTTTTGTTGCCGTGTATTTTTGGTAGCGTTAACATACAGTTCCTCATAAAAAAAATGGTTTTTCCCTACACAAGTTTAACATGACGACTTATTTTGTCCTTTGAACTCACCGAACAACAAATTTTAACTATTGACTTCTATGAGGAGCAGAGAAGGTAATGAATAATGATATATATTTTTTTTATGTCTGGACCCACGATACCTTTTAAGGGATCGAAACTTTTTCTTAATTTGTTTTTTTCGAGCGCAGTTTTAGGATTCAAGGTTTGAAAATTAGACTAAAGGTAGATCTATAGTTAGATTATATAAGTATTATAATTTTTTTTCAAAAATCCGAATTCAAAGTTTAGCTTCGGTGCGGAGCTAGAAACTATTAGTTATACAATTTATTTTTCATTAAAGAAAAACCAAGTAAAAATGGGGAAAATATACTTTGACCGTATTAAATTTCCTGGCTGTTAAGGGTGAACGAATCAACAGTCAAAATACTCAAACAATATATTTTGTACTATATTGTCGATTTGCCTATTGGTAACAACGGCAACAAATTATTAGGAAACATAGACAATTAACCCTAATCGCATCTACCCTAATACTAACAAATATAATTTTAAGCACATTATTGTATTTACAATGATTTTTTTCGATACTTTATATTTGAATGATCAACAAATTTGATTTGCATTAAAGTTTATTAATATCTTTTATAATTTATTATGTACAAAAAAACTTGACCATAAATATTATATCTTATTGGCATATTAAATGTATAATATATTCGTTAATTAATAATATACCTTAATTTTTAAAAGCAACAGATTATACAAGAGTCGGCTTAACTTAATTTGTAATTAAAAAAACACCCTAACACCAAAAATACAATTCCCTGATCTCAATATGCTCAGTCACCACCCAAACTTCAAAAATCACACATGTAGTAATTTATTTATTTGTGACCGTACATTGATTTCTTTGTAGTATAAAAAAGTATAAAGAAGTATGTCATTTATATATTTGTGTACTATTATAATTTTAGATATAAAATGGCTTCCAGCTAATTACTTGACATGTTCCATAAGTCATCTAGGACGGTGGCCGAGTGTTGATAACAAATGCCAATTTTACGAATGTGCAGCAAACGTAAAAAACATAACAAAATGCATGAAGGGAAAATTTAGAGAAATTATAAACCGATTAAAAACAATAGCATTTGAAAGCAAACAGGTAGAATAAAATTACAACACTAAAATACATTTAATTAAAATTCAATTTTGACTTGATTGTTAGATAAGAGTGCAGAGAGAAATTTCACTCGGAAGTGGTAATGCAGTAGAATACAAAATAGATTCTTGTGTATCACTAATTCTACACCAATGTGTTTCTGGATACATTTACAATAAAATAACACAATCTTGTCAACCAGCAAGTACTCCTCAAGTTTTTTGTACAATGTTATAAGTTAAATGTTATTATCTTATTTAAAAACAAATTAAGTTGGTAGAAACACATTAACAAAATGCTATAGACAAATAAAATCTATTAACAATATTGTAATTTACGATAATTCATAATTCAAATATATTTATGCAAGTTATCAAAGAAAACTACATACTTTGATCATCATCGGAGGTTGACATCCAATTCCACAGGGCTGAACGCGATTCCTTGGAGAATAGCTTAGGAAATCGGTATTCGAGCAATGTTTCCAATAAATTATTTGCTCGGTTAGTTGCTACATTACGAGTACTGAAAAATGAATTTGCCAACCATTTACAAACAATTGTCAAACAAAATAAAGTATCCACAAATGTTTATAAATTACTCGAGAGCAATGATCTCATCACTTGATCGCCGTATTAGTAACACAGGCCCAGGATACTTGACTAAATTTGCAACAACGTGCAAGTCTGAAAATTCTCTAACAGTTGAAGCAACCAAACTTTCAGCAAAGCTAGGCATTCTAGGAATAGCCAACGGAACGAGGTCATCAAAAGTAGCATCCAGTATCTAATAGAAAAGAAATCAAATATTAAGCATTACAAATTTGAAATAACAACAATAAATTATACAGCGCAATTAAAACAAACTAAACAAATATTATAATGAACTTATATTTTTATTACCACAGCATGCACTTCTGGGAATTTCTGAGCTAAATACGTAGAAGCGAATCCACCAATACTCCAACCGTATAATATTATATCTTCAGGTCTAAATTTTAACTTTATTACGGCAAATTCGAAAACAGTTTCAGCTGCGTTTTGTTCTTGTTTTATGTAAGGAATGCCCTTGATACAAAAAATGTACAATCTGATATTATGTACGCATTGAAAAACATTTTGTCAACAATTTACAGCAAATTATTTTTAAGGTAATTGTAGTTTATGTATAATATTAAATATATTAAAAATATATAATATTTGTAACAGTTCTAGTTTAGTATTTAGTTGCTATTACACTTACAGTACTGTATCCAAATCCAGGATGATTCCATCCTAATACGGAATGTTGGGTATCAATCGCCGAGCTTAATATTCCTGCTTCATAAAATCCTGCATTTCCTTCAGTGCAAATTATTAACTTCGACCTACCCGATAAAGTATTTCTATTCCTGAGAAGAAAAAAAAAATTACAAGCATTTTTATATTGACAATGATTATAAAATGTATATAAAATTTATTACCCTACCTTTTATCTATAAATATAGAGTCTAAGAAATTTCCATCTAATGTTTTAAGTTTATGTCGAGTTCCGCCAAAAGAATTGATTAGAGCTCGTCTTCCTTTTTGTAAATTTTCATCCACTAAAATTAATATTAAAAAAATTATTATATTTTTTTATATCAATTTAATTTCATAAGGCACTCACTCAAATAAAACAAAAACGACGTAGAACCTGGATAAATTAATGATATACCGAAGGAATGTATAGCTAAAAATCCAATAAGACTGCTTGGACTTCTTAAAAGTCTTAAGGCGAGTTTTATATTTTCCTGCCTTTGGTTATATTTATAATTTTCCCTAAATTAAAAAATGACAATACATTTACAGTTCATTTGAAACAAATATTACTGAAACCAGAACTCTTAAATTAAATTGTAATTTTTAACACTCACTCGTCAACTAAACTCCATGAAAAGTCTATTGGCCACGCAGAAAAATCAAAATCGTAGCTATGCAGTTTTTTCTAAAAAAAAAAACACGATTATATTATTTGTTATTCTATAATTAAATTGTTTTCTTTTATTCTCTGTTGTTACTTGATTGGCTGTCGTGTATTCCGATTTTGCATTAATGAGATCCTGATGAAAAGCTTTATATTTTGGATTTATAGCGCGTCCATAACTTCTCAGTAAAAATGATGTCATCAATGTAGCTCCCAATATTGAGCCACGAAATACTAATTTGTAAATAAATTCGGGACTAATGCCGGAGATTAATGACCTACCGTAAAAATATATGAGTACAGGCGATAAGTACGTAGCTACCCGCGTTAACATATAAGTCTGAAACAAACAAAAAATACATTTTTAAACGATAGTACATTAAGAATGTCACATGTTGAACCTATCGTCCATCAACTAAAAGAATACGATAACTTCCACCACTATCGATTTTGAAAACAACACGTGTAAAAGTTAATCATTATTATTGTAGTTAGTAACACAAAACTGCAAACTACACTATTAAACTAATTTTGTATTTTTTCGTGGAATAAAAATATTGACATTATTATTTAGCTCCATCCATATTTTCATATTACCAATCTTCCTCCTCAACAAATTTCATCAATTAGTCGTTTTTTAGAGCCACTTAATGTTAAGACTCTTATGACTACTTCACGCAAAGTAGGACAGTTAATAGATAAACAATAATAATGTAGACAAATAGTGAACAATTTTGAAAACAGATATTATATATATATTAAAATAAATAGTTCCCATAAGTCTTTTTTTTTTTTAATTACTGAATTAACACAAGTTGTTCTTATGACAAACAATTTTCAAATCCTATTTAAAAAGTTATCCATGTCACTATAAAATACAGTTTAGCTTATTATTATGTTTACTGCTAATTTTCCGTGGTTTTCGCAAACTTCAAGGTGGTGCCTGGTACAAAGTTCTCTATATCAATCAAAAAAATTATATTTATTCCCGTCCTTATAACAATTTTTGAACATATCATCAAATAAAACGAATACCACTCAATCTAAAAATGTTTTATATACACAATCTCGAAATGACTTAATGATGAGTTACGACTGTGCCCTTTAACTAGGTATTGAGTACAACTTATATAATAAATGATCTAATATTAAGTAGTTTAATTTATACATAACGTCCTAACAAAAAAAACAAAAAAAGTTATAGATACTATTTATAATAATGACTAATGATTTGTATCGATATTAGAAAAACTGTTTTGATATAGTATAAATATAATATCATTTTAAAATATTAAAAGTACATTTTTCATTCAAAAGTAAACTGAGTTCAGTATTCTAAACACTAAATTGTTTAATAGGGTATGGTCATAATGAAGATGGTCAAATGTAGTAGTCGCGACAATAATAATAGTTTCCTGGCATTAAAGAACCATTGAATGTTCAATAAAATAAAAATATTTTTGCTTGACTGTCTTTTTCTAATAACATTCATTCAAAAGAGCCAATTCCGTCCGTAAAGCGAATATAAGCTAATAGAGTGACGTCACATCAATATTCAAATAAATTGAGTAAGACACGCAATACGCGAACTAACTATTTATTTAAAATAATCAACAATCATTGCATACAAACATACATTAAATTAAACTAGTTTAATTAAACGTTAAACTAAATACAAAATTGTATACGACTTTTCATTGATTTCCCATTTATTACTATTATAATTTAAGTGTTTGAATGGTATTACCAGTTTAGTAAAAGTTAGTATAAAGGCTAATAATTTCTCTTACTTTTTTAGACGAATTTCAAAATAAAAGATACTATAAAAACTATGAACATGTTACATGATTGTATTAGGTGTAAATAAAAGTATAAACCGCTTATTCAAAGTAATTGTGCTGGAACTAAAATGAGCATACTTTTTTTGTCCAAACTCTTACTTTTTATTTTAATTGTACTATTTTACTAGAAATTTTAATTTTACAATAATGCATCAATCTATACACCATATTAGATGGCGAGAAGTTAAATTAGCATGGTTTCTAATTTTAGTAAGTGATATCACCCAACAAGTAGGTAACTAATATCTATTATTAATAATTATTATCTGTTATAACGAAGTGAAAAAAAAAATTGTAAAAGCACATTTTACTCAATTTTAGCTTCTTTTACACATTTCTACCAAAAATCTTAAAACAACATATAATAACTGATAACACATTGTTCTTAAAGGTAAACAAATGCACAAAAAGTATGCGCAGCAGTGAAACGTCATGTAACCCATCTTAACAACTTGATCAAGTATATTTAAATTTAAAAAGTAATACTTACAGTTAATATGATTCTGTCAGCTATTTTTTCTTGCCATAATTGAATATAATCCTAAAAAATATATATTTAAATAATAAATAGTGTTGAGTCATTTGTTAAAAGTTTGGATATTTAGATTGTAGTTATTCATATGTAACACGGATAATATTAGCATAAGGATTATATACAAAAATCCGGATTATCCCAGTTATTAATTGGATATTAGTATTTTTTTTTGCTTTGAAATTATCAAAATGATATTAAGCAGTAGTTGATATTAATGTAAAATGTACTAACACATTATTGTATGTAAAAAATTGGTGCAAAATTAAAAAAAAACCTATTCAAATTATTAAAACTGAGAGATGTGTATCAAATTGTTCAATCATTTTTAGCTTAAATGCAATAAAAGTATATACATTTTACATAGGTGTATTTTTTGGTGTGCTCAACATTTTTGGAACTATTTTCTCAAGTCGAGCGTCAATCGATTTAAAAATCAGAAGTTTAAAATAAATCCCAGAAACTAACTTATTATGTAGAGTAAAATTTATCAATTTCAAAAATCGCATCAACATTTTTTATATTACACGTAGTTTTTAAGATACAATAAAAGGGACTTTTAATACCAGTTTTTTTAATAATGATAGAATGTACTATTATTAATAGCATTTTTGAAAATTTTTACCATTGTTAAAACCTACCTAACACACCACAATTCACATTGTTTTTCTTGCCAATCAAATGCCAAAAAGTACGAATTAGCAATTAACACTAATAAGTAAGGATAAAGTTCAGTTTCAATACCAAAAAAGATCGGCGATCTCAGTATAATATTATAGTTAGTATATGTAGCCTGGTATAATTTACTGTACACACGTTAGGACAAGAAAATGTAATGTAATAACCTATGTAAATCATTTTTATGAAATTGAGAAATTTGTAGCTAACGGTCTACACCAAAAACAGTGATAATATTTTTAACACATCGGGATCAACAGTATTTTAAATTTTTGGCAAAAACGGTAATTTAAACGGTTGTGGCTAAAACGGATCCTGTTTTATGCAAATGAGTAATTCCCGAATAACTAAGCAAAAATGACACTAGAATGGGCAAGGTAGGTTAATTTAGGCTTTAATCCATCTATAATTTACGAATTTGAAGATTTATAATATCATAAAAAGTGAAAAATTACATAATAATATATGCCCATAGGGTACAATTTTTACTCGGCTTTGCCTGAAATGTCCTACACCGCCACTATTTGAATAAGATGACACGTTTTGATGGCAACTGGGCAATAAAATACTTGGGTACCTATAAATGAAAGAGACTGTCGAGAAAAAACATTAATACGATTCTTATCATATTTTAAAATCTTAATAATGACCGTCAACTTTTAACTTGCACTTTTTTAATACATATCTCATAAGTGAAAGTTAGGACGTAATTAAAGAAAACTATTTTCAAATAAACGTTTGAATTTGTTTATATATGTATACTAACAAATTAGTAACGTTTATTTGAAAATAGTTTATATATATATATATAATCATGACGTGTAACCTAATTCCAAGATAATAATGAATAGTAATGACTTTTGTAATTTATCTCGTTTTGATAAGAATATTAGACAACACTATATAGTCACTATGGTAGACCGTAGTCGGTAGCCAATTCAGTATAAATGGGCCCCGTCATTATTTCCGTTTCATGCGATAATTCATTTACTCTATTCGCAGGTAGCTCGATTTTATTATTATTACTATCTAGTCACTAGTACATTGCAATTTGTACTATTGTAGCAAAATAGTATTCATAACCTTTGTCTTTTACATAGCAAATGTTTCACACACATAATGTTGCGATGTAAATCTTATTTTATAGGCCTGCAACATTATCTTATCTAAGAGTCGCAAAGGTCATTTAAATGTAGAGGGAACATTATGTTAAATCAAAAAAAAAAAACGTATGTTAGTCAAATTATTGTGACTGCGCGTTTCATACTGACAACACAACAGAGTTTAACCAAGCTAATAATTTCGTCCTTGCTACAGAGTTACCAGTGTTTATTAAATTGAATCGTTTTATTATTTGGAATTAGGTTTGTGCTCTGAGATGTTTCATTTTAAAAATGGCGGTAAGTCTTATACATATAAATTATATAATAATGTACATTCAGCTAATCATTTTAAAAATATTAGTTTTCTTTTTTTAATTTTAAATGAGTTAGGATATATTTTTAACTACAAAGGACAGAATGACTAAATGCCAAAAATTATTGACTAAAAGTTAAAGCCTTGCGTTTACAAATTTGGTAGAAGTAAATATAATGTTTTAAACTTAGCCAAATGTTAAACCTTTTACACTCATGTAGTATTATTTAAACATATTTCAGAATTCAGACAAATAAGACTAACAATTAATAATAAATAAACTAAATATTATGTGTAATTGCATAATATATGATAACTTGACCTTCAAATCTGCTCTAGCTACAATACTGGTTTTAGTTGTTCATTTAATAGGAACAGTTAATACATAGAATCCCATAGTTTCAGTTTAGTATTTTATCAATATTTTAGTGGAATTCATTATTAAATAATACATTTAAAAAACAATGGTAGTTTAAATTAGTTGTCACTTCAAATCATAATAATAATTCATTTAATTTTATACAATATATCTATATTTTTCAAAATTATCAAAATCCAACAACTTGAGAAAAATAATAGAATAGAGTTGTAATTGTTTAAGATATACATTTAGCATGCTATATATACTAAGGTTCTATATAAAATTATTACATTTTATAAAATTAACAAATTGTATGCTTAGGTTAAAATTATAATATATAAAATACATTTTTGGAAATTATTTAGTATACCACACTAATATTTCCAAGTAGTAGATTGAATGATTATAATGTTTCTATAGTTCCCAACTATATTATATAATCATAGTTTTGTGATAAGGATTTTAGCTAGACCGCAATAATATTTCACGTTAAAATATATTTTCATTAACCAGTTTCAAAACTATATTACTCAGAAAGATAATTTTACAAAATTAATAATTGAACTTATAAATGTGTGAAGTCAAATCTTAAATTGCAAAACTTAAAATTATGCAATAATATGCAACTGACGAGATTTGTATATTAGTTTAATTTTGAAAATAAAAGTGTGACAGAAGAACAATATATAATCAGGTAACGCAACATTTTTCTCTAATAAAAAAAGTATTAATAATAAAAAGTACTTTCTTAAAAACCATCAAACTTCAATTATTAATGAAGTTATACTCATAAAAATTGTTCTATGCATACATTTTATTAATAGTTTACAATTATGAATTAGCTGTATTAGAAGTTGCCTAATTTTATTTAACTGTCTGATTAATCGTCTTGAGCACTCGTGCAGCTCACAAATTCTTAAATAGATGTAAACAGAGAGTTAGTTCTCAATGTTCAGCTACAATCCTTATGCTAATTGTCTCTGTACAAATTACAATGCTCTACACCAGACTCAGAAAGTTGGCAAGGTATTTATAACAGAAAGCCTGAGTCCAATGTTAGGAATCTAGATGCTCAATAACTGATATACAGCATAATTTTATAAAATAGTTTTTTAAATCTTAACATGAAAGCAGATTATGTATGTAAAATCTTAACATGTTAAAGAATGAATATTTTAAACGTTCCAAGTGCCAAAAACAGAAATATTTATTTTATTTACAATTTGTAATTTACATTTGATTTGTTAACAATTTTAGATCTGGTACATCTTAGTAACTAAAAAAAATGTCCAAGTTATTGCATTTTGAACTTAATTGATGCTTTAGCATTTTCTCAAAATCAATAGCCGACAAGAGGTATCTTTTCGCTTCCCCCATTGTTTATAAATTATTACAATAGTCAGTAGACGGTTATAGCTTTTGCTTTTTTCCATTTAAAAATATTTATTTGTTAGTCATGTTACCGTCATACCAAAATAGCAAAGGCAATGTCACATCATAAGTATTATAAAGTTTAATTACTACAAATTTAATTGTGTTAACACTCATAAGTTACAGTAATTCATAATCCAAACCTACAGAATAAATTATGAAATAAATTTCCAGCATTCTGAGAATGCTTAGAGGAATGAATAGCGTGACAAGAAAGATAAGGAAAGGACAATAAAATAATACATAAGAGGTAGCATAGGTGCGGTTTTTCAAATGAGAGAAAACCGTCCGAGATGGTCATGTTATAACATATATGAAGAGAATGGAATCAAAGCAGTAAGAATGGTAATAAAAAAAAACCTAGGAGGAAAGAGGAAGACTGAAAAAAAGGTGGTTGGATACTTGGATATAATTGAGAATGATATGAAGACTGCTAGTGTATGCAAGATGGTGTGGGAGATTGTGTTGAATAGAGGTTTATGACAAGGCTAGTCGACCCCAAGTAGTAGTGAAAAATGAATACGAATAGGAAAAAAAAAGAAGAAATTTCCAGCGGATAAAATTAAAGCTAAATGAACTTAAGACAAAAATTAAATATTTGTATTACCCAAAATGATTGTTAATACCGAGTAGTAAATCATGTAGAATATACCATATTAAATGTAGAATACAGAATATGTAAATACAAGATATATTTTTACCGTAGTTAAGAAAAACAATAATTTGTCATCCAACAACACAAAACTTAAAATCTATAATAGTATATGCTTGCTTACATCATCTCTGCGGAGTCCAGTGTATATTTTATATAATTTTGGCGTAAACATATAATCAATAAACAAATTATACATTCTAATTTTGTAAAGAACTTAACTAACCAGAAAAAACTTAAGAAAAACTGAGTAAATACATACTGGTCTAAATTAAAAAACCAGTTTTTTTAGTTCATTACGTCAAAACTTGAATTTAAAAAAAAACAACTCATCAGTAATCTTGTCTTGGAAAGGTCACATAAACTGATAATAGTCTAGTGCCTACAGATAACAGCAGCAGGCAGCTGCAAAACATTTTATTGAAAATACAGTTTTGTACTGTGAACCTTCATGCTTTGATAACAAATTCCCGTTCGTACCCTTATTAATTGTGGCTACACTGAAAGCAATTGAATACATAATAATTGACCTAATAATATAATATTATCTATGTGGTAGTTGCCGCTTGCCAGTTGGTACTATCTAAAATTATTTAGTTCATTAATAATTTATTATTTGATCCAAGGGTACTATATTATAGAATACTATTAATGAAAAATACACAAGTATACGATTAACGTCGCATACATAGGTGTACCAATACTGTCGTGCTAAGCAAAAACGCAGTAACTCCACAAAATGTTAATTGTTGGGAAATCGCATTTGAAATTTTGACATCTCATTAAACTCATATTAAATTTAAAACTTATATTGAACTCGTAGTAAATCCATGGTATTACTATTTTTTTGCTTCTGATTTTGAATTACTGCATTTTAGATTTTGAAATGTAAATAAAACAGATTAGAAGTTTAAACATGAAATTACGTTATTTTTACTTAAAAAAATCATAAAAAACTGTCATAGAAACCAAAGATACCATAATCACAAAATGACAAAATTTAAAGTTACTGCGTTTTTGCTAAGCACGGCAGAATAGTTTTCAATAATTATTTAAGTATAATATTTTAATATGGAATTAGTTTTATAAAGTCTAAGCCAGAAAATATATTATGATAATACATAAGACTTAAGAGTAATAAAACATTTTGTTTGAATTAGAAAAAATATTGTATTATCCAGTCTTTACCACCATAACCAAAAATGTAACATGATGTGTACTCTAGCAGCTAAAAAATAATTTATTTTTATTTTTATCATAATGAAAACAGTGTTTTTCTCCAACTATAATCGAAAGTTGTAAACAATAAACCTGTAATAATATTTTGACCGTTAATCCAACATGTCAGAACATGAGGATGATGTGAAGTAATAAATAATTATGAGACGGGAGACCCAATGTAATTGCCCCTAATGACCCGCTTTGACTTAAATTTTGTTGAAAGGCAATAGTATTCTTCAGGTCACATTGAACTTGAATTATTTATTTAATAAAAACTAATGTAAGAAAAAGAAATCTTAATAACACCGAAATAATCATAACGACCTTGATTATATCTAATTGAAAAATGTAATCGGGACTTTGTAGGTTTCAGTTTCGTATTAATATTATGAATAAAATAACTATCAGTCTAATAATTATTCGAAAGTTAATTTTTCAAAGAGTACACATTATAATAAAATACATGCAATTTGCAAAATGGGCAAAGAAGCTGGAGAACACCAAATCATAATTTTTGATTTCATATTTGTCACTCGGTGATTTATCTAGCATTAATCTATCTATTATTCGTAATTTTTTAACTCTTAGGAAGTTACTATAACCCAAAAAACTAATAACTCGTAAATAATGTAATTTTCAAAAGTTGTTTTTGTTATTTTATATGCCAATAGATTCCGAATGATGTTAAATAGATTTTATATCAGATATGTTGCATCAAAATTAAAAAGTTAATTCATTTTTTGAAATAAAATGTTAAACTTCAACTATTTATTGCTCAACAAATAATTTTAAGTTACGATAAATATTTTAAACTTTAAAAACTTTAGAAATACATAAAATATAATTGCAAAACGTTTTGGTGTAAAATTTACACTGTAAATATTAATTTTTTTATTCATAAAGTTCGACCTTTGTTACTATTTGCTTTTAACATTTTTGTTTCATACGTTAAATTTGTGACCTATCGCTTGTCACTAGTAAAATACGTGGTTTTTAAATAATATATCGTAAAATAATATCGAAAATCGAGACTACACTATATTTTTGTACTTAATTTAATATTAGATTCGACCTAATCTATTTAATTTTAACTACTGCAGTCTACAATGTATCTGGTCGATAAAACCTATTAAAAATACACATCCTACCCTAATCGTAGATTCATATATAATGAACGGTGAACCAACAGAACTCCGTTGTTCTGTCCTCGGTACCGTTCGTCGCAGCAGCAGCTGCTCGACCGTCAACATTATCCCACGCGGAGCGTTCAAATGCGCATGCGGTCATCTTTTGTAATCAGTAGGGTACCGCACTACAGTATATATAATAATATAATAATGCATCTGCTGGAATTACGTTTCAAAGGAATATAATATTCGCCTGTAAACACCGAACGTGCGTTTGACTACGCGTGATAACAGCATTATTCAATAATAATAATACCTAGTATTGATATAAATTATAATCATCCCTGGTGTAAACATTATTTTATTTTATTTCGTCCTTTCCGTAGGTTTTCTTACAACGACTAACATAATGATATTATATCATGAACCTTACATAAATATTGACTTTTGTGTAATAATTATATTATAATAGTGTAAAAACGTAAAGTGCGGCGCGATTTCCGTTCGTTTATTAATAGACACCTCCGCGCACGTGAAAAACAAAGTACCTATACGAATATCCTACACTCTCCGTGTACCCCTTCCAACGTCGGTGATGTGTTGTTTATGTGACTCGCAAGTCTCGCCGAACGCGGCTGTTGCCTGAGACGGTTTTTTTTCTCAATTCAATGGCAATTCGAAACGGCAACCGCAGCTAGTGCCTTGTCCGCCGCAGCTGTACGACTCCTCCGACGAGGGTTGTTGTTTTGAAAGAAAAAGACCCGCGTAGTACAGTTTTTACGGTTTTCTCGCCGCCGCGATACGACACATCTCGATTCGGAATCCGATATTATTGTATTGGCACACTATTTATAATATTTATAAATCGACAATTATTAATTTTTAATCGTTGCATAGACAATTTTTTTGCCCCCTAATATTATTTATACAAGACCGTACCATGTCTACAGGATTCAAACACAGGTAATTTTATGAAACGACAAATGTGTTATTATTATTTTTAGTTTCGAGGTAATTATAGATGCATCAAGTTTGTTATTATTATTGTTATATTGTTGTATATTATCTACCTACTCAATTTTAGACGACGTCAAAACGCCTACTTGCGATTTACCATAGAAAAATAGGCATCATAAATTTCAAGTTGTTTATTAGTTGATACCTTGTCGTTGTATTAAAAAAATAACGCACCAAATGATATTGCAAAAAAAAACTGAATAACTTATCAATAACCACTTGCTAGTATTTTAAAAAGTTGACCCTCTTGTATGCAGACCAACAATGCTCTTAGTTTTATTTCAACCATAGATAATTGTTTCATTTGTAAAAAAAAAAAATGTCTACAATAAGTACAATTGTACCAAAACGGAATGTTTTATAACATTTAGTAATATCTGTGTTTTTTTGTAAACTTCAGTGTTAACTTTTGTAAATTAAGATATATTAGTTATTATATATTAAAGAAAAAACAATTCTATGATTTTAGAACCATAATACTACTTCTCTTATTTATTTTAAACAATTTTGCTACATTACAAGTCGATATATAAAAACTAATTTTAGGTATTAAATATCAAATATAAGTAATGTGATTATATTTTAAAATAAATAAAATAGTATTATGATTAAGAACTTTTGAATTAGTAGTATTTATTTGGTAATAATACTCTATATGTTATTAAGTAAGTAGTACTACTACTACTTTAGTACTATTTTGTATAATTAAAATAATATTTTGCTAAAAATAAACAGAAAATGTAACTTATTTAGGTATATACATTTTTATTTATTTCTTAAATTTGTTGAATAGGTATGTATAATATATAATACATAATATAATATATTCAGAGCTGGTAATAAAAAGGGCGGATAGGTACATATTTTCATTATAGGAAATTACTTTAAAGGGTCTGCCAGAATAGAAAAAAAAATTACCTGCTTTACTCTTATTACACGTTTAATACAGAAATTAAACTTAAAACTATAAGATTATGAGAAAATATTAAAATAATGGAAATCATTTTGTTCGAAATATATTTTTTTTATTTACAAAAATTATAATTTTGTTAACACTACTTTTATTAGCCACTTAATCAATTATTTCTTCCAAGTTTATACCAATTATTAAGAACACTTTCTTTATAAATATAATTATAAATTTATCTAATAAAGTCATGTTGTGATAATGTACTTTATAGTACGATTTAACATGTATTAGTTTCGAGAAACCACACTCATGTCCTACTTGAGTAACTTGAACAAGAACAAGAAGTAACTTGTAGCATATTTAGGACGAAATTATTGTATTATAAAAAAAGTGAGTGATATTGTGGAGGCTGCCAAGATAGACATAAACGAGGGTCCTGTGGGAAAATTCCTCTTTCCTTAGGCCTCTTTGCCACAAGAACTGAAGACCCAAACCAGGGCTTACCTAGGCTTTTTTTTTAATACCCATTCAGACCAATTAACTAATTTTTAAATTTGTTTTCTAGCAATTAACCTTAAGAATACTACTGTACTGTATGATAATTATTAATATAGTTATGTCTAAACCAAGACAATTTTAATCAATTTTGCAGTTTGCTTAATAATGCAACAAATACAATAGAATTTAAACTGGGACTAGTTTCCATCAACATGTATACTGCAATATTTTACTAAAAATTATTATTTGTAATAATGTACAATAATCCCTAATCTCCTGGGAAATTTTAATAATATCTCTAAGGATTTCTATGCAATATTGAAAAAGTATTAAAGAATTTTATAATGGCTTAATTATAACGAAGAAGCACAATAGGTTACTTTCTTATTTCCCTAAGCCCATTTGGGGATCTTGTAGAAAAATCCAATCCAACACTAATAATAATAAAGTTATATGTAGGAACTGGGACATCCTGTACGGTTTATTAGAAACAACACGATAACTCATAAATTGAAAAGTATAAATGGAAATCCAAGTTGATCCTATAGGATTTACGGTGTGTTAGGATTAATCTATAATATTTACACAGTTAATAAAAAAAAAAAGTGTTTACAGTTGTCCTTTTAGCATTATATTTGAGATAAACAAATTTATTTGTTACACCTTTCTGTTGGTTCTAAAAGAAACTCCTTAGTAAAAAAAAAAAAAAACTAAAAAATATATGTGGTGAATATAGATATAACTATTTACAAAAGCAATATTAAATGTGTTGTAAATAATATTTTTTTGAACATTAAAGTAAAAGTATAGTTTTTAAACAAAATTAATTTCTGATTTCTAAAACTTTCTGCTCCCTACATTTTTTAATGTCTTAGGCAAAACTAATTCTTTTAAATAATATTCAATATTAGGAATTACCTAATTCCTAATTACTATTTTGTAATTTTTTTGTATTGTTCAAGTATTGTAAAATACCATTTGTTTTGTTTATAGTTGTTCCACCATGGATTTGGAATTTGATACATCTACTACACTTATAGAAGACGTTACATTACCATCATTATTGACCAGCTTTAGTACTACTACTAATAGTTCAGTAGAATTTACCACATCAGAGTCAGAATCTGATACAACTCAACACATACCCATACAGAAACAAAAGATAGAAAAAAGTTCTTATAAGGGCCCAGTAAAGTCATTTTCATTAGCTGATTTAACAACAATTAAGTCATTTAAACCACTGATTCGTGAAGATTCAGCTATATATTCTACAGAGACATTGACCAGTGCAATGACTACACGAACCGATTCAGGCATTCACCAATCTAACGGTTGTATTAATGCAACAGGGAAAAATAAGAAGAAATATGCACATGTTGAAAGTAAAGTTAAGCAATACATTAAAGATATCAAAGAGAATGAAGCTAAGAGCAAAGCTAACCGGCATAGTTTACAGCCTTTATCACAAAAACAGCAAGAAAGTCTACTCGTTCAAAATAAAAAAACTGAAAATGATGAAATTTTAGGTTTGAAGTGTAACTTAAAAAAGTTAGAAATACAGTTATTAGAAAAAAATCGTCTTATTGAACAGCTTCAGTATAATTATAAGTTAATGGAGAACAAATACAATTCAGCTACAAAATTGATTAGAAGAATGGCCAAACCTAGTAGAGATATAATACAATTTACTGAAAACGAAGTAGAGTTGAATGAGCAATTATCTCCTGCCCATAGTATTCCACCACCTGAAGAAGTATGGGGACGTAATCATAGAATGAATTCTGTTATAACATCAACAATGAAGAAAGAAAAATCTAGAAATGACAAAGAAAATATTCTTAAAGTTAGAAAAGTAAAGTCTGGAGGAAACTTGGTATATAATTCTAATGTTGATGTGTATAAAACACTCAGAGATTCAAATTCTGCTATTCAAAAGGTAAGATTTGCCAAATGGTATACTTTTATATTTATTTTGTTCTACTGTAAGTAAAACCTATAAAACAGAATTGGCTCAACACAGCTAATAATTTAATTTCAAAAAATACAAGCAATGTGTATTGAGAAGATTAACATGATAGATAAGACTTAAACAAATGTATAAATTAACACCAAAAAAATAATGCATACTGGACAAACTTATTTGTTAAAGTCAAAACAAGTAATAATTGTTTTCCGCTCTATATCAAAGCTAAAGTAATGCTAAATTATTTATTTTTTAATAAAATGTAGAATTGTACCTAGTTCAAAAAAACAGCGACCGGTTAGAGAACATTTCCATTTGAGGTATATTAAAATATTAGTTAAACTTTTGCAAACTGTGGATTTATCAAAAAGAACTTTGTGAAAAATCTATAACATGATAAAAGTATTTGTTTATATAAAAAAAAAAAAAAGATTTATTTTAAATAATAAAAAAGATTTCTTTACCCGAGGTTTAGAGTTTCAGAAATCATCCATCTGTTTGCCATTCGTTTTCACATATTATTTAACAAACCCCGAACCACAGCTGGAGTCTTAATAATAAAAGACTTTTAGATATTTTTCTAGTAAAACTGTCTCCTTCATATACACCCTATTGAAGGAAAAAACATCTGCTTAAAACCTACTTGGTAATAACTCACCAACGAGCATTAAAAGAGCATAATCAAAATACGGTTGACAATAAATCTGTAGATTTTAAAATATCTAGTAGGGTTTTATTTTTTGCTAGAAATTATGTTCAATGATATTTTAATGCTAAAGTATAACAATTTGGGTTAAAATCGCGGGATACTTACTCGTACAGGCTCGGCCGTCTAAAATTTTGTATTTATGGATTTTCTTGTTAAGGATCGTTTTTGTACGTTTTGCCATTATTAATAATAGCATTCAGTATGTAATATCAAAAACCAGTATTCAAATCGAATAAAACGTGTAATATAAATAAATGAAAATAAGTAAAACCATTAACGTTCAGTAATAATTAACATGTGTTTGGTTACTTTCCCTCCACGAAATTTCTGGAAATACATAATATTAGTATATTAGATATTTAGTAAATCAACGGTTAGCCCTTCTCAAAATAAATTCCTGGCTAATTATTTTTTATGGATTGTTACATTTTTTACATAACAATTATTTAGCAGCAATTGTACATATTGCCATATTTGTTTTTTATATACATCGTAATTAATATTCGAGTCTCTCTTATTCACTTTGTGTTTATTTTGGCTGTATAACCTATTAGCTACCTTCGCGTTCGGCTATTTGTAACGTTATCCACTTGGCTTTGCGGTAACGTGTGGCCGTGGTCCAACAGTGTTCCCGCATTCTAGCTGTTAAGTTTGCGCGCTCGTTTATTTTTAACCGCTACACAGTGATGACGATTTTTAAAATGTCTCCGTGTATAATAGTTGTTGTTAAAAATACAAAAAAAAACTTGGCGTGTTGGTTTTAGCCATTTCTCTGCGCAACATCAAAACTCGAAATCCGTTTCCGTCAATCGAATTGTTGTGTATCTTGGCGAGGTTCCCGGACTTACTAAGAAAATCCAATAAGATATGATAAACAACTTACTCCACTTAATATACCGTGTAAATATCGGATGTATCTTAATATATTTGTTTAAAAACCGGGCAACGTTTTGCTTAAATAGCTTAAAATTGATTTAGAGGAAACTTTGAAAATCCTGTTTTTATTGTTTTGTCATTTATTCGAGATTTAAGTGTTGTCACACACTTAAATCACAGACGAACCAGAAGGGAAACTTTAAAAAAAAAATTTCATTACATGGGTCCTTATGAGCCGCCGAATAAGGTCGACTGGTTTATTGTTTTTGTGGCCGAGAGCCAGACCATAGTAGACGTAGTAGATGTATAATTCCAGAAAAAAGAATTTTAATTTATTGTACTTAATCCGAAATAACAAAATGTGGGACACTTTATCAGTCCCGGTTTGTGTTCCCCCTTCTGTTTTCCGTGCTTATACAACACAATATTAATATATTCCAACTAAGACAAATTGAACTTTAAAAAAAAAAAAACCTGCTATTTATAAGATTTTTAACGTTCTTAAAAAAGTACCATGTAAACCATTTTTTTTAAACAAATTTAACCGACCTGTAAGATGATTAATGCTTTTTCGTGTTTGTATTGCTATCAAAGTTCACATCGACCATATAAACTTATAGTGACACATTCCGCCGGCGAGGCGTTTGACGACTCTATTGTATGTTATATGTTTATAAACGTCTTCCTTCCTGTTGTTCCGCACACGACAATGTATTATTATTGTTGTTGGCCCCTTTTATGTTTTCTAAGACACGTGTGGTCTTCTATAGTCTTCGAACAGCATGAAACGAGTAGTACTATTTTCATCCCCTTAGTGTTCACCAGCCGAGAGGGAAATCTGAAATCTGTGCATATACACGTGTGCTACCTAGCTATTTGTACCAACACCGACGAGTGTTCAATTATAAACCGGAAGGCAGATGTTCTATTATAAATATTATGTCACAGGATACTGTAAAATTAATAGCTGAATTCCCAAAATTTGTATAGAAAAACCAATAATGTTTGGTACTCACTGAAGTATGATCTTGCAATTTTTTTATTATTATACAAAATTTTCAAATCAAACAACATTTACGAGTAGTAAATATTATAAATAATTAATAATATTACAATATTTATTATTGATACATTACGTTATTACTTGTTTGTTACAAATATTTGTTTAATTTAATATTATTGTTTGTTGATTTCAAATTTAGTTCAACATTGTGATTTTACTTCTAATTTAATTCAAAAATATTTTCAGGTAAAATTGTGGCAAGAATCGTTGGCGAGCACTGAAGTTTCTGCATTAGACACAGACAATGAAATGGATGATCAATCTCCGCAATCTTACTCTGTATCTTCTAATGATTTATCCTTAAGCTCATTAGAAATATCACCGGTGATTATTCCAAGTAGTCAGTATCCCAAAAAACATGAATGCCGCAGCGATTCCTCAGGTTGTGGTATGTCTTCTACCAGAGTGTCTAAAGAAAATACGCTAGTGAGTGGTATCAATTTGGAGGTCGGTGATGATATTATTTTGAGACCAGATCAATTCTGTGATGAAGAAATTGGGAAACTGCCATCATCGACTCCCATCAAACCCATTTCATCACATCATTTGTGTTCTTCAGTGTTCAAAGTCCTGAACGAAATAGACGATAAAAGGAATAACGAGTCTCAAAAACGTCACTTGACCAAAAAAATTAGAAGAACGGTACATATGATTATTTCAGTTAAATAAAAAAAAAAATTCCTTCACTAATTGTTATGTATAATAATAAATATTAGAATAATTAATGTACCAAATTTTAATTACAGAAGTCCAAAAATGCAGTGTGTGAATGTACATCAGAAGCTGATGAATTTATGGGTCAGTTCAAACATTGTATTGGTGTCATAAATGGTGTAGTCACCAAAATGGAACAGAGTTTCAAGTCACAAAGATAATTTTCAAATATTAATTGAAATGTGACGTGTTTATATATGTTATATTTATAACGATAGAAATTGTTTATATATATTTTTTTTACGTTTAATGAATTTGTCCATTATTTAACTATAATTTGTTATGATTTTTATATTATGTATTATTTATGTGCGTTGCCACCAAAATTTATTTAAAAAAGGAAATTATTTAATTATATAAACATTTTGTACCCATGATGGTGTGATTATATATAATCATATTAGACAAAACTAATATAAGATTGCAAATCTAGTATATCATTTAAAGTTATAACTATAGAATTGTAGTAAAAAGTATATTGTTTTTTCAGTATTTATTTATTGTTTTATATCGTAGTAAACAATTTCATGATCAAAAGATTGTCATATAGACTACTTTTTTATATTAAATACAATATTTGTCCCCAAATTCCTAACATCATATTTATGACTTATTAATATTATTCACTGTAAAATTCTTTTTGAATCTAAAATCTAAATAATATTAATTTACGCTATAATATATAAATATAATAACTACTTATGTATGTCTCCATGAGCAAACTTGTTAAATAAAATGATTTTAAACTTACACTACTTACTAATAATAAAAATATATAAATTATGTTTTAAGCTGTATGTTAGCTAATTGAATACTAATTGCATAAGTAGAATGTGTTTATTTATTTATTTGTATTACTAATACAAATATATGACTATAATTTTTTTTATTATTATTTATGTAAAAATAATTTAATTTGTGGCCATTAATTATTAACTAGTCTGAACTTAGCCAATTAAATTTGTTTTTTTATTGTTAATTTTTATTTCATTATTATTACTTAAAAATAATTTCTGTTGTATGTTACTTTATATTTAAGCTACTTAATTTTAGTTGTATTTAAGTGCCATACATAAAATTAGTGTTTGTAAATAGGCGTGTCTAATAATGTTAACAATAAGACTGATTCACCTAATTTGAAAATTTAATAAAAAATAACATAATAATGTATTGTAGTCTTATATTATAAAACTATGAGATCTATAATTTATTTTTTGACAGAGGCTTTGCTACCGCGGAACCTTCAGCAGCTGTTTCCCTCAGTATACCCCGATCCTGTATGTTTCAATAATAAAATGTGGAAAGAGACAAGTGTCACATAATATAAGATAAATAACACAATTCAAGAGGCCCTCACACGTCAATAATACTGACAGTATAGTCCTCAAATGGCCATTACTCAGTTTTTTCAGCTTTTGACTTCTCAACTAGTCTTCTGTGTGAACTGTGGTACTTCATTATTATTATTTTTTTTTTGCATTCTTTTTAAAAAATTAAAAAATACATTTTTTTTCACATTTTATATTTAAGCTTTGCATTTAATGCTTATAATACATGACTAACAATACTGTCAATAATATTGATCGTTGAGCTGCTTTAGATTTATATTCCCGGTGATATTTTCTCATGATTAACTATAAAGACCAAAACCCTGTAAATGAAATTGTCTATTTAAAAAAATGGTTATCAGGTCTAGCATAATTTTTCTATTTGTAGTACAATTAAGAATAGTATTATATATTATGTTTAAATAACACTTAAATAAGTTGTTTTTACTTGTCTTTTTTTAAAAATTACTTAACAGGCATTTAATGTCGCTACAATTGACATTTTTATTGACTGAAAAAATGTTTAAAAATAACAGAAATTATTATTGTAATGAAAAATGGATTTTTTCTTTTTCTGTAATCCTCCTTCCAGAAAAATATTTCTGGATAAGTACATTACAGGTAACTTTGGAAACTAATATAATAAGAAACGATCTATAATTTTCGCCACAAAAAATTCAAGCAAAACAATAAATTTGCTCTAACTACTATTATCATATCGCACACTTAGATCAAAACTGTAGCAACTCAAAAAACATCTTTTTTTCAGGAATTCCAAAAAAATTATTTTCAAGTTTAGTTACCTTAACTTGTTAATTAAACTGTAACTGTTTATTTTCATAAAACAGTTTTGTACAACGAACCCACGTGCACTCCGCTTGATGTCTGAGTAGAAACTAAAGTTTTATGCGATTTTGGTAGTTAGGATTATGGGATTAGTCATTTTTACAAAAATTACCTACAATGCCATATTTTGGAGTAATCAAGATAAATTTTTATTTGTTTTGTAGGTTCATGCAACTTTGTTTGTAGAATCCGAATATACAAATAACTAAAAATACCCACTTTTGGAGTTGTTACAGTTTTGATCTAGGTATGCGATATTATATGTTTGACTGAATGTGCTTATTATAATTTGCTGAATTACAATTAAAGCTTTAAAAAAAATAATAATCGTATTAAAAATTAAATATTTAAGAAAGAACGTAATACCGAGTTTTTTATTACTTACAAATAATTTTAATGTTTAATACAGTAATATTTACATATCTATTGTTAAAATAATGGTTTAGAAGTATACAAATTATGCATTAGTCAATAAGTATGAAAATTACGTTATTGTATCGAATGTATTTTAAACATAATGAATAAATGAATTATCTAGCTATATTAAAATCACAATGAAATAATTTAAAAATGGATTAAGACACGACAAGGAAGTATTATAAACACAATTTTTCTCTTAAAAAGTATTAAAAAAAAAAAAAAACCATCTTAAACAAAAAACAAAAATATACAAAGTATTTCAGTCATTTCTTTAGATTTAATTGTGAAATTATGAATTAGTTGAAGTACAATTAACAAAGATACAAAATAAATATACACATTCATGGATTAATTTTAAATGATCTTGTGATAAATAATAATATAAAAATGGCTTGCACAAAAATCAATTATTTTACAAGAAAATTGGAGGATAACAATGAATTTCATAAAAGGTGATTTTCTCAAGAATACTTTAGGGAAGTATATTAGATACAAATTCGTCCATACTACGGCATTATTGAAATAACTTTTAAAAAAAATGCTACGAGTTATTTAGTTTGAAAATTTATAAAACCTTCTATACGAAATATTTATTATACAAAAAAATGGTTAACATACAAACAATAATTTTAATGTGTGTAGCCTTACATACTAGAAAGTAACTATTATGTACCAAGATCATTTAGACTAGGTTGTTTGTTATTAAAGTTCAATTTAAAGTCTACTTCATATAAAATAAAAATTACATAGATACAGTAGCACTGAAGTTATTTCTAAAGGATGCATTTAACTTAAATTTTCTCTGTTTGCAAGACTGTCATTCTGTCCTATACATACAAGCGAAAATAGTAAATATAGATAACATTAGTTATGTTTGAAATGTAGTTCAGCGCTACTGTATGAATGTCTCATACATAAAACTTTTGAGTAAAAATATAATATACTCAACAGTCTTCTGTTTTTTTTCTTTATGATATACATGTAATAGGTAAAAATTATCTAATCAGTGCAACTATGACACAATCGTTGAAGATTCATATTTGAGTGTAAAAAAGCATTGAATAAAAATAATTTACACCCAAACGTAAAACCTCAAAGATTGTCTTATGTTCTTACTAGGATTTTCTGTGTTTTTTTTTCTTTGGCTCTTCTGTTTTTTCATTCTCACCTGTTGTCTTATTAGAACATAAAACGGCTAAGAGTTTCCTTTGCAATTTTATTTTCGTCCAATCCAATTTTGTCATTTTTGCTTCATTCTTTAAAGATTTTGATTCCAATATTTTTATAATGTCATCAATGTTTGTTTGTCCATCAGAAGATTTGCACTGGTGCTTTAAGCTCCTCGATATTGCTCTCCTTTGGTGATCTAACTGTGGAAACAAATCTTTAGATACCTCCAGAGCACTATTTGCAGCGTTCATTTCTGCTCTTTGTATACTGTGGCCAGTTGCCTGCGATAATCGTACACCTTTAAAGTATACAGCAACTGTGTATTTGCGTCCATTAGTAGGTCCCATGCATTCAATAACTTTGTAAACGGGAATGTCGGGTTCCCCACCATCCACTGATCTTAGAGTTAAACAGCATTGCTGCAATTTAGATTTTGGATCATTCCAGTCTTGTTTCAGAATGAAATCATGAAGACGAGGGAAAAAACATACATTACAAAATGCCTGACAGTGTTTTAGTCCTTTATCAATATATAAAGCTCCAAGAAAAGCTTCTAATAAATCAGCTCTGTCTTTAGTTTTCAGTTCTGCTTTTGGATTTGCATAAAGTGCGTAATTAACCATGCCCAAATCATCACAAACCACAGATTGTGTTCTATTGTTTACTAAAGAACTACGGAGAAGCGATAGATGACCTTCATGATGTTCAGGAAAATACTTATACAAATAATCTGATGCTATCAGTTGTAATACTGTATCGCCTAAAAATTCTAAACGTTGATTTGAACCCAATGTTAAATTAGTGAAACCGACACTTCTATCAGTAAATGCTCTAGCTAATAGTCTTATGTGGTTAAATTGTATACCAATAGCATCTTCAAACTTGGTTAGTTTTTGAAGTAAGGGTAATGTCTTGATCCATTTCCTATCTCCATTTGGCTCTTGTTGTTGTAGTGGATGTTTGGGATAATTGACCCATATGTTAAGTAGTTCTGGTGACTCCCTAAAAAAGGTTTTGCCAAAAACACGATCGGCTACTTCAATTCCACCATCTAAAAATAAAGCTCCCATCAAAGCTTCAAAACAATTAGCCATCGCATGTTTGAGTTCTGAATCGTGGCATAAGTCTGAGCCATGAGCATACAACATGAAGTCATCAAGTTTCAAGGTTTTTGCTAAAACAGCAAGATGTTGATTTTGCACAATTGCAGCCCGAAAAGTGGCTAATCCTCCTTCTTCAATATCTGGGAACATGTTAAATAAATGAATGGAAGATACAAATTCAACCACGGCATCTCCTAAAAACTCTAATCGTTCATTATGCATAATATTTGATTCCATTTCTGATTTTTTACCAAAACGTGACATTATATTAATCAGTGTATTTATGCCTCGTTTTCTTGTGTTCATATAATGAATTCGTCTATCTCCATACTCTGGTTGTCTTATACCACAATTTGTTAATGCATTTCTAGCATGATCAGGATTAGTACCAAAGTTTTCTCGATATGATGGATGTGTAAGGGCTAGTTGTAGCAAGTATTTGTTTTTAAACTTATACTCTAAAGTATTTTCAAGGTATTCTAATGACTTGTGAAATCTAAAATGGCATACAAGTACTGGCAAAAGCATTGCGTGTTGAACAATATCACACATAAGACCCGTTTTATAAAATCCTTTACTAGACACAGCGGCAGTAACACCACGTTTCATTTTATTATGTGATCTCATTTCTTGTAATGCTCTTTCTTTAATTTCCAATTTCCTCTTATCTTCGAATGAAGGTTTAGGCATATTGGCCAGAAGATGTCTAAATTTCACATAGTCACGCCAACCTTTTTGGTAATCCGGGTTACCGGCATAACTCAATTGAGGTGGACGGATACCAAAATGCACAATTACAGGGTATCCGTCATTTTTCATTTTTTCATTTGTTTCATTGACTGCATCTCTATCTAGTTGGTCTACACGTATTGAACAGGGTTTTGATCCAGGGTTTGTCACTACCATGCCTTTATACTCGTCTACAATGTTTTGCCACTCATGCATTGACATGTTTTTCAATGCCGAAAGAGAATATTCTTCAAAAAGTAACTTGTTATTGTTCAGAAGATATTTTAAAACTTCGTTCATTGAAAGTATTTCTTTACCGTGTCCAGGGAGATCTCTTACAAAACGAGGCATAAAGTGAAATTGAGGACACCCATCTTTGTTACCAATAGCGTGCAAATCTAAATCCACCAATTCTAAAATGTCTCTAAATAAATAATCATAAAATAATTGTAATTCTTTAACGATAAAATTATCAGGAATTTTTTCTTCGACATACAATATAGCATAGTTTGTATTAAAACGAATGACTTTGCAAGTGGGTAAGGGTGGAATGGGATAATGTGACAACAGTGAGAATCCTTCAAAAATGAAATCCTGATTATCGTGTGTTATTATTGTTGGGCACTTCAATAAAAAGTTTGTTGGAGGAGTAATAGTAATTCTGTAGTGATACAGCTTGTCAGAATTGTTTGAAATTGGAGAACATGGTTCAAAAGGTCCTTCGCCTACATAAATATTATGGCGTATACCTGTCCTTTGTGACTTAACACTGCACTTACACATCGGACCATCATTCATTTCTCCTACTTCATTATACCATAGTTCAGAGTGTAGTCTATCAGGATGAGCACTTTTTCTATCTAATTCTTTTATAGTAGAATCATCATCGTCTTCTTCATTACCATCGTCACATGAACTGCTATCATCATCTGAACAATTATTTCCTGAGCATTTATGTTTATGAACTTTGACGTTGTTTTTCCGTGGTTTATTGTATAATGGCTTTAAAGCATTTATAGCTGTTGCACGTTTTCCTAAAACTCTGTCAAATTCATCACATAATTTAATTACATTTTCTTTTCCAACGGTAATTTTAGGGTTCTCTTCGGGCTTTTCATAATATAAATCTGCTGGTGCTGATCGAGTCCAAACTTTTTTTTCAGCATTGATAATTTGATCAACAGACATTTTTGACAATATTTCTAATTCCGCAGATAGTTCTTCAGCAGTTTTCATACCTCTGCGTTTAGATTTATTCAGTAAATGGCCCTTGGAAGATTGAGTACGACTGCCATACTTCAAATCATATTGATTGCGATTTACTACAGATGAACATTTTCCACTAGAAATATCAGTTTTTGTACTCAAAAATTTATTAGTCAAATCAAACCAATCATCAACTTCTTTAGGTTTTTCATCCTTACCATAACTATTTGTATGTGGTGGTTGAGGAACTGATGTATATTTGTTATTACAACATCCAGGATCTTGAGGATGCTGAATGTAATTCTTGTTAAAAGATGCACTTGTACTATTAACAATAAATTGTTGGGATGTTGGTGAAGTAAAATTTTCAAAAAAAACATCAGTTGGAGAATGTGCAAAACCATTAACGTTAAAACAACTATTCATTGGAGCTGTAGACGGAAGTATACATCCGTTGGAATAAGGCACGTTGGATGGATTAACATATCCATTAGTATACAATTCATTTGCGGCACTAGGAGACTGACTTATATAAGGACTATTCAATGAACTGTTATTATAATAGATATTTGTGTTATTGGTAGGATGCTGAAAAGAATTTCCGTCGTTGTAATAATTTTGGGGATAAGTGTATGAAGGGTGATTTTGTTGATAACTATATATGGGTTGGTATGGTTGCTGCATTATAGGCAAAGATTGACTGTAAGGTGGCGTATCTGTGTTCATCTTGGTACACAATAATATTTCATCCAAATTATAAACATTAAAGGTCATTAACCATTATGTTTTCAATGAGAGCATCCTGAAAAAAATATTTCTTAATCAAGAATTTGATGAAGTCAAATAAGTATAAAATTGAACATGTTTTGTTTCTAATATTTGATATTTTTATATTAATAGCATTAGTTATAAACATTTTACAAAGAAATTATGTTAAAGAAAAAAATGTTGCACTGATACTTGTTTTAAAATGATATGAATAAAATATTATTTAGTCTCATTAAAAAAATAATTCGCTATGTAAACATAGTAACGTTTCCCATTCCTGTTTTTTATTACGCGGGGGCTGGCATTTGGTAAAACGTACATACTTTTATCATTTTGACCTTTTTGAGAATTTTGGTTGGCATTAAATTTTTCCAGAAATGTTGGCAAGTGATTCGCAATTACACTGGTATAATACTACTAATTAATTAAAGTAAAATTATATTTAAAAAAAATTGTTTTATTTGAGTGGTCTAATACCGCACGTCTCTTAAAGGTTAAAGAAGAAGGGATTTTTTCCACAACAGTATCCTATAGGATAGCAGTTCTGATACCCTAAATGTCTGATAACCTAGAGACTTGTTACATAAAAAAGTCTGTTATTATAGCATAATTATTTATGATGTATAAAAATTGGCATAAATTTACTTTGCCTAACACTCTTATTTTTACAATTTTTTTTTTACTGTAGGTTTTTTTTATGCTGATTACGAATATGAAGTCAGTAACCAGCGGACTACTCTAGTCTAAAAGTTGTAGCTACTTAAACTTTGAATTTTTCTGCGTATAAAAATAAGCTGCAGTCGCGGGCAGCCGAGGTGTTAGATAGCGAGCAGCTATGGCGGTAAATATTAGTGCCCAGTTACATAAGGGCCTTAAGCCTATTATTTTAAAGGGTAGGTTAAGTCAGGTAAGTTTCGGTTCTTGTTTGGTGGCTGACGGTTTTAGAACAGTATCAAGTTAGTATACCTCTAAAAGCAAATTATCTTTTCCTCGGTGGGTTTGGGGCCGTGAGCCCCATCCTAAAGAAGTTTCCCAAATGGGCTTGAGTCATTTTATTATAGTTATAAGTTTATATAATTTCCACAGTGTTCGTTTTAAAGAAGGTTTTTTTTAGCATAGGCTGCCTGTTATATATGCAGGAAAGATCAAAGATTAAGTAGCTGTAACTTTTGAATTATAGGAATCCACCTATTTTTGATTTGTAATTCACTTTATATTTGTAATCAACGTAAAAACACTACAAGATAACATAACAAAAAAAGTGTCTGGTAAAGAAAATTTGTTCCTAAACATCAAAGATCAATACACTTTAAAATTAAAATTTGATGAAAAACAAAATATATGTATATGAAATTGAAAAATAAATTTCATCAAAACAAGACGAGTCTACCAGCTAGAATATTTATTTTCATGGAGTACGTTTGGGGAATACACATTATATTTTTTTACTGAATAATATTAGTTGTTACAGAATATTTACTCATTTCTCGAAATAAAAATCTTATATTTTTACTTACCTACCTTGGTCCTCTCATTACCAACACCGCTGGCGTCAAGACATTTTTGTTATAATTATTTTTACAACGTGCTTTAAAGAAAATTTACTTCGAAAACACTTTATAATCATTAATTCTACCTGACTGGCGACTACAATAACTCACTTGAAGCTTCGGCCTTCGACAAACTAGGTATGATAATTGATAACTTGAAATTTAAAGTTATAACATTGAACGTAGCAACAAAATTAAAAAATTATTATAAGTAAAATAAAATAAATAACTGATAAGAGTAATAGCTGATAAGCGGTCAGTGCTTGACAACTATACTCTGTTCAAAATGAGATCGGTACGCGGAACAAAGGCACGCCCATGCTCATTGCTCACTGCTCAGTAGGTGGAATGGCCGCCTGTACCGATCTCATTTTGAACAGAGTATATGACAAGGTTAAAAAAACCTTGCCGTTTTCCATAGACAATTTAATTACAGAATTGACTAAATTAAATTTAATCTGTGATTTAATGTTAATATTTGAGCCTAGTGTTTTTCCGTAGACTATAAACTATTAGCACAGAATAGATTAGTCTGTGCTAATAGTATTAAGTCTTTAGCATTTTCTATCGTTCACCCCCACGTTTTCCACTTTCCATAGTGAAGTTTATGGATTATGCGTTATCGGACAAGTCGTCATAGGTTCCCAAGTCATCCTAAAGTATTATTCTTCAATTAGTATAACTTGGTATAACCTAGATGAAAAAAAAACCAAGAAAGGCGGGGTATAGCGGTACCGTCAAAACCAAAGTGGTAACTTGTAATCATTTGGGCACCTATGACCGAATGTCTTATCAGACCTTTTACCTTAGGAACAGTACCAAATTTATAGTTTTTTTTATGGCATTATATTTTTTATCAAATATCACTTTTTAGTCATAGATCATAATATCACTTTCAGACTTCAGTAATCAGTAACCATAATATTATTTGATTATTAATAATTGTGAACATCAGTTTCAGTTATTTCATTTTTGTAAATCATATTTTGAATTTTTAATAATACTGTGAATTAACATGAAATATCTACTTATTTAAATATACTTTACAATGTATTATTATTAATTTGTTAATAATTAGTGTTTATTGTTTATAAATTAGTGAATACCAAATTAAATAATGGTTGTGCACAACAGACATAAAACTAATGTTTTAAAAAGCTTTGAAACAAACAATGTAATTAAATTTAAAATATTTAATTTTCAGAAAAAAGCTATATAAATAACTTAATAAGCATGATAACATTTTTATTTGGAATAAAAAACTAAATTAATTTTTATGTAACATGTTTTAAATTCGGTTTGCTGTTTTAGAGGGATGTAGATAGTTTGATATTGCAAAATTTAAACATAAGTGAAGTATGTAAAAAATTATAATTGACTATGTATTGTTTATTGTAACTAATTATTAACTTTTAGAATGAATCAAACATAATAAAACATTCTTGGCAGTATACTGTTCAATTGAATCCAATTACATTTTATGCTAATGATATAGATTTACAAGTAATTTATATTTAAAATTAATCTTCTAAAATAAATGATTGATTAATAAAATTGTATTGATTTAGCCAAACAATGAGCAGCAAGTTTGGAAAGAGACTCGGTATTTATTTGTAAGTAAATCAATATCTAATAAAACAACAGGGAACTAATGCAATTAAGTTCCTAGTTAAATTTGTTTAAACTTTAACAACACTTTTTGGTAATCTATTGTTTCATAATGCTGAAAACAACGAGGAAGTTAATTATTGTCGTTAAGACTAACTTTTTAAATAAAATTAAGAATGGTAGTGATAGAAACGAATGTCATACTACCTTAAAAAATATAAAACACTTTTTTTTTCTTTAAAGCAATATAACAAGAAAAATTACTTTTACTCTACTCGCCTTAAAATTTAGAAAACAGAATTCACCTAGCGTATTTTTTGTGTTATTGGTAAAAAAACTGAATTCTGTGCGTGCTCAAACCCTCAAATCCCTTAGAGGAAAAGATAACTAACCTAAAGCAAATCAAATAGCTAAACTATTACTGTAAGCCATCATAGACTTCACAAGTTCAAACAAAGGCCCCTTCTTTGGAGACCTCAAAAAAAAGGTCTTTTTTTAAATAGACTTGTACTAAAAAAAATCCAGTGCAGTCGGGACATAGTAGAGACGGAACATACAGGGCAACAGGTCTCAGGTCTATAAGAATTATTATACAAAAATGAAAGTTTCGTTAATAATTTGAAAGTAAGTACCTATGATATTCAATTCTTTCACTATTGTTGTAAGCGTCGGTATAAAAATACAAAAATTAAAAAAAAAAAATTGTTTTAATTTAACTGGAAACAAAACTACATTTATGTTAACAATGTTCCAATACATTACTTCAAAAAAAAAAGTAAATAAAAGAAAACAATTATATTATTTTATTTACAAGTCTTTTTTATTTTGTTTTAGCTTTACAAAAAAGTGTTGGCGATATTGAACAAGCTTACTTGGGTTACTTTTAAAGAACTCATTGCAAAATTTCAAGAATTACCAATTGAAAATATCGAGTGTCTTGAAACTATTGCTAAAATTGTTGCTTTGAAAGTAAGATATAGAATTTTTAAATTGAAATATTTATATACTTTTAAAAATAATAATTTTTAATATAATATGATTTGTATTAAATCACATATCCTGTATACCTGAAACATATTTAGGTGTATTAAGCATAGTGATGGGAAACCAAAAATATAGAATTAAAAAAAACACTATTAAAGCCACTTAAAATTCATAGGAATATAAAATATTATTACAATAAACAGCTGTGTACTTTAGCAAAATGTTTTATTGAAAATTAAAAAAAAAAATTGCTTAACTTTGACTATAAATTGATTTCAGATTTCAACAAATCCGAAATACAAAAGTAGTTCATCTTTTTGGTATTGTGTTTTATTTTTGTAAAAATCCATATTTTTGGATTCCTATTATTAATTAGGCAGACCTGTATATTTTATCAGTATACATGTATATTGTATAATCTGCTAAACTTTTTATTTTAATAATACATAATTTAATTTGGATTTATATATTTTATTAAATTTAAGTTAATATAATTAAAGTATATTTTTATAATATTAACTATTTATTAATGAAAATTAAATTACTTAATGTAATTTCTTTTTAAACACATTGAGTTTTTTAATTGAATTTCATATCTTGACATGCTTAAGGTGTAAATGTTTTAAAAATTAAGGACAACCAACGAGGTGCCCAGTTGCTATCCTTTTTTTGCTCATAACATATATTATGGGCAATGAGATAAAGCCTCTAAGAGACATCAGATTTCGATAACATTCATTTAAACAAGAAATCCTTACAGTCTAAAAAAATCCTTGATTAAATTTCTGGTTGTCACATAATTTTAATTTTGAATTTCTTATTGTTTTTTTTTCTTAATAACTTAGTAATAAGTAAAGATTTATAAAAAAAAAATTATTAAAATCTGGACGCTATACAGGGCTATACAATTTGTCTATAATTTGAAACTACATTATTAAATAATTTGCTTGACCTAATTTCTGACAACTCTATCTAGACTATAATTGAAAGACATTTGATCCTTAATAATTTTAATACATTTATAATTAATGAAATTATATTAATCCTATATTATTTATTGTCATTTTAAACACTGGTTTGCAACTTTTTAATCACACATATTAAAAGTTCTTCTTGTAAACATTTTTTTTTGTACAGGCCTTTGATGAACCCACATTTGGACCATTGTATGCTGCTTTATGCAAAGCTCTTAATATAACAATAACTTTTCAAGATGAAAATGACATGGTATCAGAGATTACATTTATAAAGTGTATTATAAATGTATGCCAACAATATTTTCAAAAAGAATGTTTGGCCGATGATATAAACAATAATGATATATCTGTCGAACAAGATTTAATTCAAAGGAGGTTAAAGTTACGAGCTATAGGTTGTTTAAGGTAAAATGTCTTGAATTTTTTTATGTTTTCTTAAGTAGACTTTTTGAAAATGATAACATTATATTAACCTTATTAAAATGCTAATTAAATAAAAGCTAGCTTTATTAACTGATTCAATAAAAAATTTTTTATGATTTTTTAGCTTTGATGCAAAGTTGAGAAGATATTGTTTTTACAATGATGTGTTTTTAAAAAAAAAATTTTTTAGTGTTTGGACCCATGATATATTATTTAAATCGCTGAACCAATTTTTCCTTGTAGCAAGTCTATCGATCAGAAATTGTACCTAAAAATTACTATATAGGACCATAAATTAAAAAAAAATCTCTTTAAAATCGAGAATAACTCCCAAAAATTTACATGTTTCTCAATTTTAAATTAACGCACTATAGTTTTTAAAAATAGGGATTTGAATCGCTTCCAAATTTGTATGGCGTATTCTTTAGGTATAGTACTACCAATAAACGTTACAAACCAAAAAAATATTATTAACCTTCTCCCCTAGAAAAGGGATCTAGAATGGGTTTATAAAAAATAATTTTCTCAAAAATCTGTAGTCGATATTATTTTTATTGAGGAAAACACAAAAAGGCGAAATATTACACTTTAACCATGGTGACCGGAATGATTTTTAAAATACAACCAATTATTATCTACTAATAGATAATATTATCAAGAACCGATTTTACCCCACCTTATACCCTTTCGTAGACTATCCAAATAGCTCGTCTGTATTTAGTTTGCTTATCTGCTTTACCTCGGTAAGCTTCCAGTTTTCGTTAAAATAGCGTTGCCTATGGAGGGTTAACAGGTATTTGAAAATATTTTTATTATAATGTTAATTACCCTATAATCTATATGGGTAACAATAGTAATAAATTATAATAGACAGCCAAACGACCCTAAATTGTATCCATTTTAATACTTAACATACATTTTCAAGCACATTATTGTCATTACAATGCCTTATTGATATTTGTATTTTTACCATTACAGATTTGCATCAAAGTGTTTATTTTCTGTTGTAAGAGTTCTTATAAATCTGTGACCTCCCTCACACCAATATGCCCCAACCCCAATGAACAGGCCTTTGCAATAATTTTTTTTTTTTAGGTTTATTGGAGAAATATTTAAATTGTCGCTGTTATCTCCGTTAGTTGTTCTTTATTGTGTTAATACATTGTATGCTAAAACTAATGAAAATTCCCTTGAATACCTTTGTAGTCTTTTAAAAACAGCCGGTAAAGAATTATACGAGAAGGTATTTATGACTGTGAGTACACTGCACAGATCTTCACACTTTAATCTTTTCTTTATTATTTTGGCAGGTTAATTTAAATGAGATATTGAGGCACTTGACTTACTTAACATCTGATGACATGAGACACAAGATATCGCCAAGAATTCGATTTATGATTAGAGACGTTATTGAATTAACTATGAATATGAATATAAGTGATGCCAATTTGCCATTAGTTTATAGTTAATGTTTTAGGGAATATACTCTGTTTTTTAGTAAAATAATTTATCAAGTATTTTTAATTTATGATAATTGTATATTTTTTTATGTAAAATTATAAAGTTTAAATAATTAAATTATTTTCGTTTATTTCTGTATGTATATTATAAAGTAATATTATCGTTGTTATCATGGGATTTCAAATAGCGTATTTTATCCGCGAGTACACAATTTTTGTTATGAAAAATAGAAAAATAGTAGGGTTCACACAGCGGAAATCAGTAAAAAAATCTGTACACATAAATATTATTAATAAAATATCTTTTAAAAAATAATTTTATAATATTCTCATAAATAATATCATAAAATTCTAAAAATATTTCAAAGTATGTAAGCCTGCTATTACATTTTCAATATTCCTCCTAAATTGTACTCGGTACATAGCAACAGATATATAATTGTAATGTCTTGGTATGTTTTTTCTTTTGTCCTACTTCACACTGCCGAATCTTTGATTGACGCCTAACAAAATCTGTTTTTTTGGATGTAATAATCACAAACAATAAATAGTATTTGCTATTTCTAAGGTCAAAAATTTAGGAGAGAAGTATTTGGTCGCTTTAAAAGTAAAAATTTTTAATTCAAATGATTTGATATTTGAAAAACACTATTTTATTATAAAAATGTGTTAAGGATAATTATAAATATTCAATTTACTTATTATTTTAAAATACAATGTATAATCAATATACTTATAGTATATTTATGTGGCAATAATTATAAATGTTATTAATGTTTAATGATAATACATTTTATTAAATTTAGGTTCATGAATAAAATATTAAAATGAATAATACAAATATTAGTATAAAAATGGTTAATAAATACCTAATGATACCTTTTGATAGGGAAATTCAGTCGCTAGAAAGGAAAATAATTATTTTATTTATTATTATAAGACCTGCTTAGAGTGGAATGCCCTAAACTGTACTACCTCAAAATATTGCAGATCAATCATCTAAACCTGGGTGATAACAATAAACAAATAACATATTCTTTATAAAAATAAACTATGATATTTCTTATGGTATGATAGTCAATTTTATAAATTACCATAGATATTATATTAGGTACCTGTTACCATAAATATTATGAATAATTCAGAAAAATAATAATGGTTGTAATTTACAATTGAAGTAACGTTAGTTTGGCTTTAGACTTTACTTATCTTATATGTAAATTTGTATTAGTAAATTTTAATTAAAATTATTTAGTATGTTGAATATTTATCGGTTTTCGCGTTTTTATTTAAAATATAAAATTCCCGCCATGGAATATAACCTCACAATCTTACATAATACAAACTACAACGCTTAAGTGGTGAATTCCGTAAACGTTTTTGCTATAATAATAAGGGGCAGCTGATAATGATAATCTTCCTAATTTATTTCTTATAATCTGATAATAATTGTATCTATTGTTTCTCTCACTCACTTTCTGTGTATCGTTTTTGTTGACAGTGTACAGGTACTATAGTCTGTATGTGTATAGACTACTTTCTGTGCATCTTGATCACATTAAAATATATAGTTTCATGCTAATTAAAAAGAAATACATTACAAGCCTGTACCTCAACACAATGGTCAGCATTTGTTTTATGATTTTGGAAAAAATAATCGAATAAGTTATATACATGTAATATTGATGGTTGTCATTATTGTACGTTGTATACGCTTGCTAAACAATGGTAAGAAAATATTGAATTTGTTACAATTTTTCTTCTTTTTCTCGTACTGTGATAATGTAAAAATGAGTATTAAACCTTATTTATTTATATAGTTTTCATTATAACTATAATTTTAACTGTTAATAAGCAAAGTTGTATTTCAACAAAATTTTAAGCATCTGAAGAAAATAATCAGAAAAATCAAAAGAAATTAATTTCATTTAATCCTCATGGTAAGACTTAATTACAAATTACTCAAAATAGTAATGTAAATGTACCTGCTATCAATCATGAACCATGCTTAACAAACAAATATATATAATGGTTAGATATATGTTCCAGTGAAGAAGTTAGTTAAATGTTAAAATATGTATTGTGTATATAATATTATTATTGTATTCCATCTGTACACATTGCTCCTTTCGAGGGCGTTACTCTTCTAAATAAAGAAATAAAAAAATGAAAGATTCTATTTCTGTAAAAAATTTAGTTACAAAAAAATTTGTTCTTATGTCATAACAAACTATTAAGGTCCGTCCTGCCATACTACGAAAAATACAATATTTCCAATCCTCCATTTTTTGGTAAAACACAAATAAATTAAATTTTATAGTTATAGTCGTAATATTAAATCTTTAGGCATAAATGCACTTTACCGGGCACCCTTTTTTTTGCCATCTTGCAGTTTTTTTATGCTTTACGGTGGCAGTTACAGTCACAGCTGCCTGCTGCCGCACTACACCTTTGTCTGCTACGCTAGGATAGGTCAGGCTAGGTAAGGTTTGATTTGGTTTGGTTTCATGGTAGGTTGGGTTAGTTTTGTCCTATAGGCAGCTATTTTATCCTCTGGGGATTGGGAGACGTGAGTTATTGAAAGTGCCAAAGGGGCTTGAGTTAGCACCCAAAGCCGGAAGGCGTAGGGAGTTGTTTTATTAGCTGTTAATGATTTACTAACTTAAAACTTTAATACCTAAGAAATTTTCATTGTTGTTCAATACATATTGATATTAAATTATTTGCAATAATATACTTTTGAATAATAACAATAATACAAATAAATAATTAACTAATAATACTGTAGCAGCATGCATTCGCATTGCCGAAAAATGTAAGGAGTGCCTCCCGCCTGTTGTTATACACACGGAAATATGCAAATTTAAAGTAGGTAAAGTGCATTTGTTCTTGATACTAATAACTCAAAAAAGCTAGTTATTAGAATATTTTGTATGATGGCTGAGTTATCTAAACAAATGTAATTGTTCAATATTAGTTTTTTTATTATTTTGTACAATACATAGTTTGATATAAATAGGAGTCCTCAAAGTGTTAAACTAACACTGAAATATTTTTTTCCATTTAGTTAGTTTCAGAGTAATCTTCGAAAGCCTCAAGAGGCCCCAGGTCTAGGCATTTAATACAAATTGTGAGATTTGCTCGCAAAAAAAAAAACTAAAATTGTGTAAATTGTACAAAATTTACAAATAACATTTTTTTTAGTGCCAGGCCGACCCTAAATAGTCTTCAAAATTTAACACCTTGGTAGTTCTTCTTTATTATATAAAAAAAAATGAGTCGATTAATGCTTTACATAGACATCTATGAATTATTTAATAACTGGTAACACTGTTTTACCTGCATTCATAGATTTTACAGTTATAAAACTATTATGAAATCCTAAAAATACAGCGTTGTCTATCTATAATAATGTCTAGTTATTATTTATATTACTGACCTGTTATTCTAATTTCTGATATAACTATACACAGAAACTTTTTTATGGTGGTTGGGCAGAAAATACTGTATTCAAATTTGCCTTTAACTTTATTTATTCATAATTGTGCAGAGGCGCAAAATATTTAATAAGTGAAGGAAGTTCAAAATTTAACGTAATAGCTCAATTTTAATATTATACTATTCTCGGTTCCACGAGTAGGCTTTCTTGCACAGACGTATACAAGAGTAACACGTTTTGGTTTATGCGCAAGTACGCTCTGTTGCGGAGTATCATCATCATATGTAGCTTAACGGGCCTAACATTGCCATCATTAGGTGGTTTCTGAGTATAAATTTATAAGTTAAACTAATTTAGTAATTACATTTTGTTTTGTTTTAGACTGTTAGTAAAAATTTGGATATTAAAACAGATTTGCTGTTAAATGATGAAGTAATCAATCAGTACATGGATTTAATTACACAACGTTCTCCAGAAACTGTATACACATTCAATACATTTTTTTATTCAGCTCTATCCAATAAAGGATATGAACATGTATGTCGTTGGACTAAGAAGGTGGACATATTCTCAAAGGAAAAGATTTTCATCCCAGTCCATTTAGAAGAAGAAAATCATTGGTGTTTAGTATACATTGATTTCCTAAAAAAAACTATTAAGTATTATGATAGTTTAGGAGGTCGTAATTTTTCGTGTCTTAAGCAAATTTTAAGATACTTAATGCTGGAACACGTTAATAAGAAACATGTTGATTTTCGGCCTGGTGGTTGGTGCTTAGTTAATGATCGAGATTGTCCAAAACAACTAAATATTTGGGACTGCGGCGTTTTTGTATGTATGTATGCTGAATACTTATCAAGAAACAAACCGTTGAATTTTAGTCAAAAGGATATGGGAAGATTTAGAAAACAAATTTATCGTGAAATAAAACAGAAAAAATTATTTAAGGAATGTGAGTAAATTTATATTTTTAGAACATTGTATTTATACGAACATGTTTATTTCAAACTATGACAAAAGTATTGTAGTTTTGTATTTTATTAAATTTTAAGATGTCGTTAAGATCTATAAAACTAGTTGTAAATAATACCTTTTGCTTTATTTTTAAATAAAATATGTAATTGAACAAATACATTTATTGTTTAGTAGAGGTCTGTTCGGTTCTAAAAATATGGGAACGGACTGTAAAATTAAATTTTATAATACTGTAAAAAAAATCTACCTTTAAATATTATTTTGTAACATAAACCAACTAACCCTGACCTAAAAATTTAATAAAATTAAAAAAACTAACAACAAATTGGTTATAATAAATCATCAATAATTTGTATTAAAACCAAGACCAGATTGAGCTAAGATTCTTTTTAGCTTCGACCAAATAAATTTATAAATTATTTAAACCCAAATCTGGGTTCAGCCAAACATGGATATTGAAATTCTAAACCCATCTGGACAAACTATTTACATAGGCTGACAAATAAAAATATAAAGAAATTATTAAAAAAATATTATTCTTTTTACTTGCAACTGAGGAAAACTGCAAAAGCCAAATCATAAAAGTTTTCATGTTACAGCTAATTTTTTGATAATATACTGAAATAATAAAAAAATTACCTACGTAAAACTTTTTTTAGTTTTATAATTTCTACAAAGTAAAAGTACTTTATAAGCCCAGATCGGATCATTGCAATTTATTGGCTGGATCAAACTGTCCTATGATAGATTAGTTTTAAATTAAACAAACCTGACCAGCAAGTCATCAAATATAATCCCCATCGAACCAAACCTATATAAAAGTTGTTATTAGTGATCGCATCAGACCAAACCTAGATTATGGTCTGGGTATCCCTGGGACCGCACTGATCTCTATTTAACTTAGTTCAAATCAATTATTATTAATTTTATCACTTGGCTAAAATAATTGTATAGTTTACTGCTTGTATTAAGGTAATTGACAAATTAATAACTAGTTAACAGAAAAAAAATGTGTTGTTTTAAAAGCATTAGTTAAATTTTTATAATAACACTATTAACTATGTATAAAAATATGTTTTATTCGTAAATATCACCTGTAAAGTTAAAGTTGTGTGGTAACATAATAATATAGTATTAAATACAAATTGTGAACATTTTTTGTCCTGCTTACTTGTCCTTTGACAATTTAAGAATTACAGTTTTAAATTAAATATTTGTGTATGTTCAAAAAGAAATTTTGATGATATATGATAGAACTTATAGTGTATCAATTCTGAAACATTATCATTTCTCTGGCTAGAGACAAGAAGGACCAAGGACACTTTTTGGAAAAAATTGATTAGTTAACATACCCTTTTTGTACAAAAACTAAAAAATGAATTGTTTAAAAAAAATCTCATATTATGTAACAAAAATGACAAAAAGTGAGATTGTCTCTACTTGATTTAAATCACAAATGATGTGGGAACCTTCTTAGAATTTAACTGAAGAATAATTGCCAATTAGTCGGTTTTTTTTTAAATACTGAAGTAAATCCTTTGTAGAATTTTAACATGGCGCAATTGAAAATACTTAAATAAATTACTAAATAATAACTTACTTGCTAATAAAATTACTTGTAACCAGAGTTAGGCATTTTTTAATTGAATAATCTCTTTATTTCTTCAAATAATTTTTTATTCGACCGTCATTTGACTAAAAATATTATTCGATGGCCATAAGAATAAAAACATGATCTAGATGATGTCCAACTCTGCTTGTAACTAGGTCAACAATAGATAATCTGATTATTTATTTAGTGAAGACATATTATCTTACTCAATTAATGTTATTATTAATACTTAAAAAATAATAGTTTTTTTATTCATGTCTAGAAAAAACTTAAGCAACTTATGGTTATATATAATAAAGAAATGAATATTTAAAAACCCTTTACTATAAAATATGGTGTAATATTTACCATATAATATTTTATGGTTAAATGTTTTTAAATATTAATTTCTTTATTTTTATTTATGATTTATTAAATTGTTCTAAATAAAAAATTAAATAATATAACTTCTTTGTTTTTATATATAAATATGTTTGCACCTACAATATTTGCTATAATCAACCTATTTCTTCTGATTCTTTATGTATCAATTTTATAAAAAATAATTATTTTTCCAAATTTTAAATTTAGGTCAAGCGGTTAAATGACATTCAAAATTAAAAGTTATACTATATCACGCTACTTCTCACTCTAAGGTTTAAATTTTAAAAAACTTAAAAGTAATTATTCAAATTCTAATTTTTTATAAAATTATCTATGTTGAGTGGAATAGTCTTTAGATATACTACCATCAATATCAACACAAACCTTCAAAATTAAAACATCTTAGTCAAATTTTTTTTATTAAGAAAACTCCTTGAATCATTGTGTTCATGACTTTTATATTGAACAACAAATAATCATAAATAATAAAATAAAAATTAATTTAATAATGTCCAATTTTCAAAGATTTATATTTTGATTGGAAAATATAAAAGTTTTTATGTTAAATTACAAATCAATTGATTTGAAAGAAAGGAAGAATTAATTCAACACCATAGATGCCACGTTTTTGTTTCAAGGTCTTCATCGAATCCAGGTTTGAATACATCATCATTTTTCCATAGTTCAAAGGATTCTTTACTGATTACACTATCTTGGTAGAGCTTGTGGAACAGTTTCAATACCATACCTATTGGTTATATTCATTGTTTATGAAAAAATATTTATAATTTTAGTTCACACTAAATATATATTATACCTGCTGGATGTTCAAGAGCGGCAGACATTATTTGGATTCCATACAAACATTGTACCTCCCGAGCTTGAATTTCTGGTGAAGGTAATGGTTTAGATTGAATATAACAAGTAAGCAACTTAACATACACCTTGTCAAAGAAGTCATCAAAAGAATAATTGGGCTCTAGAAAAAATGAAAAAGTTTTATGTAAATACACACAACTACAATAATACACAGGGATTTGAAGATATGAATAGTGTGTCCTAAATCCATATATATATAATACAAGAAACTACTAGCAAATTAAGTTATGATACCTAATTTTACTTTTTAAGGGGTGGGCCGTCAAAAAGTGGTGTTTAGTGAAATATCACTAACAGTATAAAAATAAAATTTAGAAAAAGACACAGATTGGCAGATCGATAAAATTAAGAGCATAATTAAATTGCCTATCTAATAGTCATCATTATAAACTATAATTAACCTTCAACAAGATTCTTGTATAACCAAGAACAGTAGCTCAATAATGTTCATCAAATGCCAAACTGATAACACTATTTCACTTCTTAAGGATGTTTTTCTAATAATAGTATTATGTATACTCTAGTCTAACTAGGATCAATTGACTTGATTTACATTGAATGACGATAGTAAGTGCATTAAGTAGAAGAATTGATTTTTAAAGTTGAATTGATTGGGCACGGCACAGCGTCCTGTGTATGCTTCGCTGTTCTACTATTTAGTATATTATGCTAATGCGTGGTTTGGATCAAGGACTACTCACAGTCAGGTGAAATATAGTGTTACATTATATATATATGCAAATTCAGAACACCAATGTCTATAAGAAGCTCGTTATTTAGGAGCATAATACATTGTAAAAGTTAGCAGACGAATGCATAACTAAATACTCACTTAAACACACTAAAACATTGGCAATTGTTAATGCCCGTACAAATTGAGGACATTCAATTATTTTTCCATCAATGTTATCCTGAAATTAATAAATACAAATGTATTTTATACATATAAGCCGGCAGAAATGAGAGTGGCGTAAGTCTCATTTAAGTGGTTTTGAGAACTAAAAGGTTTACGTTTTGTATTTCTATAACTTTGTATTGACTAACGAAATTTTAAGTGGCGCTTTCTCGCGACCAAGGGCTCAACTTGACTTACTACTCTATTGACTAAATGACTCTAAATATAGTATACTCTAAGCCCTAGTAATATTGGGGATTTTTAAAAATTTGACTTGCGTCACTTTTAACCTTCATGCGCTCGCGCGGACGGCAAATTGGCCGTCCTTATAAATGTTTGCAAATATTATTGTCCAAAGTGCCAAGGAAGCGGTAAGAAGGGTATATATTCTCTAGTTATACATCTCTCCGATAGAATATGATCAAATTTGGTCAAACCAGTCTACCCCAGCAGTTCAGTATAACCACAAACTCGCTTTAATATGCAATATCAATTTTATTGATCAATGTTACTAATCAATTCAGAAGAAATTGAATAATATGTGTTACTTACAGTTATCCACTGATGCATTATATCATATAATAGTTTACTATCAGTCAACTTCATTTTATCATACATAGCAATGGATAGTAAAAAAACTCCAACTCTCTGAAATTAAGATTAATTATGAATAAAATGATTTTTAAACTAATCAATATTAATTATTTACATCTTCTTTGAAGTGTTCATTAAGTTTATTGTTTGGTACAAAAACATCAATGGATATTTTTTCCGATTTCCTCCATTTATTATAAATCCATAGTATTCCACCTTGCTATAAAAACAATTAAAAATTAAACTATTGACGTATAAATTATTGAAACTAATGTTGAAACATACCTCTTTAATATCTTGAGTTTCTTTAGAACTCAGAATTTTTTGTAAAATTTCAATAAAATACTTGCTAGAATTGTCAGGACATATAGATTTGCAAGCATCTCTTAAATTAAAAAAGTCGAAAGAAGCAGTCTTTGAAATTAATAACGGAGCTGCAAAATAAATACTTTTTAATACGATAAATTATATAAGCATAAACATGTGTGACTTCTCAATAGTATGCATTTGAATATCATTTTTACACATTTTTCACATACAAACTTACCAGTAATGGCAGCAATATAGGAAAAAAATTGAGGGTAATCCATTAAATAATCATTCCAATCTTTTAAAACAGCATCAATCCTAAAGAAAATATAAAAATGATACCAATTGTTAATTATTATTGTTATTATAGTCCAGGACATATGAGATTTGAGTTCGAAATAATTCCCATTATTTTCTTTTTTATCTTCTGAAAACAAATCTTGAAAAGTCCCCATTGATATGTTTGTATGTTGATATGTGTACGGTTGATTACGGACAGAGCCCCAAAGGTTGTAATAACTAAATTTTTCCAAATATCTAGATTTCTATTGATAAGATTATAAAGATAGTATACAAAAACAAAGCTGATAAAATTCTCTGCGAAAAAGATCTTTTAGCATTTTATCCCTGAAGCAAAACTTTTTCAGAAAATGTGATACTTTATTGAAAAACACAGTTTTATGCTGTTCAACCCAAGCTATACAGTTTAAAATTTCTCTAAAACATATCCCGTTTTTTAGACATATTTCATGGAATATTAGTTTAAATAACTTAACAAATTCTTACCCTTCAGTTAATGCCACTATAGAAAGGACATTCTTTGATAAAAGTTCAGCAAACATTTTGCCAGTTTCCGTTTGGCATTTTGGACTAATTTCTAATGAGCTTATTAACATATTTTTAACAAATTCCTCATTTATTAATTTGGGTTTATTCTCTAAATGTCTAGTTATCCATTTATCTTCTCTTAAATCTATAACATCTTGGATCATAAACTGTATTCTTGAGGAAATCTTGGATTTGAATTGTTTAGAAGTTAACCCTTTTAACTTATCAAAAGTTTCATTTAAGTTGTAAGTCTAAAAATAATAAATATATACAAAATTACAAGTATTTAGTAAAAAAAATTAACTTAAATTTCAAAACTTAGCAGTTATAATAACAATAATAAGTTTTCTATGGACAAGACAATCAAATATTTGTATGTCTGTTGTTTAAATGCTACTTCTACTATAACAACATTCTTATTTAGACTTTGAATCTAGCAGAATTGTAATTTTAGCCCAACACTACTTACTAACAGTTACCATAAATATATTATCATACTTAAATTATAATTATTTCCTCTTAATATACAAGTTCTGTCAGAACAAACACGTTTTTCAAAATGATGCTACGCCAAAAGTAAATGCAGTAAAAAAAAATGTATTATATCAAAAAATGCAGAAACATGTGCAGTTTTTTTATACGTAACAAATATGGTGCCCTTGAGCGCTCATTGTCTCATTTTGCGCTTTGGGGACATTCCGTGGCCTCACGCTCCCCTGACCAAACAACATGTGATTTTTCTTTTGGGGTCACTTAAAATCAAAAGTTTATCAACACAAGCCACGAACCCTTTATGAATTGAAGGACGAGATCAAACGATTGGTGAGAGAAACTCCGGGATAGATGCTGACCGACGCGATGGGCTCATTTCGCAAGCGCCTGGATTCTTGCATTGCGAGCTCAAGGGCGTCATTTGACTGACATTTTCAGAACCTAAATTTTGTTATGTATAAAAAAACTGCATATGTTTTTGCTTTTTATAATATAATACAATTTTTTTACTGCAATTACTTTTGGTGTAGCATCATTTTGAAAAACATGGTCCTGACGGACTCTGTATAACAAAAAAATTGATTTACTTGTTCTAACTCTTTTCCAACAGTCTTTAATAAGTTGCATATACATTCCAATGGCTCTTCATTGTGTTTAGTGACTAAATTGTTTATGCAATACAACATAATATTTGGTGTAAGCATTTTTTGTTTAAATAACTCACCGATAAACCTAAAAACAAAATAAAACATATATTGTAAACATAAGTATTATAATTATAACTAAATGTATGCTGTTAATTATAATATATGATAGTTATATCATAATATTATGCTTTATTAGAAAACTAATTTTTATCAAGAATAAGTTTAAGAAATTCCTTGTGAACTATGTTATGTAAAAAATCTGTGATAAGCCATGTTTCTATAATATTTTTAAATTATACCTGCAATTTCCTACAGAACGTTTACGCAGCCTTCCCTCATTTTCTTTAAATTCTGTTTGAAGTTCCTTTTTCTTATCCTGGTATGAATAAAAAAAAAATAAAAAACCATTCTGAATTCTAAAGAGCACAACTACTTACAGGATCTTTACAAGAATTTATTTCTGCAAGTTTTTTAGCAGAATCCATTTCTTGAGCTTTGTCCAATTCAAATAAACTTTGGCATTTACTAATGATACGTTTTTTAAATGAAGTGGTTTTGCCATCAGTATTTACTTGAACACCTTGCATAGCATGACACAGACGAGCAAAATTTTGTTCTTCAATTGCCTAATATAATTGTATAGTTCTTTAGAAAAAAATTATACATACATTTATTGTTAAACAAATTTAGAATTCAGATGTACCTTTTCAAATATTAAATCTACTGTTTTTTCTAAACGTTCATAGGAATCAATAGACAATTCTTTAAACATTTCAGTCAATGAATCCTTGTTTTCTGGAGTAATTTTGTTTAAAATTGATCTTACATTTTTGTTGACATCCTGAAAAAAAAAACCATTGACAAACATTTGATCCAATTAAATAAAATCTATTATGTTATTGAATGAACTAATTATAATTTCACCTCAGTTATTAAATCAACTTCATTTTTATTTTTAGATGCATCAATTTTGGTAGTTTTTTTAATAGCCGTTGGAACCCATGCATTTTCAGTCTGATTTAACTTGACTTCTTCTCTTAGTGATAGAGACATATGAATAGTATTTGGCTTGGCAGTTTTATTAGCAGTTTTACCATGACTGCAATTATTTTTAGCACAAGGCTTTAGAAAAAAATGATTTAAATCAAGAATTTAATATTAACTCAACATTATAATATATTCACCATTACAGGCATACCACACTGTCTATCACCAGATTTTAAATAAGCACCATATGCAGGCATAAATCCTGTTGCACTAGCACTTTGTGAAACCACTACTGGCATTCCCTAAAATACATGTTTATTTGATTTAATATGATAGAAATTAAAAAAAATTAACATATCTCAGAATACTTACACCTCCTAATTCTATAGAATTATATTGTGAAGGGTTGACAGACCTTGTAATGTGACTCCAGCTTTTTAAAATATCCAGCTTCCTTTGACATACAATTTCACTACTAAGTTGCAACATAAAAGCTCTTGAATACACCCTATTTCCAGAGGTATTAGTAGCACTCCATTGATCTATTCAACAAATTAAAAAATGTACAAACTAAATTTATAATAAAAGTATATTAGTTAAACATTTTAGCTTGATGTGTAGTTGAGAAGGTATTGTTTTTCAATGATGCGTTTTCATTTATTATTTAGTTTATGTTTATGTTTTTTTGTCTGGACCAACACAATTTTCTATACTGCTGAACCGATTTCTTTATGTGACAACTCTACACATCAGAAATAGTACCTAAAAGGCACTTATTGGACCAAAAATTAAAAATAAGCGTGTAAAAAAGCTTATCCCTTCAATTTCAAAATCATGATAAACTTTCGTCGACCTGTGACCCAATTAAAATTATTTTCATACTAAAATTATAATTTTAAAAATGTATCCAAACCTTCTGTATAAGGTAAATTTTCTATGTAGCTAGGAAGTTTAGGTGTAATCATTTTAGTAATAGAATCTGTGTTATTTTCATCGGAATTGATGACAACTTTGTTAGGTGCAGCATTCAAAACTGAACTATCATTAGAGTCATTCGAAACATTTTTTTGTTGTTCAGCTCCCTTCTTCTTTTTGCTCTTGTTTTTTTTTTATTTAACTAAATTTATAAATAAATGAACTATAACATAATATGTATTATATATATATTATATATATCAATATCAAGGTAATCTTTAAATTTGGCATGTCGTTGGATCGCTCCACATGCCGGGCCAGGCCAAGTGACAGTACACATATTTTGATGTGCATACAGGGAGACCAAGGGATTGAAGTAAAAAGCTGAACAATAAGAGAAATATTTTTTTCAGTACTTGGTGTCGAATGTCGGCCATCCAACGCCATGTCAAATTTAAGGACCACCCTAATATATATACAAACTAAATAGAATAGCGTTATGCAAAAAGCAACCAACCCACAAAAAAAAAATTGAGATTTTAGTTTAATTAGTGTAGTATATACTATACCACACTAGTTAAACTAATATCTCAATTTTTATTTTTTGTGGATTGGTTGCTTTTTACATAACGCCATTCAATTACAATATATAATAATCTTTTAACAGCAGTTGAAACCCATGCTGGATACCTTTAGTATGAGTTAAGTTACGATATTGAACCTCAGCAATACGTAGTGCTTCCACAGCTTCATCCAAAGTGATATCACCTTTTTTAATAAGTCGATTACGAGTATCAGCATCAGTAGTGTCTAGAACTACTTTGTCACGTAAGATTTCATCCTCTGAACCAAACTCACAATCTTTAATTAAGTTTTACACGCAGAAAAAAATTCTTCGATTGATTCATTATCTTTTTGATATCTTTTGTAAAAAACATGTCTGGCATGCAAAATATTTCTTTTTGGTTTGCAGTAAGCTTCAAATGCTTTTAATACACTATCAATCTTCTTAGAGTCTTCCAGGGTTTCAAACACAAATGTATTATAACGACTAAGGCCTTCTTTACCAACAAAGTTAAGTAAAATAGCGACTTGCGTTTCATTAGTTGTTTTTGCGAGTCCAGCTGCTTTCATATAAATATCATACGATTCCCGAAAAACACGCCAGTTTTCTTCTAAGTTGCCCGTAAACATCAACGGTTCAGGTTTTTTGTAACTCATGGTACATTAATTCAAGATGCACTTACTCAAAAGTAAAATAAAACACATTTACAAAACAATCACAGAAATCAAAATAAATTAAACAAATTTAATCGGAAACACGACAAAAGGTCGCCCGACAAAACGCCGCCGGAAAAAAAATCGACAAAACGTCGCCGGACAAAAATCGACAAAACGCCGCCGGACAAATCGCCTCTCAGTAATGCCAACACTAACAATACTTGTATACAATATACGATTATTAATGGTGTTAGTTGTGCTGCCAGCATGACATATTATTAAGGAGTAATTATTTCACATTTTATTCGTTTTTATTCATTAATGAGCTAACGACTCAAACGAGGCTGTTTTTAAAAAATATTTCCAGATGGCATTTTGAAAGTCGGATAAGAAGTCCGAATGTATATTTTTCACCACAAAAAAAACGATATTTTATTATCTCTAGAAAACTGTTTACCTATTATTGAACTGTTAATTTTATAAATTATTATCTTTGTTTATTTTATAAATGCATGTAGGTATTACCTATATATTTTTAGTAGTTATTGCAAAGTGTATAGGTGTAAAATGGTGTTATTGTTTTAAAGGAAGGCAAAAAAATTATACACATTAATTATTCGTATACCAAACAATACATACTAGTACATTCCATTTGATGGATATGTTCACAAAAAAGTTTAAAAAAATAACATCCATCAATAAACGTAAAAAATCAAAAAAACTTATACATAAACATGTATAAATAAAGTTAAATTTTTACTTTTATTAATAACAGTTAACTGGTTCATTCATTGACTTCAAAATATAGATGATAAAACACAGGGAAAAACCGCACACTTTTTAAAATTGCTGTATTCAAAAACCGCACATTTAAAATGACGTATAAACTATTATTTATATATATATTCAAAAAACATTTTTTTGGTACAATTTATATGTTGAAAAATTTAAGATATAAAATTAAAAGAAATTTGCTGAAATCATTTCTAACGTTTTAAAGAAATTTCAAACGATCCCCGTCCTTAAAAAATTCTTCCCAACATTTGAACAAGTGTTCCTAAAAATCAACCCAATTTCATTCAAAATGATATATTAAAATTTGCCTATTAACTAACTTGTTTTTCAATTGGACGGACAATATTTTGAATACTCTTATTAAGCTTACGTCATTACTTCCTATTATCGTATTATTTTCTATGGATGACATCTCTCAGCGTATTATTTTTTGCGGTGTCTCTTGAATGTCATTAGAAGCCTTGCGTTTACAATTCATTTACTACGTACCTCTTGTACCTCTTTTTACCCAATATAAGTGTGCGGTATTCACCTGGCACCGGTACTTACCTGGAAACCGATGAAATGTGCGGTTTTTGGCTGTAACCGGTTCATTCAACCCCTGTTATATTGTATCTATTTTATCTTATTATTCAGATTTACCATGTTATATTTCTCATTGTTAATTAGATATTTGTCCGTATTGTTTAAAAAAATTAAAATAAAAAAAGACTATAATGGCAGGTAGGAAAAATAACAGTCGAGTTGCCGCGCCGGTTGAATTAACTACCTGCCAAATATACCTTCTTAGGGACGAAAGTATACGCATCCCTGTCTTACTTCGTATATTTGTTATTCGATATTAGTATTAAGTAAAATGATATTATTATTTATTAAAAAATGGTCTTAACAATGGCGGTTCTAAAAAAAAATATGAAATAACATTTAACCATTTTTTGTATCCATTGCATTTTTTTTTTATAAATATATCCATTTAAAAGTATTCTTATTTTTTCGTATATATAATAATAGTTTTAAAATTTAAACATAAAAACATTGAGAAAATTAAAAAGTATGGAAAAAAAAATTACTAATAAGTTCATGTGCGTGTACATTTTGTTTTTGTAAAGCCAGTCGGCCGAATGGACTTGGGAACAATGACCTCGCTACACCCCTGGCCAGAAATTTGTTAATTTGTTGTGTGTGAATTTTATTCACAATTGTATTTTGTTTAGTTAACTGTTTGTTGCACCGGTGAGGCAATTCTAGTTTAAGTACTAATGATAACCGAAAAAGAAACTTTTTTAAATTATTAAAGTTTTCAAATTATCAACATTATACACACTGCACACATTACACATTCGACACTACAGTAACTCTTTGGTATTACTAGGCAACCCCATTCATCTCTTTTGAGCTATTATATACACCATTACATTTCCTTTGCTTTGCAGCGTAATCGTTAAAGCTGATAGAATTAAATTCCGATAGTAAATATACAGTATTACAGTGGATATAAAAATAATATAATATATTTTATTTATTTTGTAAAATATTTCAAGATTATCCTATTATACAAAGAAGTATTTTATTAGTGTAAAAAGCTCATTCAACTTAAACTCTATAAAATTGATTTACTTTTTTTAATGTAATGTAAAATGGCTTAAATTTATACTAGAAGCGTTATTTATACCACTGAAATACCAGGAATTAGTTATAGTTGTAGTTAATATATGTTTATAGTGAGGGACAGAAGATTAAAAATATAACGTACGTACAAGATACGAAATATCTAATAATAGTATATTATTAGATTAGGGCATTATAGTGCCCAATTATTTGTGTTATGTCGAGTAAAATATTTATCAAATTTTTATTTTTCAATTTACGCATTTTAGCAACACAATTAATTTTGTATTGTCGGTTTGCTTAACATAATAAATACACACGTATTAATTATACGTATAATTTTATCGTCTAAGCTATTCATATTGCAATCTAAACAAATTAGTAGTAGGTATATTACTATAAAGTGTAGGTATGTAATATTAATTAACGTGTTAAATGTTTTATCAAGTGTATAAATAATGTGTCAGTTTATTGAAAATTCTTAAAAGTAATGAAAAAATATATATGACCAAATGATACCAAATGATGATTGTATTAAATCAAACGATGATTTGTTTTTAAATGATTGCATTTTCTTATCAAGTGTAATAAGTATTAATAAGTAAACATTTGGAAATATAATCATAATTTGTTTTAGCTGTTATTATAAATTTTCAACTTTATGTATATTTTGTTTAAAAATAAAAAAGGGAATTATCTAAGGGGTTAATTCGATCATCCTTTAACGTTTCGGACAACACACATGACTCTTTAAATGTAATGTTTTCGTCTTAAAACGATTTCAGCGCCACTGCATTTCTTTTTTCAATAGAGAATTGAAATATAATAGCCGTCGTTTAATTGTTATTAACTTTTCGGTCCACAGTCTTTGTGGTTCTGCGAAGACAACAGATGAGACATACTGGAAATTCGAATTTGTGCCCAGCCCGCACGCTATGCTTTAATAGTTGTTATTATTCACATAAGACTTGCCGTTTTTGTAAACTCTTAAGTATTTTTTTTCTTAATAAACAAAAAGTCTGGTGGAAGTTGCGAGCACGGGTTAATTTAGTTCTTCAGTTTATTTTAATTAAAAATCGTCTATAAAAAATACATCAGATTGTTTTTATATTGGTATACCTAAAGTATAAAACTAGTTTTTCAGTTTTTGCGCTTAGATCGTTTGTCAAGTTCACTCTCAACACTGAGCGTGAAAGCCCATTTAAATTGTACACAACTTGTTAATATAATATCATTGAGTATAGAAAGTATCCATACTCAATGATTGTCGCCGTTTAACGACCAAAACGGTTTTCGGTTTGTATAGATGACAATCTATGGATAATAATATTGTTAATAATAATGTGTAGTTAACATTCAATACCTTATGTGAGGTACATAATAATATTATATATTTATATAAAAGGTAAATTATCAACCCATTGTATCTGTGATCCACAGTGTGATACAATATTATTTAGTGTGATATAATATTATGAAACGTTGGCGAACTAGTTAAGACATCCAAGTGGGAGTAACCTCAAGCCATGTAAATAGTGTAAATATAATGTACCTCACTCAAGCTTCAATAATTTTTTAATATTAATGTTGACAAGTTTTTTTGTTTTGTTTCATTATTTACATGTATACATTTTGTAGTAGACGACGGTGACGATGATGAGGTTGATAACATTTATCTTTAACTCATTTGGCACACTTAGTGCGAGTAGTTGTCAGGCTATTGATTAAATTTGATAAAGAGTGTTCATTTACACGAAATCTGCATACTATTATTTTACTCTACTGTATTACAAATTGGTTCGTTCGTTGTAAAAGTGGTGTAGCTCCAAAAAAGAAAAAAAAGTTTAAGTTAATTTATTGCATTCGTTTTGGTTTCATTTTCCAAGTCACTATAAATTTGGAGGACCTTTGGTTTGTAATAAACATTAAAAGTAGGTACAAGTATTAGTTCAGTGTTTTCTATTTTTTTTTGCTATACATTAATTTTCAAAAAGCTCGTTGTTTCAAATTCAATTACAAAGAGATAATTTACTTTTACAATGAATGACACAAGAATTACTATTACAGTGAGAGATTTTTAGAGAACAAATCAATTGTTACATTTATTCAAAGCTACTGTTTCGGATAATTGATTATCACTTTTATAATCCATCTTCATTATCCAAAGTAACTTTTGTTCAACACTTTCATTTTTTGAAGCACAAACGGTAGCATATTCAGATATTTTGTATTTCTGTAAAACGTTTTTATGTTGCCTGGAAAATTATTTAAATACTGTCCAATCCAGTCAGCTTACCCTGAGACGTTTACGACCTTTTGCTTTTTTAGCGTCGATATGGAGTCATAGAGATATATGTTCAACGCTGTGGTGTGGTTACCGTGAATGCAGTGGAAAAAGCTGCCCAAGACGAATTCTAATTTAGGGAATTATACGTACGGTTTACCTGTACTACATTTTTAATTTATAAGTCAAATGTAACCTAAAATGTTTGTAACAGCACAGGTATATGCTATTAACAATCGTCATTTAACTATAATAATAAATGTTTAAAAATTAATATGAACAAATCAGATGGATGATTACTATTTACTCCTTAATAATATGTCATGCTGGCAGCACAACTAGCACCATTAATAATCGTATATTGTATACACATATTGTTAGTGTTGGCATTACTGGGAGGCGGTCTTTTTAGGGGCGGCGTTTTGTCGATTTTTTGTCCGGCGGCGTTTTTGTCGGGCGACGTTTTGCGGTGTAACCATTTAATCTGTACACTGTAATTATTATGTGATATGAATATAAAAAAAGCGGGGGAGAAACAACTTTTTTTGATAAAATCACACCTCATCATTTATTTTTTCAAGGAGTAGAGTCCAGACAAATAAGAAAAAATGTTGGAAAGCTGAATTTTGGTATACAAATTGCACTCGAGCGGATCTAGCAGGCATCCAGTCTTAAGGAACTTTTATTATGTTACTAACACAGACCTATAAATATTTTCTATGGTTAAATATATAATGAGTTCAGTGTTAAGAACCTTTTATTTAAGGTGTATACCAAAATTCAACATTCCAACATTTCTTTCCGCTATTTGCCAACATTGGGTTTAATTTGCCTGGACTAGATTAGGGACTAAATGCTAAGTTATATCTAAAGACATTTTATTGAATGGACCGCACATTGATATCTAATAATGTTACCAAAATATATGCGAGAAAGACTGGGGCACGGGCTATAATACAGGAATGGTAATGGACGTGCCGGCGGAATGCAGGGTCTGGCCCAATCGAACAACGCTTCCCGGGTCAAACGAGACTTCACAATCTATTGACAAACATATTTTATCATACTATAACATTCAAGAACCTATTTAGGTTATTTATATATTACATCATGCTGCATACAATTTTTTTGAACAGTTATTATATATATATATATGTTTACACCCTAGATACGCCACTGCAATATTGTATCTATTGCCAATAGGAACTTTAAGTATAATGTATTACACTTAGTTGATGGTCGAATCACACATAAAAATCAAATAACAGGATTATTCATTTATATGTGTAGTGTTTAAAACACAATATAGATTTTAATAAATATTCCTTATAACCGATCGATTTCTGCACAATCACAAAGATAGATCTTGTACTCTCCATATTATGCCTTTATTAGAATTAATTTTTTTTTGTAAAAGGTCAAGATAAAACAACTTTTTATAAGATATAATGGTGGTTTTGATTTAACACACAAGAATGTAGTAAATAGTATTTTCGAAGCATTTTTTTTTTTACAATTTTTATTTATTATTTTTTAATATTTAAGAAATAACATTAACCGCAACTTTACATATTATTAATTTATATAACTGTACACAATAGTCCGACAATGGTATCAACGTTTATAGAAAAATATAGTTATTTTCTTCAATTAATTACCTTTATAACAATTATTATTTTGTAAATTCGAATTTTTCGCATTAGTTGTTTAAGAAAACAATGTTACAATTTCTTTATCGAAATATTCAACATATTCAATTTTGAATAACAGCGTAGTCTCCGTAATACCCAAAAACGTATTTCTAACAATTAAACAAAATGTTGTTACCATAATTATCAATTATACGATTCATATAATTTTAATTAACAAAATAATTTTGTCATATTCCCATTGTCAAAACAGAAGGGTTTCCAACGATTCAGGTCATTTTTTTACTTTACATTTTTTAAGGAGACTAGCTTCAGTATAAACTATAAAGTAAAATCAGAATAATGTACAAAAAATAAATAAATAAATAAAATAAAATAAAAATTAAACCCTTAACAAAAACACTGTATACAAATATTTGCAAATTAAAAATAATTGAATTCTAAAGGGCATAAATGAAAAATGGCTTATTTATAATTATTTTTTTATCTTATTTATATAAATTTTTATAACACGGTATCTACAATAAAATAAAATAAAAAAATAAGAAGAACATCAGATTACATCAGATTTCGACTGGTAAATGTATAATATAACAGTTGTTTAGTTACATTACGGGTCGATCGTTTCTTCTTCATCGGAATCATTGGTTGAAAGAGAAAGGAAGAATGAGTTCAACACCACAACTGCCATTGTTTTTGTTTCAAGGTCTTCATCAAATCCTGGTTTGAATACATCATCATTTTTCCATAGTTCAAAGGATTCTTTACTGATAACACTATCTTGGTAGAGCTTGTGGAACAGTTTCAATACCATACCTGTTGGTGATAATCATCATTTATGAAAAAAAGGAATGTAATTTTAGTTTATACTATATATTATACCTCCTGGATGTTCAAGCGCAGCAGACATTATTTGGATTCCATACAAACATTGTACTTCCCGTGCTTGAATTTCTGGTACAGGCAATGGTTTAGATCGAATGTAACAAGTAAGCAACTTAACATAGACATGGTCGAAGAACTCATCAAAAGAAAGATTGGGTTCTAGAAAAATTGAATTTTTTTTTAAGTAAATACAGACAACTACAATAATATACAGGTTCATTTGTACATCAAATAAACCACATGGTATTTTAAGATATCTGCAGTGTATCCCGATTCAATATATTTTACAAGAAACTACATAAGACATACTCAATTTGCTAATTTTACTCTTTAACCATCTGGTTAAGACTAACCACAATAAATAAAAATATATATTAATTTTCAGATTTTTTGAAAGATTTGTTTTGTTTGCATTTTGGCTGGATTGCACGGAGAACAATAATTATAAACAGTGATTGAAAACATATGTTCAATTGACGAGCTATTATCTTGTTAGTAGGATTATACACTAGTAAAATTAGAACCGTTTCAAATGTTTTTTTAAGTAATTTACAGCATGCCATATTTAAAAAAAGATGAGAATTATATATATATATATATATATGCAAATTCAGAACACCAATGTTTATAAAAAACATGTTTTATTTTGAAGCATACAATTTTATAAATGTATGTAGAAATGTATAAATTGAATACTCACTTAAACATGCTATTACGTTAGCTATTGTTAATGCCCGTACAAATTGGGGACATTCAATTATTTTCTCATCAATGTTATCCTGAAATTGATAATTAAAAGTAAAGTATACTGGTTACACGTTTTAAATTAACAAAATATACTAGATTGAATCTAGCTAGGAATACACTAAGTTACATTATTTTAGTTGTTTTAATTAGCAATTGTTGTATTTGATTTATTAATATCTAAACAAATTAGTTTAGTTATTTTTAATTATGTAATATGATCATCTTGGGAGGATTATCATCAAGAAATAATTTTCTGATTAATGAGAAATGAAACATTATGGAATTAAAAAAAAATGGAGGATTGAATAAAAGCAAGCTAGTGCTAAATAATCACCATCGCCGTTTGACACTCATGGGTGGTTGTTTGTAAGCAATAAAACGTTGAGTTTCAAATAGAGATGTATCCTTTCTGGACTTGTTCGAGAAAAGCTAACTTTTACTTGGAGGAAGCAGTGATGCAGATTTAGTTGCCAAAAAGAGAACAATAATTTGTTGTTATTAAAAATTACAACAATAAAACAATTAAAACCATATAGTATTTCTTTTTTAATGAAATAAATGGAGTTATATATAAAATACCTATACAAATGAGATCACTAAAATAATTTAATTAGGACTGATGCGACATAGTACAATTAAGTGTTTATACAAATAAGTAATATGCAGATTTATTTTTTTTAATGTAAAAAACCAAAATTAAGACACAATCTTGAAAAAATAATGTTACTAATCAATTCAGAAGAAATTGAATAATATGTGTTACTTACAGTTATCCACTGATGCATTATATCATATAATAGTTTACTATCAGTCAACTTCATTTTATCATACATAGCAATGGATAGTAAAAAAACTCCAACTCTCTGAAATTAAGATTAATTATGAATAAAATGATTTTTAAACTAATCAATATTAATTATTTACATCTTCTTTGAAGTGTTCATTAAGTTTATTGTTTGGTACAAAAACATCAATGGATATTTTTTCCGATTTCCTCCATTTATTATAAATCCATAGTATTCCACCTTGCTATAAAAACAATTAAAAATTAAACTATTGACGTATAAATTATTGAAACTAATGTTGAAACATACCTCTTTAATATCTTGAGTTTCTTTAGAACTCAGAATTTTTTGTAAAATTTCAATAAAATACTTGCTAGAATTGTCAGGACATATAGATTTGCAAGCATCTCTTAAATTAAAAAAGTCGAAAGAAGCAGTCTTTGAAATTAATAACGGAGCTGCAAAATAAATACTTTTTAATACGATAAATTATATAAGCATAAACATGTGTGACTTCTCAATAGTATGCATTTGAATATCATTTTTACACATTTTTCACATACAAACTTACCAGTAATGGCAGCAATATAGGAAAAAAATTGAGGGTAATCCATTAAATAATCATTCCAATCTTTTAAAACAGCATCAATCCTAAAGAAAATATAAAAATGATACCAATTGTTATTCTTACTAGTTTACATTACTTAACAAATTCTTACCCTTGAGTCAATGCTACCATAGAAAGGACATTTTTTGATAAAAGTTCAGCAAACATTTTGCCAGCTTCAGTTTGGCATTTAGGACTCATTTCTAGTGTGGTTAATAACATATATTTAACAAATTCCTCATGCCTAGTGCGAATAGTAGAATTATTATCTTCTTTCAGCGAATAGATAACGTCCTATTAATTGTTCAAAAGAATGTTAGTAATATATTTATAAGTAATATTTATAAAAAGTTATTTACTTCTATATTATGCATTTGTTCATATTCCTGGATAATATTTTTGCATTGCATATTAATTTTGTCAACCACCTCAGGATCTAATTCAATAGATACTGGTTCTTCAACAACCTCTTTAGGTGCTTGAGGAGTGGCAGCAGAATTAATCGATGGAGATGGTTGTGCAAATTGAGGCATCATACTTGCTACACCTACAATAAAAAAACAATTTTTAAAAAATGTAATAACTATGTATTACATAGGTAATTGCTATTACCTATGTAATAGCAATATATAATACAAATAATAAGTGAACAATTAACAAAACTCAATCAGTTTTGTTGAAAATATAAAGTTAACATATTTTGAAGAAAAATTATCCATTTGATTATCAGAAAAAAGCTCAGTTAGCCTACTGCGTAATGTGTAATCATTGTAAAATTAAAAATATAAAATATAATAAACCATGACATAATTAAATATATTATATAACATTTCAATTTACCTGACATCATTCTTTGCCTTTCTTCAGACTCTGAAATCATTGGTTTTCGGGGTGTGTTCTTATTGGACCTAAAAACATATTACATTTAAAAATTATTTTGTTGTTTAATTTTTAAAAATAATTATTGAGTCATTATTGTTTTACATTAGTTGTGAATTTGAGGATTTTTTATCATCATTTAGAGCAGCATAAGTATTGCTGCTAGTAAAACTATTATTTTTGCTTCCAGGAGTATGTGAAAAAGACCATTTAGAGGAAGGTCCCAACGATACTGATGAAGGTTCCTAAAAAATTATTATTTATAATACTTTAAAACATTGTAACAAATATTTAAAAATTATTTAATAAATTAAATATCCACTTCGCGCACATTTACCTAAAAGACATATCATTTGCACACAAAACTATGAACAATAGAAATTAGAAACCTTATTTTTAGGTTAATATATATGTTTCTGCACATTTCCAGTTAGACATAACACTAACATGGTTATTTAAATAATAATCAACTGTGTTTAAGGATTACACATATGAAATTTATAAAAGAAATCCTTAATACTTTAAATAGTATTTTCTACAATAATGATACAGAGAACTATAAATTAATAAATGTAAGCAAGGTTTTTTTTTTAACTACATTAAAACGTTTAAGTGTTTAATCTCTAAATTAGCTTTGCAACTTTTTTTTAGATCGGCAAACGTATCATATAAAATGTTAATGGCTATAATTTTTACAATTCGTTAGAATATAGCGTCTATATCTAAATATTTTGTATTGCATATAATTTTATAGATTAAAGTTCTTAAAAAATGTTAAGTACTAAATTATAATTTGTGTTAGCGGAAATAAAAGTATCACTTTTGGCGGAAATCTGACATAGTGAAGATGTTCGAGGGTGATTTTGGCGGAAAACAGGCAGACCTCTGGTCTACCATGTAAGGAAAAGTTTTAGTTTTTTTTTTCTTAACAGAAGAAAGTTTGAGTTTTAATTTTTCTTAAATGTCCATGTGAACCCGGGGGCATAACATGTACATTTACCCTTCAATGTCCAACTTTTTTACCATACAAACTACCAACATAAACAATAAACAGCAATGTTTAATTGTTTACTCTGTCCCTCATAAGTGTAGTGCGGCATCACAAGATGCTGTCACCAGGCACACAACAATCACACTTCTAGTTTCGCAGACAATACTATATACAAGGTACAAAAAACGCTAACTTTCTTACATGGGGCAGAGTTTAAAATCCATTTTAGTAAATACATATATTGCTTACCTTCAATCCTTGTAAGCCTTGAAGTTTAGATTGATCAATAGTGTAGTTTTGTTGTTTATATTTAGTGTTTTGAACAACATTCCACTCAGTATCATTACCTAAATAACATTAAGATAAAAATGTTATCATAACACAGGTAATAAATAAGTAACTATTTGCAATTATGTATCCTAATGTTGTTTTTATAAAAATAAATATTTTCAATACATCAATAATACAACAATAATAACAAGTATACTTAAATGTATGACTTATAACATAACGTGTTTTTATCATTAAGAAATGTCATCAATATTCAGAGAGAAGATTAGTAGAAAACATTAATCATTTAAAAACACAATAGTAACAAGTTCTCAGATGAAATAATAGTAATTTAGGAAGATACAAGAAAAAAGTATGATGAATTATAACTTTTTTTTTGGTTTGTTATTTACTTATTTCATCATAACTTAATTCATTATTAGTTGTCAATATGTGTAAGTTCATATGTATTAGTTCTTTGACATTTATGATAAGTATAAAAAAAAGAAAAAATACTTACGGCGATTTTTATTATCACCACCTCTAAACTTGTCATCACCACGATGATTATCTCGTGATTTTTCTGGTCTATTGTAAGATAATGCCATTGATTGTTCTATAGCCTCATTCTTAGCATCATTTTCTATTTCATTTATTAATTTAGGTTTATTATCTAAACGTCTAGGTATCCATTTGTCTTTTCTTAAATCTATAACATCTTGGATCATAAATCTTATCCTCGAGGGAATTTTGGATTTCATTTCTTTAGAAGTTAACCCTCTTAACTTATCAAAAGTTTCATTTAAATTGTATGTCTGAAAAATAATAATTATATACAAAATTACAAGTACTCAATGAATAAAGTAAATTTGAACTTCAAAATATAAATAATTTAAGTTTAATAGTTATACAGGGTGGGACGGAGCCGACTGACGAGTTTTGAAGGGCTATAAATAACGATTAGTAGAACTTAGAAAAAACCTTTTTGTTTTATTAAAGTAAGTGTGAAATCCCGTTTTTTAAGTTATGTTTTTTTAAATTATGCCTCCAAGATGGCGGCCATCAGCAGCAATATATTGCTGAAGCCGATATTTGGAGTTTACTCATCCATCTTTGAATCTGTGAATAAACAGAATTTTCGATACTGGTCTGAAAATAACCCACAGAAACTCCATTCTACTCCACTAAAGTGACAATGTCCTAATTTGGGAATCACTGAGTCCCAATTTGGGGTGATTGGCCGGTACTATTTTGAGAAGGACAACAGGACTGTCACTGTCACTTTGGCGCGATATATGCTAATGTTGGACACTTAACTACAGCACTGGTTGGAGCAAATGGATGAAGAATATGACTTAAGGGATGTATGGTTTCAACTAAATGGGGCTACTGCGCACACAGCTCAAAATTTGCTATTTATTTATTCGACAAATGTTCTCTGGGTGGTTGGTCTCTCAAGGGGTGACGTGGGCTGGACGACACGCTTCCCTGTTTTAAGCATGTGCGATATTTTTCCTCTGAGGCTTCCTTAACACATTCAATGCCCGTGTCAACACGTAGTTAACATGAGTAAACGGGCGCCAATGGCCAATGTCAACCATTGTTGACATGAGTAATTACTCATAATTAAAAGCAGCCATGGGCACGTGCAAGTTGTATCAATGGCGGCGTTGAACGTGTTAAGGATAAGGTCTTCAACCATCGTCCCTATACCTTAGCAGACCTGAAGGAGAGAATCACTGAAGAAATTGTGGTCATACCCATTGAAACGTTCCAAAAGATATTGCGAAAACTTCGGAAATCGCTTACAACAATGTATTGCTAAAGACGGCCACCATTTTGGTGATATCATTTTCAAACCGTAACTTAAAAAACGGGATTTATTAATGATTTTAATAAAACAAATCGTTTTTATATAAGTTTTACTGTTCGTAAATTATAGCCCCTCAAAACTCGTAAGTCGGCTCCGGCCCACCCTGTATTAATGATGGGTTATATACTATCACACGAAAATTACAAATATTTCAACTTAACGTAAAACAATTTTTTAATAAATCACAAAAAAATTAACTTACTTGTTCTAACTCTTTTCCAACAGTCTTTAACAAATTGCATAAACATTCTAAAGGTTCTTCATCATGTTTAGTGACTAAATTGACTATGCAATACAACATAATATTTGGTGTAAGAATTTTTTGTTTAAATAACTCGCCAATGAACCTTAAAAAAAAATTTTAAATATATTTTTAGTACAAGTATAAGCAAGTGGTGGGCTAATACACAATTGACATTAAATATCAGTCAATTTTTGTAGACTTAATAATCGGAATGTTAAATATAGCTAGAAAAGTGGTATCAGCCCAAAATGTATTGGAATATATAAAAAAAATATGTCATAGTAAATATACTATAATTTATCAGCAAACCAATGATTATCAAGAATAATTTTAAGAAATTCCTCGTGAACTAAGTTATGTAAAAAAAATCTGTAATATACTATATTAAATACAAATTTATACCTGCAATTTCCTACAGAACGTTTACGCAGCCTTCTCTCATTTTCTTCAAATTCTGTTTGAAGTTCCTTTTTCTTATCCTGGTATGAATAAAAAAAAAAAATAAAAAACCATTCTGAATTCTAAAGAGCACAACTACTTACAGGATCTTTACAAGAATTTATTTCTGCAAGTTTTTTAGCAGAATCCATTTCTTGAGCTTTGTCCAATTCAAATAAACTTTGGCATTTACTAATGATAAGTTTTTTAAATGAAGTGGTTTTGCCATCAGTATTTACTTGAACACCTTGCATAGCATGGCAGAGAGATGCATACAAAGGAGCAAAACTTTGTTCTTCAATTGCCTAATATAATAGTATAGTCGTTTAGATAAATATTACACAAACATTTGCTGTTAAAAAAAATATGGATTTCAGATGTACCTTTTCAAATACTAAATCTATGGTTTTTTCTAATCGTTCATATGAATCAATGGGCAACGCTTTAAAAGTATCAGTCAATGAATCCTTGTTTTCTGGAGTAATTTTGTTTAAAATTGATCTTACATTTTTGTTGACATCCTGAAAAAAAAAACCATTAATAAACATTTGATTCAAATAAAATCAAATAAATTATTATATAAACTAAATATAATTTCACCTCAGTTTTTAAATCATCTTCATTTTTATTTTTAGATGCATCAATTTTGGTAGCTTTTTTAATAGCTGTTGGAACCCATGCATTTTCAGTCTGATTTAACTTGACTTCTTCTCTTAGTGATAGAGACATATGAATAGTATTTGGCTTGGCAGTTTTATTAGCAGTTTTACCATGACTGCTATTGCGTTTAGCACCAGGCTTTTGAAAAAAAAAAAAAAATATAAGAATTTAGCTTTAACCTACCAGTGTGATATAGTTTACCATTATAGGCATGCCACGCTGACTATTACCACCAGATTTTAAATAAGCACCATATGCAGGCATAAATCCTGTTGCACTAGCACTTTGTGATCTCGCTATTGGCATTCCCTAAAATACATGATTATTTATGATAGATATTAAGGAAAAGTAACTCAGAATACTTACACCTCCTCCTAATCCTATAGAATTATATTGTGAAGAGTTGACAGACCTTGTTATGTGACCCCAGCTTCTCAAAATATCCGGCTTCTTTTGACACACAACTTCACTACCAAGTTGCAACAAAAAAGCTCTTGAATACACCCTATTTCCAGAGGTATTAGTAGCACTCCATTGATCTATTCAACAAATTTAAAAATGTACAAACTAAATTTATAATAACAGTATATTAGTTAAACTTTTAAGCTTGATGCGTAGCTGAGAAGGTATTGTTTTACAATGATGCGTTTTCATTTATTATTTAGTTTATATTTTTGTGTCTAGACCAACAGTTTTCTATGCTGATGAACTGATTTATTAATGTGGCAACTACTCTATATATCAGAAATAGTACTTGAAAGGCACTTATTGGACCAAAAATTAAAAAAGCTTATCTCTTCAGTTTCAAAATCAAGAAAAGCACCCAAAAATTTACTGTTTTATATATATATATATATATATATATATATATATATATACTCTAGCACCATGGATAAAGTATATAGCACTTTATCTTTTTTGAACTCTATAACTTCTAGAAAAATAGGTATTCAAATAAGTTATTATTATAAGAATATTATTATGGAAATCAGCCTCTTTATTTAGATTTTTGTGAGAATCTATTCTTGATATTGCAATTAAATTTTCTAGAGGTGATAACCTTATATGTTATAGCCCCATAAGATGTAAGGATTTTCTTAATTTATTTTTGAAAAAAAAAATTCAAAAAAATAAAGGGAAAAATTTTAATGAAATTTAAAATTTTTTTGAAATCTTATCCTTTATAATATTAAGCACGATAATTTTTTTTTAATTTTTATATTACAATTATTAATCTACAGATTCGCATCAAAGGATTAATTTGAAAATTACTTTAACACTTTCAGTTTTAATCACATCTGTGGACCTGTTACCCTATTAAAATTATTTTTATACTAAAATTATAATTTTAAAAATGTATTCAAACCTTCTTCATAAGGTAAATTTTCTATGTAACTAGGAAGTTTAGGTGCAATAACTTCTGCAGGTTCATGACTAACTCCGTTTTTGTTAGTTTCCAGTGGTTCTGATACTTCATCAGATTTTTGTATACTGATTTCTTCTTCAATTTTCGAGTTACAGTTTTCGTTTTCATATTTATTTTCTTTACTTTGTATCTATTTATAAAAAAAAACACATATATTTAATAACATTTGTCAGTTCTTTATCTTTGATGTTGTTTCTCTAATATTTTAGATAGAGGTTCGTTGTTTACAGTCGCGGCCCAATCTAGTTTTTAAACAAAAAAATTTGATTTGTCTTATTTGATAAAAATTTTAATTAAAACTGGTCAAAATAAATTGTTTGTGAAAAATAACTGAAAACACCTCTATATTAAGTAAATTTGGGTTATAAAAATTTTAAAACAGTTGAGGAGGTTGGGCCAATGACCATCAGGTTTGCCAATGCCCCCTTTATATATTACCGACAACTGTCACTCTGTTGTATGATATTGCCTTGCGGTAAGTGGAGTCACCAACCAAATCCATTTGGCTTTACTTAATCAAACTTGTATAACAGCTTTATTTTTATTTTACATACCGAATTTGCATCAATCTCTACAGTGTTGATTTCTGCTATAGATTCTGTATTATTCTCAACGGAATTGTCCACAACTTTGTTAGGTACAGCATTTACTACTGAACTATCATTCGAGTCTTTTGTAACATTTTTTTGTTGTTCAACTACTCCCTTCTTCTTTTTGCTTTTGCTTTTTTTTGATTTGACTAAATTCAAAAATAAATAAATTAAAACATGCATTATATTTATATATACTTTTTATAAACAATAGTTCTTATTTTAAAACAATTTAATACCGTTTTTCAAACACAGCAGATGAGATGCAAGCTATAGCTGCCAGAAGAGCCAGAAATAACTAAGTGATGCAAGAATTAAAAATAGACGACAATACAAACACATATATACTTATATGCTTCTAGACCATAAGTCATAATTTAACAATACAACTGTCATATTTTACTCTTGTATGTATTTGAATATATGAATATAGTTTTAGTAGTATGATAGTATACATATATTTATAAGAGTAGTCCTTAAAAAGTTGGTTTTAACCTGGAAGCCCCCTAAAAATCTTCTAAATAAAATAAAAATAAGTCATTTTTTTTAAAATAAAGGCGTAATAAATATACAGGGTTGAAGTATAAATGGGATTTAACATAGGATTTCATTCAACAATTGTTAAAAGTCTATGCAACTTTTTTCTAATTCCTGAAGATTTGGTGGTTTTATAGTTTTAAGTCTGCAAAACTTATACACCATACCCAAAAGTTCACACATGTCAAGATGGTGGAAAATAATTAAAAACAATTGAACATTCAGGTTTATAAGAATCAAACCAACTTGATATTTTATTATTTTAATACTTATTAATTAATGGTTCAATCTAATATGATTATACCGGGTTGCATAAATGTTCACTTAACGTTTAATGAAACATTAGATGTTTAAGGATTCCTTAAACATTATATAGTGGTCCATGATTGGGTTATTAAATTTTAATGAACTATTAAATCTAATTATTCTTTATGCAGCTTGCATTAAAATATTTAAAACCAATTGTAAAAAATATTGATAAAAATTACATTTTTTTAGGCCAATAACATTTGTATGTTAATAGATACAATAAACATAGATAGATAGATAAACACATTATATGTAGAAGAAAAAGGGACCTCTTGTTCCAAAAAATCAAATTTTGAAATTCTAAATTATTAATTATCAATAGTTATTCCAAATTTTAAAATTTTTGAGACCAGAATTATTCTTATATCTTGATAATTGGCAGATTTATATTTATTTAAATTTATTAATGGAAAGAATAAAAGCAAATTTGAAAAACTAAATGTTCAATTCTATATGATTTTAAAAAAATTACTGATATTTTTTTTAAATTGTATTCTGCGTATTTTTGTTTAATATATAATTTGAATTTCTATAAATAATATAATTTGCATTGTAGAAGCATAAAAGTTCTATAATTTATATATACCCTTTAATAATGAAATAGCAGCTAAAATGAACATTAAATTTTTACTATAAAACTCAAACAAAAATATCTACTTAATAAAAACGTCTTATTAGCTTATACCATCTACATATTTTATGGTTACTCCCACTTGAACAGAATATCTGTCGACAGGCAAACACTGTACAAGCAACAGTCTTGATGATAGAATGTGCAAGTGTTCCGACAAGTTAGCAGACAGGTCAATTGACATCACGGGTCACTAAATTATGTTTATGTTTAAGAAACCCTTAAACATCTACTGGAACGTTAATCGTTTATGCAACCCGACATAAGCTTATTAGATTGGACTATTTTTTTTTTAATAGCCTTTATAAGTAATAAATATTTGGCAAACCAATAAATATTAAATTAATAAAATATCAAATTAATAGGACACTTCTTTTCAATTTAAATGTTAACTAATAAAATCAAAAATACTCATCAAAATATTATGTTAAACCGATTAAATTAGTAAAAGAAATAAAAATGGTACTTAGGCAGTAGGTTACTTAAAAAAAACTACTGAAGTTAGTTTATTTTTAAAAATTATACCTATTATGTTATCTATAATATAGAGTTCAATTGAATGAGACGACAATTGAAAAACAAGATAAATATATTATGTTCTAATAGGCAATATGTTTATTATAGGTAATTTAAATATATACATTTTTTAATTCAATAAAACTAGTAGTTATTTAATGCGATTCCATTGGTCAATATAGTTATTAGTAATTATGCATGGCAAGTGTCCTTACTTATAGACTATAGTTTATTTAAGACAGAAATTATTAGAACACAACTTTTAGGATTACAATAGTAGACATAGAAGTCATGAATCATAATGACCTAATAAATTAATGATGGTAGCTAGTCATGTAACGTTTTGTATTAAACTTCAATTTTACTGTCAATTTGAAATGTAAATAAAATATACGAAAATTAAACGATAATCACAAAATTATTATACTAAATGAAAGGTCCTTAAAAAGTGGACACCAAGCTGCCGTGACTAATCAATTTAATAATTTTGTAATTTAATTTAGTACTCACTGTCACTACTAGGCCCCTTCATAGTTTTTCGGCTAAACAGTCTAAAACATTATTCTAGAGTATGTGTAATTTGGTTATGTTCACCAATCTAATATAAAAAGTGATAAAAAGAAGAAATTTAAGAAGAAAAATTAATTAAAAAAACACGTGCGTGTAAAAAATGTTGGAGAAATATTATAACTATTTGAAAGGCAGCAAACGACCTCTGCGAACAGTTGATACTAGTCGGTCTTACCAACTGATTTTAGATAATACAACAGTGCTGCCAACTAACTAGCCAAGGGCAATGAAGAATTTTCAAACTTTGAGAACAAAATATTTTCAATAACCTATCCCTACCATAGCCATTCCATGCTTTAATCACGCCACATTATATATTATTATCTTCTTGTTATTTTAATCTCTTGGCAAATATATATATATTATTTTTTTTTAACATTATTAAAATAGATTTTATAATTAAGTACAACATATAAGTTTAATCACGCCACATTATTAATCATATTTTAATCTCTTGGAAAATATTGTTATATATACAAATTTACAATAAATAATAATTTGAGACTGCAAAACATAAAAAATTGACGGAAAATAATGAAAAAAGTTTAGCATCAGTATGCCAATATTATAAAACAATTACTAAAAAACGATTTACTTTTCTGGAACTTGCAACATACTAATAAACAATAGTGCATTAAATGTTGTAAAATCAAATGTGTGTACAAATATCAGAATCAATAAAATTCAACTTATATCATGCTAGTCCTCAAGATAAAAGTTATAGAATAGATTCCAACTACTAAGAAATACACCAATTGTCAAAATGATATTCAATGTTGTAAAAGATACACATGAACAACATTCAGAAAACAATTTACAAATCTTTAGCACAGTTAAATCAAACAAAACATTTTTTAAATAAATTTTAACAACTATTTCTTATAAATTTCCTATTCCACATATTTTATCTTTTTATAACAAAGTCAACCTCTAACTAAATTTTTTTAAATAACAAAAATTATAATAAATTTCAGAAATCTAATTAACATTTTATACTTGGTGAAGTATAAAATGTTAATTAACTAGTATTAATAAAAAAAAATCAATGTTAACCAAATACAATAAATACATTTTTAAATAATTAACCTACATAACATGTTATTCAAATTATGTCAAGTCAGCTATTTAAACATTTTAGCCAAATTTAATAAAGGCATACAATTTCACTACTATATATTTGAATACATTTATGGTCATTAACACTCAAGCTCTAATATTTCCTACGTGTCTATTTTATAATGTTATAATCCAAAAGATATACGAGTGCGTTAAAACTTTCATAGATTGATATATCAACTGAGTGAGTTTCGGATATATGACGTGGACGGAGACGTGGATATATCCAAAACTCACTCAGTTGCCAAAAGATATACGTTTTGAACTTTATTTAACCGAGTTTTCTCAACAAAACCATAAATTCTTAATTTTGTGGTGTTCAATGATAAATTTGAATAAATTTATAGTTATTAATAACTGACCTGGTTTCAAGGATTCGTCTTCAGGTGACAATTTTTTGGCATAACTAGAATCTTCTGGGATACTGGTAACAACATCTGTAGATTGAGGCTCTGAATCAAATTCTGGATTATCGCTATTTACAGCCATAGTCGGTGGTGAGTAATTAGAGGTTTCTTCAGCATTAACATCAACATCAACTGTGTTTACAACAATAACATTTGAACTTGATTTCAATACAAGTTCACTTTTGGTTACTGCTGTATCTTCACAAACAACAACAACTTCAGTTTCTTCAGGTTTGGTTAAGACAGATTCTTCTTGAACTTCATCTGATTTTAACGGTGATGTTCCTTCACTAGCTAACTTTTTAACTTGAGATTGAAATTCATTTCTGACTTTTTCCTTTCCTTCAGAACTCTAAAACAAACAAATACATTCCTTTTTTAGAGAGTGAGCATGCTAACAGTAACGTTAGGCAGCTATTTTGTAATAGACAGTTGCCGATATAATTATTTATGTTCATTACCAAGCAAAAGAAATAGTGACACCTCCTAGAGTTCTAACATTGGTTTTCAGATTTAGGTAATACACAGATTGTAATTAAAACGGACTTCATTTAAAAACTGTTTTCTAATAAAAGAAAAAAGTTAATAAAAATACAAACACACAAAACGAGTATTACCTGGTCAGTTCTCCAACATTCTACCTCTTAAATATAAGTTCTCACAATCTCTTGATTAATGATTATTAAGTATTTCTTTAACCTTATTAACTATTATTATTGACTAATCATTTATTTGAAAATGTACATAACAATGAGTATTTTAATGAATGTATCATTATAAATTTATGTATAAAGTGTTATTTATAATTATTTGGCCTTATATTTTTAAAATAAGCAAATTTGTATTGTAGTGACATTTTCTCAAAAACAAATTAAAAGTTTAAATTCAAACATTTATTATTCTAACATAAGTAGCAGTGCTTGAATGGCTCGATTTTATAATATATTAATTAAAACAAAATGACAAACGTTTCAAGAAAAAATTATAATTTTGATAAAGTACTAAATTTCTTATTTTCAAAAACGTTTAAACTTGGAAGTGTAAGCTACTCCTGATAGTTTTTTGTTTATCAAATATTATCATAGCATCGTCAACCATTTGTTGGTATTAAATTTGATTAATATTGTACAAAAAAATTGTTATATATTGTTTTTATTATTTATAAAAATTAATTTATATTATTATTTAACTCTAGGCTTTACTCTATAAAATTAAAATACTAAAAAATACTAGTTTTTCTTAGGTAATCCTTTAAAAATTATTAATGAGATTACATGCGGTCTGTTTTTTTGACGTTTTATACCAAAAATCCAAACAAAAATTTGACTACTTAAGATGGACCGATTTCATTTCTTTTAAGATATACGAGTTCTTAGGCAACTTTACTAGGTTACATAGGAAACAGATTTTTTTAATGTAAAAAAATTGGGTTTTATTATTAAAAAAATTGCAATTTTATTTTATTAACTACAAGAAATTAAAATTTAAAAAGTTATTCGGCTTCCTACATAACATCGTAAAGTAACCAAACAACTCGAATCTCTTTACAGAGTTAAAATCGAACCTATGTAGTCAAAATTTTGTCTAGCTTTTTGGTCTAAAATAAGCAATAATGGATTTTACTCATAAAAAACATTATTAAAATTAAAAATAATTCCTTGATGCTTATACAAATTAACCGGTAAATAAATTAATATGGTTGAAATTTAATAAAAAATACTTTTTTCTTAAATATTGTATATACAAAACTTCTTAAAAACAGACCGCATACAATCCCCTAAAAACACACGTTTAATAAAGATAAAAAACCATATAATAAACTATTAATTACCTGATTACTATCAGATACTTTGGAATCATTTTTTTGAACAGCACTCTGAACTTGACTTTGAAATTGACTTTGAACTTTCATTTTTTCTAACTCATCAGCACTCTACAAAATAATAATAATAAAATTAATCGACTTGAACAATTAAAAAAAAGTTAAATATTTTTTATAACCAAGTATTGCTATAGTGATATCAATTTATAAACTAAAGAATATTATATATTTATATATGAATATCTGTTAATATTTGTATTTATTAAAACTATACAATAAAACTTGAAAAAATAAAAAACTATATAAAACTTGTTCTTAGTCATAAAACTTCATTATTGCCATCATTGTTAAAACAATTACAGCATTTTCTTGTACCTATTTTATTAATATAAAACGTGTCCTCAACCACTATCTATAGCAGGTGCCACAAGGTTGGGGAAGCAAGCTTCGGCCTTTTTGAGATACACAAGATGCGAGGAAATCAATCAATTTGGTAATTGATATGTCCCTGTATAATACTTGTATGTCCCTGTTTTTGTTTTAAACAGCCGTACCAACCAAGTGAAAAGCCTTTATTATTAGTTTTCACTTCACAAAAAAAATTAAAAAAAACAATTTATTCTTTAAGCATTAAATGGACAAATCTATAAGCAAGGTCAATAAGTCTATAAAATAGACAACACAAAATGTAAATCTGATCGTTCTACATATAAATATAATTATTTGATAGTGAGAAAAAGTTTAGGTTGAAATATACTCATATTTGAATATGGCTCCAATATGCCATCAGTTAAAGGAATTATTTGTACTTAAAAAATAAAAGTATTATTTCAAAACGGCAAAACTAATACTCTACAAATATAAGAATGATAAATATTAATAGCTAAATTCACGATTAATATTAGTTTTTTTTTAGTTTACTTACTGGTTCTGGTTGCTGTGGGTTGTTTAAATTTACTTCATTGCCAGTTTTAGGATCAATTATTTTTATGGCTTGTTTTCTTCGTACTGGCGGCCTGGGTTCAGATATTGGTGTAACAGGTTGCTGCGGAGGTACTTGAATAGGTTGTGAACTATTAGCCATCTCCATTGGTTGTGGCTGCACAATGATGGATTGTCCATGTGTATTTTGAGCACTATTCATATTAGCTGAAGGTGGGGGATTTTGTGGCCCTTGGGGTAAATTAGACACCTGCAATTGTCTGGAAGGTGTTGCTGAGAAAAACATGCCTGCCAAATATTTAAAATATATTATTTATTTAAAATACTAATAAACAGAAAAATTATTGTTAACAATATAAACCATAATTGAATATATTATTAATTATAAATAAATCACACAACAATTGAGTTATACCTTGCACACAATTATAATTTTGTTTTAATAATTTTTTTAAATATAATTTTTATTGATTTTGTATATTGTTAACAGTTAATTAAAGATACATGTTATGAAATGTAACACAGGAAAATGTGGGTGCTTATATAGAACTCAACAAGTGTAATACAATTCAATAATAAATATACAACTAAAATTGTGGTTTAAAATGAATCGTAATATTTTTATATTCCAATTTTAAACTTATGGGTTAAAAATAAAATGAACTTAATTATGAAGCAATTTTTTAAACCAACTTAATAAAGAAAGTTTTCTCAATACCTGGTTGATGATTAGCTGAATAGTTTGCTTGCAAATATGGTGCTGTCATAAGTACAGCTGTTTGTGAAGGCTGTTAACATACAGTAAAATCAGATACTCAAACTGACGACTTTGTTGTTATAAAATTATTCAACTTACTAACAAAACAAATACTATTTAAAATATATTATACCTGTGGTGGGAACTGGTAATATGTTGTATGATTGGGACTTGGGTAAGCGGCAGCAGAAGCAGCAGCCATATTGGGTGGTAAATACATCTAAAAAAAAAAATTTGTAAATAACATTGACATTTTAAAATTGAATACAAAATGAATTATATACATACATCACAATAGCAATAATACAAAAATTATTAATGAATAATGTTTAAATTTCTTCCTTAACAGAAACCCAATGCAAAATATTCATTCAATATTAATATATTTATATGCCCTAAGCGTTAAAACCTAGACTTAGAAAATATAAAAAAAACCTTTATATATAATATATATACATACTAGTAAGAGATTATGTTATCAAAATGTTTACACTTTTAGTTTTTATTAATTATTCTTAAAAATAAAAATGCCACTTTTGTCCAATATTGTATTATATCCACTATCACAACACTCTTTCAATTGTTTTACAATTATTTACTTATCCCTACAGTTCTGTGACTACACCGACCTTACTATGTTCAGCTTTTTCTTCCATATTAGTTTTATAACAAATAACAATTAAGATCAATAAATATGCATAATACGATAAATAAATACGATACATAAATATGAATTTATCCAATTAAAAGTAAATTATTTTCCCACTTATTTACTCAAAACTTTATATTTTATTGTATTTAAAAGTTATTAGTTTCTTCAATTCAGTATATACATGTACACCACACAAAGAAAAATGGATACACAGGGGAAAAAGTATAAATCATCAATCCTAGAAAAACGTGTTTCCATTGTAGTTAAAATTATGTTAATAAAAAATTGTGTTAGTAATATTAATTTAAGAAATACATAAGCAAATTTTTCAAAAATGTAATAACCATATAAACTAGATATTTTACAAATTATCAAGTGATTAAATGTACTAAACATAAATTAACTGAATTAAAATTTTTGCAAGGCAGACAGTTATAATTTTTGCTATTAATTAATTTAAGGCTTTGATCCAGTATCGACGAAAAAATCATTTTTTGACAATTGTCTCAACATAAAGGGAGGGGGTGGTACCTCTAAAAGTTTCCTTAGGGTGTAAAATAATAACTTTTGATGAAAATGCCACATTTTTTTTGGCGAAAGGAGGGAGGGGTATCCCATAAACAAAATAAAGTTTATGACGCCACTTAAGAAAATATAGAACATTTCAGTATAATATTATTGCATATAACAGTCATTCTAAATGGCAAAATCTAAATTTGAAATGTGAAATGAAAAATTAGAATATTATATAATATCATGTTATTACTTGACTAAGATATATAATAAACATTATAAAGCAAGGGCCAGATAAAGTTACATGCGGATTTCACATTTTACTAGAAAATAAAATCTGTGTTCTAATAGACAATAAAAAATTAAAATTGTATTTTTTTTAATGTATAAAATTATTGTTTGATTTATAAATGCATGTTTTACTAAATACATTTTTTTTTTTTTAGTTAGGTAGTAAAATGTGAACTTATTGATTTTATATTACAATGCAAGTCATAATATTATAATTTACATTTTTAACAGACATTTTTACTAATACATCAAACTCACTTAATTGTTAATAAGTAATACAATTTATGTTCTACTACATCAAATTTCCCCTCAACAAGAGTAAGTATGGTATCTCAATAACATTTTACTTTTTTTCTTTTTTATTATTTTACTTTACATAATATATTACTCTTGTAAAGAATATCTTACATAAAACATCAGATACCGAAAGATTAATTTTGAAACAATATCCCCAAGATTAAAAACTATTGAAAATATACATTTTTTAATGAAACAAAATTATAAATATAATAAAATATTGGGTACCAAATAATGTAAAAAAAAATTGCTAAAACTGACAAAGATACAACATGAATAATAATTGTCTATCAAATTGGTAATTTGTCTCGAAAATTACCTGGTACTGGAAGGGTCCTCTTGGTAAATTACGTGGTGCATTTTGTCTTAAATGGTGGGAGAGCTGAGCACAAAAAGCAAGCAATTATTATACATAACATAACTTGGTTAGAAAAATGTTAGAACATATATATTAACACACATACACATATTAGATTTTTGCTTTTGCATCAAATGCAAGAAGTTTTTGGTTATTCATGAATTAGTTACCTATACACAGAAAACTACTTATCTGATCATTTTAAATTATTGTACTTAATACGATTAGAGTAGAAACCATAGCTTAGATATTTATTGACCATAATATTGACAAAGGATAATTCAATTTTTTTTCTTACTATAAGTTTATATAGCATGATTTTTTTACGCTATGTGCTACTCTAAATAAGAATGAAAGTATGACCATGCAAAACATAATAATTTAACTCATTTATGGTTTATAACAACACTCCAAAAAAAAAAAAAAATTATTTAAATTTTAATTATAAACATTAATGTAACAAAATATAGCTAAACATTCATTTTAGAAACTATTAAGGCTTAATAATATATTGCTGAATGTTGATTGAAATTCAAAAGAACACAAGTTAAAAACAAAATAATAATTTAGATACTTTGTATTATTAAGTATTAAAATCTAAAACTGTCACCAAAATATATTGAAATCAATCAATAAAAAAACAAACAATAAGCTATTTTGCAATCACCAATGTTAGAAACAACAAACCCCATATTCAAACATTCCCAAGGCCCCTAGAAATGTTAAATGAACAATTTGTTACTTATTACTCTAAAGTAAAAAAATGGAGTAATTAAATGTAAAACACCATGCATAGAATTAAATTTTTATGAAACTGGTTAACATTTACCTTTTTTTATAATTTGTTTTTTGTCAAGAGTTGTGCAACTTATTATAAATTGTTATTACGTATTTATAAAATGTAAAATAAAATAGTTTACTTCTGAAAACTAATTGCTTTTTGTATGTATATTAATTTATTAAATACATATTTTATGTAAATAAAATCTGTTGAATTCAATAAATTTAAGCTTCAGACTGTTTTTTGAATACCAACAGTTAATTTCAAAGAAATCATTAAAAAATCTAGATATATTATGTATAAGTTTATAATTATTTATAAAGTAAATACTTACAGGCCGTGTAGGCATTCCTCCTGCTGTAACCATTTGAATTTGCGCTTTAAAAGTACATAATTTAATTGAAACAAACCATGTAAACTATATATTCAAAATTTTATTTACATGCATATTATGCATATAGAATATTACCGTGAGATAAATTTGGCATGTGATTATTCTTCATATCACCTACGCTATGAGTATTTGGATTTGCATAATGTCTGGGACGTTGAGCTTGTCCAAGTATATACCCACTATTTGGTACTTGGGGAGCTGGATGACCAAATTGTTGATTAGAGTCTAAAAAATGCATATATATATATATAGAATAATAATAGTTTTTAAAAAAGTGAATGCCTACATTGTTGTAACCCTATATCCACATTTTTAAAAAAAAAAAACATTTTATTTGTCATATTAAATTAAGGTAGACACTATTAAGTATAATATGAATTATTAAGTATCCTAATATTAATTAATAAAACAAAAAAATATTAACCCATATTCAAATTACCATTCATAATTTAAAGCTGAATCCACCATAATAAAATAAATCTATGGCACAAAATTAAATGAGGAATCTAACAAAAATGAAGAATAAACAAACAGGATAATAATTTTTAACTTATTAAATTAGATTATTAATTTATAAACTTAAAAAAAAATTAGTACTTTCCTAGTAAGTAAGCTGATATATATTTTTTTTTACACTGTTAAAAAACGTGGCTGCCAGGCTGGCATAACCACTACTATTTAGTACTATCGCATTCTATACTCATGATACAACAGATGTATTCCCCTTCCGTTATCATATTACTAAACAGGGCTTCCAAAACTGTGGTCTGAAAGCATGTGCACAGTAACCTTGTGATTTATCTCCTAACAGTTAACACTTAATATGAAATTATAATGTCAGTTATGAGTTATTTAGAAAGTATTTCTTTGTGTATGTTATACTTAAAGTACATTAATAATATATGTTGTATAGTATATTATTGTCATTGGAATACTAGAGTAGTTACAATTTGTAACGTGTGTACACGTGTTCTGGAAATTTACGAGCTTGAAATATGAACCATTTTATATTATATGATTACATAAAACCCACAACCCAGTTAGGACGAAAACATGCGTACCAGCGTTCTTAAGGTAATTATCGTTATGCATGATTCGTTAAATGGGTACCTCTAGAAATGACAATAAAAATTTGTATCAGAGCTTCCAGAATTTGAGAAATACATTTTTTATAAAAAATAGAGACTATTAGTTGACGATAAATTTTAAAAGGTTAAATGAACATTTCGTGTGGAAAAAATTTACAAGTTTCAATTAAAGAACGAAAAACAACACAACTCCACTTTGTTATCCTAACTAAAGTGTTGTTTTTCGTTGGCAAAACAAACGTGTTATTTTTCGTCTGAGGCCTAGATTTAGTGTAAGTAAATTCTCGTTTTATTTTTTAAGTAGATTGGAAGCAAATAGTTTATTTTTTATAAGGGGAAAAATATAGGAAAAATTTGATCATAATACGGTGATATACAGTATAGATTTTGATCATATCAATTTTTTTCGGTTATGTTTATTTCAATTAGTTAAATATTACGAGTTTTTCATAATACATTTATAATATAAATAATATAATTGTATAGTTTAGAAGTTGACCGATTTTAATTCAGTATAAAAATAAGAGTTTGTTGGGCTGTTTACAAGGTTAGTCTTTCAGGGAACAAGCAAAGATACGCACCCCAGTGAAATGAGGAAACCGGAAAATAGTGTTATGCATTTTCTTGTGTTGTGTTTACCTAGCCTGCAGAAAAATCCCACTTTCCCTCTATACGTGGTACTAACACGTAATACACCCAAGGAAACCTTCCAATTCCCCCCCCCCAAAAAAAAAAATTCCCGTTTTTGTTAATTTAATATGATATTCTATAAATTCTCGATCATCAAAAATTGCATGAAATATTTATTTCAAAATAGGTAGGTACGTATGCCCTTATTCAAAATTACCTTTTATCCAAATTTCATAACCTTCCTCTTCACGAGGGAGAGGAGGGGGGGGGGTAAGTTTTTTTAGGCACAATTTTAGGACTTAACAAGCTTAAAATAAGACATTTAAATAGAACATTGAGAAAAATCTGTAGTCATATTCCTTTTAATTGTGGAAAAACTGGAAACGATCATTAAAATGTGGATTTGGAATGGAATTGAGAAATTAAACTTGAAATTTAGTATATGAACTGCAATATGAATATTATTTAACTCCAGCGAGCGCGATATTTGCAATAACATGAGCAGTCGCACGTTATATAATTTACAACAATAGTAAAAGTAGTAATAATCATACATCCAATGAATTTGTAAGAAATATTAATACATTTACAGTACCTTAAACCTTAATTTAATAATAGACTGTAATAAAATAGAATAAAAAAAATATAAATATATAAAAAGATACTATTTAAGTAAAAAAAAATGGATAGGTACATAGCTGTTGTATTATTTACAACAGTGTTTCTGCTAGAAGGTTAATTTAATTCAATACTAGTCATACATAATAGCTATAAGTTAAAAATAAGATGTATTAATTAAACATCATTGCTCCAAAATTTTAAATATATTTTTTTACTTTCTATTCCTAATCTACTCTTTGTGTAGGATCTATGTAATCTTAATTTGCTCATCAAAGGATTTAAAAGCTAATAGATCCACCCTTTTTATTCTATCTCTAAACACTAACAAAAAATTACCGCTATACTATCAATACAACCACCAAACTGACATAAGCAACATTAAAATTGTAGGATGACAAATATTTTTATCATTTTATATAATATTTACGGTACTTTTTAATTAAAAACTATTTTTATGCAAACAAAAATGCAATTATATTATATTCAAAATTATAAAAAATATATTTGTTTGTGTTTCTTATAACTTTGAAAGTTAATAAATATGCTAAATTGATATTGCTGAGTTGATTTTATAAATGAAATGATACACCTGTAAATTGAAGCATATACTTAACAACGGCGTTTTGGCCAAGAGGGTTACCGTAGCAGTGCTTCTATACACTAGCCGTGGATCGAATCGCTGGCCGTTTCTCTAGCTGGGTGGTCAACTGTTTGGAGAGAAAAATGGCCACCCTACTAGTGCGAAAGGCAACAAGAAACCATCGCACCATACCCACTTCCCCAGGATGGTAACTCTTGTCTCTTGAAGAGCAAGAGTTGTCCAACCAACCTAAAAAGGTCGTAGAAAAAAAAACAAAAATATTGTTAGAAACGTAGGCCACTGCTCGGTCTAATTTACTATTGACCCATCACTACTCGCGTGGGGTAAAATTTTACTCGAGTCACACTTAGTTATACTGTGAATCAGGTTAGTTGTATACTGGTCACTTTATTAAAATGTGACTGAAAATCGTGCAAGTAGTGACGAGTTAACAGGAGTGGTGCGATCATTATGTCTACTACTAGTAAATAATTTGCTCAGAATGAGTTATATTATCATTATTAAACAACTGTAATTTTAGAGAATTCGAATCTGGATATTGATTACAATTATTTATCATACAATTTTCATTATAAACTTTAAGTAATATCTTTTATTGAATTGACTTAATCTATATTTAGCTTAGGTCCATCGATCACAAGTTTCATATTTTGATGCAAAACACACAAAAACAGTTGTGTATGCTCACTTGCTCCAGCAAGAACACACCATTTACTTCATAAATCAGCAATTATAAAATTCAGGTTAGTTATTATAGTTTTAAACTCTAAATAAAAATGAAATAAATTACAGCCTTACGTTTATAAGACATACGTCTTTTAACAACAGTTAGAGTAACTATCACTATACCAACTTAGTTTTTAAAGCCAAAACACAAAGTTATTAATTGATAAAATATGAATGCCACTTCATCCAGCAATACGTACAAAGGAAAATATATTGTTCAATAATTTGATTTATCCGATTAATACAAACATAAAATTATTTTCAATTGTGCATTATGTAGCTTTGTTGTTACTGTCTTTTTATCTGTTTTATGGCAGGCTCATCTAATACTAGGTAAAATTCTACAAACTGATAAATTTTTAAATCATTAAAATAGTCAAATCTCAATGCTTGTAACTAAAAAAAACAGTACAGTTGGGTTGGGGCATAGTGGGGACAGGGAGGTCACAGGTTTACAGGGATTTTTAAATCTAAAAGTGATAAAATCACTTATGAAAAAACGCTTTGATGCAAATCAGTAGTTATAATTTTTAAGCCAGTATAGTCTAAACCAAGCACAGTGTAAGCCAGAAAAGTTAGAAAGTATTAAATTGAGGTGCTGTATTTACAAATAAGCATCAGTGTTTATTTGAAAGTGATTTTATTCACTTAAATCACTTTTATTTATAATAATTCATGTAGACCTGTGATCTCACCAATCCCACTATACTTTGTCCCCACAAAACCCCGACCACATTGTACTGGTTTTTTTTTTGCAAAAACTTAGTGGCCCAAATAACACATAATTTATAACTTGTTAAATTTAGTTGGAATGGTCAATGATTCCGGTTTCAATCGTTTGTATTTCAAAATTCAAAATTACAATCATTTATACTCAATAAGAAATTGAATTAATCTTTACAGAGATACGCGGACGTTAGCCTGTAATATAATACCATGAATTGTGATAAACAATCGATCCACCGGCCATCAAATATCGTAAAAAAAAATTCAAGGCGGAGCTAGCTAGCGTTTGTAAATATTATATTTAAATTCAAAATTGTATAAATATTATACTTAACTTTTTGTGTGAGTAAAACCAATACCGTCTCCACTTTGCATCGAAGCTAAAATCTCCAACACAAGAATTTTGCCACATGTTACACACTTATAAGTACAAGTAAATGTTATGAAAATGTTTGAACTTTCTATACAGGACAACTGAAGTTAATCACTTTTAAAATGTGTAATTTTCTATAGAACGCTGAGGTTTAAAAAGCATTTTAAATTTAAAATCATAAAAATGTTTTAAAAATTATGTGGATGGTATAATTATAAATTTTAAAAAAAAATTGGAATTTTACTTTTTTTCTAAAAATAATTTTAAAAAATTATATGTAAACAAACAGTGAATGTTTCAGGTAGTTATCATATATTATTTTGTAATAAAAGTTATAAAGCCACGAAATACCCTATAGCCTAGCTTACGAAAACTGAACGTTCAAGGCCGATGGGCGGCGGTAAAATATTGTTGATGCCAGTGGTTCTCCGTATTGTACGTATTATTGTTTTTATCATCTGTTGGATAGAGACAGCTGTTATGCTAAAATATACATACTTAACATATTATTATTAATTGTTTTTAATTGCTATATTCTGAACACGTAAAGTAGTGCGCAAGACAAAATAATAAAATATGTATATTTAATAAACATTTAAAAAAGTCCGCCAATTATGTTGATACCCACTAATGGCAATTTGCCACTGGTAGCGCTGATGTCAACGTTTAGTTTTCGTGAGCCGAACTATAGTCTTTTTATGAATTTTACAAATTATAATTTTGCATGAATAAAAATACATTTTTTTTTTAACTTTGACTACCAATAAACATTTACAAACTAAAAATATTTCATACTCTTTCCTCTAGAAAGTATATATTACATTTTGAACATAGTCAATTTCCAGGTTGCTATGTGTGAGTAAATCAACAGTCAACAGGTAATGAAAATATTTTCATTATATTGTTAACTACGTTATAGGTAACTATGGCAATTCATTTTTATAGACAGACGATCGATCCTAATCATATCCACCCTAATACTAAAAATGCATTATTAAGCAGATATTGTCTTTAGGTGCAGAAGTTCCGAATATGGACGTGAGTCCTACACCCCGGCTAAAGATCTATGAGATTTCTCTCGTTACCCCAGACGGGGGCACCAACTTCCTAAGAAGCCGGCCTCGCCACATGAGACTGTCGGCATTTGCCGGCAGCCGCCCCCGGTCAGGCTATGGTCCGAGAGCGCTGGATCCCGCCTACCAACGCCATCTTCCCAGTGGTTTTTCACATGGCTACCCAATGGCTTGGAGATGGTCTGGTCTCGTCTGCCGACCTTGGGTGGGGCCCCGGCGCTATCCACACCGGCGCGATGATTTGGTTCACCCCAACCGTCTGTGATTATCCTCCCACAGACAGAGTGACTGATCACCCGGGGGTCAAATGCCTCAACCGTGAGACTTCGTCCGACAAGCATACTGTCATTAACCACCAAAGTCACTGACGTGACCGCCACTACGAATCCAACCGCAAATTGGGCGTGAGATCGGCCGCCTTCCAACCCCCCATCCACAATTATCCCGTAGTACTGGTTTCACCTGGAATATATGCACACAGGCACGGCCACCAGTGTGCCGCTTCGACGGAGCCATGGAATTCATGGGTATAACCATTCAGGAGGTGTCTTTAGGTGCAATGCTTTTATCGATATTTGTATTTTTATCTGTGAACACTAGACCTCCCTTACTTACTTACTTACGTGTAGTACTATGTTATTGTGCTGGTTTAAACTGTGCTTGGTTTGGACTGTACTATTTAAAACCTACTATCCACAGATTCGCATCAAAGTGTTTATTTAAAAATGATTTAATCACTTTCAGTTATAATAATTCCTGTAGACCTGTGCCCTCCCGTCTCACTGTAATGGCTTTTTTTTATATTAATATAGTCTGAGCGTACTAATTAAATTTCAATTTAATTAAAAATACTTTTTCTTTATTATTTACTTTATTACTTGTAAAAATACTTTTACAAACTGGCTCATACAAAACAATGATTCCACTATCAATTTCCTTGGTGTAAAACCAAACTGATTTTGACATATTGATTTCACTTCTATTACTCTTTACGTTAATCTTATATCAAATCTTCATAATTTAACTCATCTATTTTATTTTTCTATAATTTCTACATCCTTGTTTATCTTCCTATGTTTAATATATAGCAATTAGATAAAATCATCAATTTTCTATTTTTATACAAAAAATTTCCATATTACTTATATATACTGGTAAAATAATTAAACAGATTAACATTGATAAATTTTGTTTCAGGTATTTTGTGTAGTTTACTGTTTACTAAACATACTGTAATAAGTTAATAATATAATAGTTAAAATAGGGCATTTTAAAGAAAGCCTTATGGTGTCACTTGAAAATTGGCTGGAAATTGATAAAGTTTAATTTCTTTCTTATATCAACATTCAGTGTTTGACAAGATTATTTATTGATATATCATAAATTCAATACACAATGATAGCTGACGGGCTTAATATGAAAAACAACAACTGATAATGATATTAATGCTACGAAAACAATATACATGGTTAATATAGATTTCTGTCCAAAATCGAGTTGCTAAAAACTGATGTGGAATGGTTTATCGATGTATGTATCTATGATTATACTATCAAATCATTATATTTATTATAGCATCCAAATTTCAAAAGTAAATAGAACTTAGGAAATTTCCAAAAATGGTAACATTTGAGAACTGTGTAACAAGTATAACAAACAAGTTTTTAAAAGAAAAACTATGAATTTTCATTATTTTCTTTAATTAGTATTAATTTATTTAAAGTTGACAAACCTAGGAATAATGTTTGCTATAGTTTTGTATTGCTTTAGTATTGGTTAATGTGATAATGGGTAAATATAAAGTGATGGTGGTGTATAGATCCAATTGACTTAATACATATTTTATTATAGAGCTGATAGGTGTCCTTCAACTGGTCAGTACTTAATATTTTATAATAGCAACATATTTTAAAACAAAAATGACAAGTTAACATTTGTAATGAATCGTTTATTTTTTTTTAACTGGGTTAATGGTACTTAGGGATAAGGGATTTAATTTAAGTATGGGCTTCTTATTTATTATAGTAAATTTTTTAAGTTTACTGATAATGATTACAAAAGATACAGAGATCAATTTAAACAATCACCAAAAAATGTTTGAAATGAAATGCTTGTTGATATTTATCACAAGCAATACCTACATAGATTTCTTCAACCATATTAAAGCAATAACAACCCACAAGTCCTAAAACTATTATGCCACATACTTTGATAAAGGCAATCGTATTAATAGAATTTGATAATAAGTGGCAGTTTAAGACCAGACGATGCCCGATGGACACTCAAAAGTAGGTACCCACTTAAATGGGTAAATTTTCGTTCTTTGAATAAGAAGTTCGATTAAAACCAAACTACACAAAACCCACCTAAGAACGCGCGCATTGATAACGAGATCCAAGGGGATTCAGGCATGGCCGAATATCACCGGGTCGGCCGAAGCCAACAATCTAAAAAATGTATTTGCCAAAAATTAAGTACTTACTCGAATACATATTTGGCTGTTCACGTCTCGGGTGGTTCGAGTTCGAGCTCCGGGGGTGCATGCTCGTAGTGATGTATCGTGCGGTGTTTATGTCAACGCCGTACCCTCATAAGTTTTCCATTTCGAAAGGTGCAACCGTTCGTCGGGCGTACGTTATCGTATCAGTCGAGATCCGTCAACGGACGTACCAATCGAGAGCAAGTCATCGTAGCGGTCGGCGAAGCGCACAGAACGCGATCGGGGTGGATAAAAATATTCAAAATTCAGCTGCTTTACGCAGTGACGGTGGCCCGTACCAAATTGGGTTGGGCACAAATTATGTATATATAAAATATATACAAGAAATTCCGGTAAAACGGCGGAAAATCGGGCTACTGTGTAGAATACAACTAATACACTTAACACTAGAGACAATAACACAAATCGATGGTAATAATAAAAATAAAAAATATACTAAATAATAATAACGAAAAAGACGTATTTAATTTTTTAAATAAAAAAAAAATTGATATAAAATGGGTTATGTTATGTATGTGATTTGACGTATTACACAGCCATACTGCATTCGAAATTTTTAACAATACACAAGATGCAGCCACTGCAAGCTTGATTTTCATGTGAACAGGGGGGAATCGTCGACGACAGACCGGCCAACCTCTTCCGTGGCTACTGTTAAATGTTAACCAAACTGATTTACGCTTACGCCTAAATCACAATATTTTAAAAAATAATACTAAAGTTAAATGTTGATTCAGACCTATATAATTACCCCCGTATTTTTTAATCGTAATCGTCTTCATTTTACCCAAATCGGATTACCGTACATAAATTAGATACATCAACGATACCGGCAGCTTGGATTCCATTCCGCGGACACCGGCAAAAATCACATTAGAATTGTACTATGAAGTTTACTACACTGCACTGTCTATCGTATTGATAATCCCTGTTTCATCATTATAAACACATATGCGGTTATCGCTTATCAACTTGTTTCAGAGACCTTATACCACAGATGTTACAGAATAACTAGAAGACACTTATCTAGCATTACATGGGTTCTTATGGGGGATGGATTTGCTAGACCTGCGAGAGAATTAGGGAAGGCTGTATGAAGATAATTACCATTTTTCTCTTACTTCAGGCGATTCTAGTAATTTCTTAACCAGAAAATGTGTGATATCAGTTTCGGTAGCAATGAATAATTTTTTTAAATGGTTAATTTCTCGCTACACTGATGCTCTCAACAATTTTACCGATTTCGAGTTCTCATTGACTGTTTCTTCTGGTTATTCTATACTATTATCATTATATTATAATAATAATAATTATCGACATTTTCATGTCTTAGCTCTGGCACATAACCGACAAAAGTGTTACCAAAAATGAGTAATGACACGGTGATTGGGATGGGGGTGGGAGATATGAGATAGGGGGTAAGATATAGGGGTAGGAGATAAGAGATGAGAGGTGGGGGTGGAAATTAGCCCTGGCACATAACCGAAAAAAGTGTTACGCTGTTATTTTAAATTATGTGTTGTATTTACAACGATCAAACTAGAACTAAGTTAAACTAAACTAAAATAATTTAAAGGGCCAAATTATCTATAAATTGTTTAAGGCCAGATATTATGAAAACACTAAAATATTAGCCAGAAACTTGATATGTTTACTAGCCACCTTTAATATTAGCTTATTATTGCTTGTTAATATACCTACTATTTCATTATCTATAATTCTACCACTACTCTAAATTTATTCGGTACTTCAACAAGACATGAAAATGTTCTTTCGTGGTTGCAGACTCTGCTGAAAAATGTTTATAATCAATATATGTAGCTTTAACAAATCGACGTAAGAGCGCTATGCACCTTGACCCATGACGTCATAAAGATCTGTTTAATAATCAATATGCGAATTCGAATTCCCAGTTTGGTAACACACATGTATATTTATATAATATCAAATATATATATAAACGGTATCATAAATTGCTAGAATAGAATGCAACCTTGACGCACGTGAATACTGTAATTGTTAGATTGGTAATTTTTCGTTAAATCTTAATTAAAAATTTTGGAGTAGATTTAGCCAATTACAATAATGATAGCAGTTCGTCTTTACTAGCAATTCAATTTTGAGCATATATTATCTAGCTTAGGGTTTAAGACCCAAGGGATTTTTGTAGCTTTGATGCGGATACCTGGTCATGCAAAATTATTGAATTACTTATATCCAATAACCTTTTTTTAATGCCATTGTGCAAAACGAATTGCCCATTTCAAAAAACGGATGTATTCAATTTACTTATGACAGAAGTAGTGAAAGCTGAAATTACCTTGCTAATATATTAAGTGGGAGCCATAGGGCATGGCAGAGGGCGTGGGTCTAAGACCGAGGATCGGTTTGGTCACTTGAGTGAAGTTGTATTGTGCATTACTCAGAATTTGTAAAAACATTCAATTCCTCTATTTTTTGTGTGTGCAATTTCCTTGCATATAATATTAAAATATTAGACTGAGCGAGCAGCCAACACTTAAATCTAATAATATGTAAGAAATTATTACAGAAAATATAAATTTTAAAATAATTTTTAACTATAAGCAGTCCAAATTAGTATTTTATCTAATAAATATAGTCTATTATTTACCTATGTACATATTTTATTTGACAACATTAATTATAAATTTATACATTGTACACGTATACATAAGTAAATAGTTAAAAATATAAAATAAGTTAGTAGAATATTAAATACTTCTCCTCTCATGACATTGTTAATGCCAAAATATAGTCAATTTTAAATTATCTCTAGTAAAAATTAAAATATGTCATAATAACACATATACTATTGTTTATAAATTAATACATTTCATATATTAATTTTTCCATGATAATTTTGTAGTTCGAAATCAAATAGTTTTTATAATGAATTATTGAATTAATATCTGTTTTTATCACTAATGAGATTTGTTATTTTATTTTGGATGCAAAACATGGACACTTTTAAATTAATATTTTCTAATGGCTTTATTTTTTTTAATAAAAATTAATAATTAATAATAGGTATTGTATATTTAATACAATCACATTTTACAATAACAATTTTTATTAACTAATTAAAGAAAAAAAATATTTATATATTACAGTTATTGCAGTATTTTTCTCACATTTTTCATTACTTATTGCATTAAATGGTCCGGACTTTGAATGGGGATAGAAGTAACTTTTTATCTATTTCCTGAAAAAAGTCAATACCATAAATCATTAGACTAAGAAATTAAGTTTAAATGTGATTTTAATCATGTGATGTACAGTTTCCTTTAACTTAATCTAATATCTATTCTTTTCAAAACAGATTTTTTCAACTCTTAAAATCCTACCATAATTTCTATAATTTTTAGTTTTTTTTTAATTTAAACAGTTTTTAATATGAATCAAATGATTTAACTGTATATCTTTAATGTATTATATTGTAAAAGCTCAATAAATTAAGCATAAAGTGACCTACATGTTTTTTTAAAGAATTTTATTTGTTGTTTACGCCTTTATTATTAATATTTAAAATATTTACATATTAATTTATCTATTTGTATGAAAACAGTTAACTGCTATTATCATTGAATATATGTTATATATGTGTATATTTTTTTAGTATGCTTTGCTTAGCTACAGTTAAATGCCACAAGTCATTGTAGTTTAAATTATTTGTTTTATACATAATGTAATTTTAATTATTTATAAATTTCAAAATTATTCAGGGCTTAATTTGAGATTAATAATGTTTTATATTGTGACAAATAGGTTTTTTAGGTTTTTTTTTTATTATAATACTACCTATATCAATGTTATACATTTTAAAAATACAGTTGAAAGGTAGTAATAACCAAAAATATAATAGTTAATTAACAGATAGCACAATAAAATGTATTCAAAATGGGGTTTTAGTGTGATAAAAATAGTTATTCTATGACAGTACATAAAATTTAGAATAAAGTTAATTTTGAATTACATTTTTATAATTGTGGTTAATAAATGCTCACTTGAAATGATTGACGACTTATATCATATTGTTTTACTTTGTTATAAATAACAACCCCAATAATGACTATAATTGTACCTAGTCCACTTAAAACAGTGATAGAATTTCCAAACAATACAACCGACATCCATATGAGAAATGCACGCTTTACAGTATTTGCCACACTAAAATAAAATAAATACATGTTTGAAATGAATAAAAAACAAAATATGATTTATAACAAATGTATTTAAGAAGTAACCAAATGTAGGTTTTAACTTTTAATGACAAAACTTTTTATTTTTCCTAACTAATAAAAAAGTTAAATATTAATTGTTTTTTTGACAAAGGCTTAAAAATTATAAATAAATGTTTATAATTTATATTATTTACCTGTAAGTCACTGGACTTATATAATCCATAAGTACATAAGCTGTAATGCTTTGAAAATGAAAGAACACTCCATTTAATATAAACATAAGTAACAAGTGTAGACTAGTATTTTGAATAGCATATCTAATATCAACTAACATCAATGTTGCAGGAATTTGAATAATGATTGACGCTAAGCTTGTATAATATTGTAGTTCTGCAGGTCTTAATAAATAAACAGAAAATATACATTAATTAGTTATGTACCTAAATAAAAAAACGGCCTAGCTATACTCACGTATATTTAAACTTGTCTCCGCTAATTAACATTTTAGAATAAACATTTTGTAAGCTAAAAAATAATATACTTGTTATTATTCTACAAATACATTGACAATATTCATAAAAATTATAATTATTAGTATTGTCATTATTATTTACCATTCAGTAAAATTAGTAGCTAGAGCAGCAATGAATCCTGGTACATTAAATGAAAGTTCATTGGATGAACACAATGCAAGGCCGACCATTATAGGAACTAAAGATAAACTCACCAGAAAACCTGTTTGTTCACCTAAAAATTCCATTTTCTTTTATTAAAATATAATACTTGTAGTGTTGAAGTTGGGTCCTCAACATTTGATTCAAGTCAAAAGGTCTAATTGGTTGAATCATTTACAAAAATTATATTAAAATTTAAAAATAAATGACAGGAATAATATGGTTTGTTTTAGGTTTCAAAATTTGTATAGGATATTCCTAGTTAGATTTTCTCAATTATTTATAATGTATTTAGTTTTTAGAGAATTTAAAAAAGTAAACCTATATTTGGCCACCTACATCCCCTACGTAATTGAATAAAATCAATATCATACAGTATACCTATTTTAAGGTTATATTGAGTTTAATTTTTCAATAGTATACATTATAATACAACATAAATTAAATAATAAAAATCATGTATTCTTACCTAACAACATTTTAGAAATAAACACAGTGAATATAGGTGCTGAACTCTTTATTGTTTCCGTAAAACTTACTGCTACATAATTTAATGAAATAAGCCCTAATAAAACTGTAATAAACCTGTAAAAGAGAAAAGTGCAAAACATTGTCCAGTACAAATAGTTTGATCATTCAAAACTTACCGCGTACAACCAACCAAACTCATATGAATATAAAAATTTGGAGGTCTTTTTGATCGTTGTATAGGTTGTTTGTACATCCCGCAAGGCAAATATAATTGAATAAAACCACAAATAGTAGTCATAATCATTTGAAAAGCTCCTAAAATATATAATTTTCAGTTTAAAATAAAAAATAAGTTAAAAAATTAACTTTTTAACTGTACCTAATACAGTAGGATCTCCATTTAGATAGGACAGGATGTATTTGTTTAAGAATAATGTACATCCACTAAAAAAGTACCATAAGACCAAGAAAGTAATGGCCCTAAAGGAATGTAAGCCATCTTCCATCGATTTCTCAGTTATAGAAACCAACCCGATCACTTGATTCATAAATTGTTAATTTAAGTCACTACTTTGACGACTATAAAAGTATTATCTTTTTAAACTCATGGTCCTTCATTATGATAAAAACTAATAAATGAAAATAATAAGAGTAAAATATTTAAATTTAAATTTTATACAAGACACGTCACAAAAAAATCCTCTTTCGAAAATGGTTATAATTTGTATGATATCTTTATCACTTATATTATGATGATAATATTATGTGTATAATATTGTGCATGCATATGCAATATAAATAAATACATACATATGATATATTTATTTGTTAACGCTTTATGATCGGTCCTAAGCAAACTAACATTAGAGTAGGCTGTAGAAGTTATATTCTGGATACGAAATATCATAACCGGTAGTTATGAAGTTAGATACGGCTAACAACATATAAATGTATGGCGAGCCATTGGCGGCTAGGACAATAGTCAATAGATAATAAAATTATTTTACGAATCGTATAATTTGTTATACTATTCGTTAACACATTATTTTTGTACTCGTGATACTTGGTACATTATCATAAGTGATCTTCGGTGACTGGTGTTTCCTGATCCAATTTCAAAAAAAAGATGTGTTATTATGTTATCTTCTTCGGGGGGACTACGCAGCACGGGCCCATTTTTAGGTTTAGTTTTTAAAATTATATTATAAGCTCACAAATTTTAATAGGAAATAAAAATCAGCCTATTAGTTCCCATAGAAAAAGTAGTAAGCTTTCTATAATAAAAGAAAATAATGAATCCGTCCGATAGACACATCAGGAAGTTGTTGAACGAGTTTCATAGAACTCATTTTTTAACGAACATAACTTACATTTTTTTATTACCTATAAATTGGAAACTATATTTAAAATGAAAATCGGTTATTTACATCAAATATTGTCTATTTTTTGCTCCATAGTTAATAGACCTTCTCCGCCCTTATATCACAAACTTTATAAACTATTGACAAACTTCAGTCTTCACAAACCATAGACCTATTTAAGAATATATTTCTCTATGGGACATGGGTAACAGACAACAGTCGACTTTGGCCACAGATATATTTTATAAACTAGATAAAATAGATTACTAAATAGTGATAAGAATGGAAGTCAGCGTCCACCTTTTTGTGGGATTTATGTGTGAGTATAAAAATATAATATAATATATTATTTACTTATATTATATTTCTATGATTCTGTGTTATCTACTATATTTATAATTGTTACAAACATATTTTCATGTGATAAGATTCTAATTCCCATTTCCCACAATAATTGCGAAAATAGTATCTTCAATTATCTCTATTGGCGCTATGTACACGTCTTAGCAATCTATAGTTCATTATATATATCTGTAACATCATAGACCTATAAAGAAATGAGTAACATTGGCATAGAAAAGGTAAATGGACACATGTAAGTACTGCGGTATAGTGATTGATATTTAATTTTAAGTTATTCAAACTATCTGATAAATTTCATCATTACAATATAATTAATGGTTCAGTGAATTCTCAATTATAGTCACGGCCTTAAAGATAACTCATAAGTGATAAGATCGGTTAATTCCTCCCCATTACCATGTTGACGTTTCCGCTTAATGGTACATACGGAATTCACCACTTCAGCGTTCAGCGCTACCCGTCTATAACCATGAGCGCTACTATTGTTAAAAGTTTTTGTAGGTTGGGAATTTAATTAATTCATATAAAAACTACCAATTCTTACTTCTAATGAGAAAAAAAATATTATGCAAATTTAATAATTAATACTAATCATGCCGTACTAAAAAATTGTATTTTTATATGAATACATCTTTAATTAATGATATGATGCGGAAAACTTAATTAACGTTTCCAATATTAACTAACCCACTGATAACGGTAGAGTTGGCCGCCCTTATGTCCTTATCTTTTAGGCCATAATCTTGGTTCAAAAAAAAATAATTTAGAATTATTGTAGGTTATGGTAATCAACGTTAAATTATGGTAAATAAGAGAATTGACCAATTATACATGCCTGTTGACTTGAGCGCGTAATTTTTTGTTGAAAATCATAAAATTGTCATTGTAATTTTTATTGAGTTAACGATAATTGAAGTCACTATTATTATTAAGCGTAAGTAGTTTTCCACGTTATTAAAAATATTGAATTGCGATAAAATAGTCGATTCAGTTTAAAGTAATAATTCAAATCTATGCAACTGTTATGGCTAAGCATGGTTAACGTGTTGATTTTAATCGTACAAAATTATAACACTAATATTCTATAAGAATTGGTTAAACATATTTTACGAGATACTTTTTTACGTATTCCTCGTAGAAATAGCCAAGCTCTCTTTTTTTTAATTTAGGGTTCAACTATGGTCTGGTATACTACGATAAATATACATATATTTACATATGCATTTTTTTTATATATTTAAATATAAATGTTTTTTATTTTTATTTTTACAATTATAGTTTTTAAAAATGTGTTCCAAATAATATATTGGATATTGTGTGCCAGTATTAATTATTAAAAAAGTATTATATTTTAAATTGAGTGTTTTTACATTAAAAAAATAATGTGTTCCTTACATTTCATGTTTTGTATATAACTGCTGTTATTCAATTGTAGAAGTTAATAAATTATTTTGTGACAAATTTAAATTTTTGTACACAGGAATAGTTGGGAATATTATAAATTACAAAAATGGCAGTCCGAGCACAGTTTGAAAACAACAACGAAATTGGTGTATTCAGTAAACTAACTAATTCATACTGCTTAGTTGGAATTGGCGCCTCTGAAACATTCTACAGTGTGTTTGAATCTGAATTATCTGATATTATACCTGTTATTCATGCATCTGTGGCTGGCTGTCGTATTGTGGGCAGAATGACTGTTGGCAATAAAAATGGTTTACTATTGCCTAACTCTACAACAGATACTGAATTACAACATATACGTAACTCTCTTCCTGATAGTGTCAAAGTGCAGCGTGTTGAAGAACGTCTATCAGCTCTTGGTAACGTAATGGTGTGTAATGATTATGTGGCATTAGTTCATCCAGATTTAGACAAGGACACGGAGGAGATACTATCAGACACTTTGGATGTTGAAGTATATAGACAAACGGTCGCATCTAATTGTCTTGTAGGATCATATTGTGCTATATCCAATCTTGGTGGTATGGTTCATCCAAAAACCACTATAGAAGATTTAGAAGAATTGTCTGGTCTAATTCAGGTTCCTTTGGTAGCCGGTACAGTAAACCGTGGTTCAGATGTTATTGGTGCTGGAATGGTAGTGAACGACTGGTGTGCTGTTTGTGGTACTGATACGACGTCTACAGAAATATCCGTAATTGATAGTATATTCAAATTGGATCCAGATGGTGTGCATAAAATGAAAAAGCTTAAGGGTCCACTTATTGATAGTATAAAAGCTGCATAAACAATATTATTAAGTTCCAATTGTAAAACAATTATTTTTACTATATACATTTTTTTACTTTTAATTTAGACGTAACAAAATGATACATTGGTTTAGTACTTGTCAACTAAGTAATAATTTTAACATATTGAGATATGTAATCATTGTTTTTCTTTTTGTTTATTTTATGTGCTATTAAAGAAAAACATTTGATTATTCATGACTTTTTTTTTTCTCCTGATAAATAAGCCGGTTAAATATTTAAATTTGTTTTATTATCATTATTATTATTGGACGTTATATATTTTGTGTAGTGAAAGATAAAAATGTTTTTATTTTAGAATTATTATGGAGGTGGACATTCTTGACTTGATTGAAGAAGATTACGACGGTACTCAAGAAGAATTGACTGCGCAAAAAGTACTACAGACTGTTGAACAGGCATGGTTAAACGAAAAATTTAGTCCTGAAATACTACCACATATATCTGATCATGTTGACTGCCTATTGGAGCAAATCAAAGAAATGGAAGGAAATTTGGCAAAATTGCCAAAATCTGATCCAAAAGTTGACTTGCACAAACTCGAGTTGGAACGTATACGTTTCGTAATAACTAGTTATTTGCGTACTAGGTTAAAGAAAATTGAATGTTTTTGTATTAGCATTTTGGAAGAAGAGGAAAATCGTAATTCAGAGAGTGCTTATTTATCACCAGAAGAATTAAAGTTTGCCCAAGAGTTTGCACAGAATGCTGATAACCATTTTGACACTGTTCTTCGTCACATGCCTCAACTGTACAACAAATTAGATAGAAATACAAAAGTTATTGAACCCAACATCAATAGTTTTGTGTTTCTGAAGTGCAATACGCACATTGACAGTGTTGTCATTAAAAACACTTTGGAGAGTCGGGAGGAAGAAATTGTGTTAGAAAATGGGTCACAGCACTTGATGCCATACAGTTCAGTATCGGAATTTGTAAAAAAAGGTTCTGTACAACTAATATAAAAAAAGAATTTACTCATATTTTTATTATTTACCATAATTTTTTTCTGTTCATCTATTAGTATAGAGATAATACAATATAATGATGGTTATTATTATTTTTTTTTTTTACTGAATGGTTTTTTATTAAATTGCTATCCAAATAATTGAAAGATTTTTTAAATAAATTAGAAAGTGCAACAATGAGAGATTCCGAGGTTAGTTGCCAATAATATTTTGTATGTGTAAATATATATATCTACATATATAAATTCAGTGTGAGTAGATAAGTTATTTAAGCGGATCCTACACTATTTACTTGAAGTATGTCAACTCTTACTAAAGTGACAATGTTTAGAAAAGATTGGCGGCAATGTTATAGCTATCATTAAATTATTTACTATATAATAATGTCTGTAATTCGTAATGATATAATAAATTTAATGAAAAAAATGTCATAGATTATAAAAAATTGTTTCAACTATCAATATGCGTTAACAATAAACAAAACGTGTGATATTTCGTTTACTCAATATAAAAGAAATCACTAAATTTTATAGTAATTTTTTTTCAAAATCTCACAATTTATAAATAACAACAAACCTGGCTGGGCATTTTATTTAAGTAATAAGTAATTGTTTGAAATTAATTTTTAACACATCAAATTATTTTATTAATGAAACTACTTTTTTATTATTATTTTAATTAATCTGTTATCTTAAATAACATTTTTTTATTACTTGAAACTTATACATTTGGTCAAATAAAAATAAATTATGTTTATTGATTGAGCTTAAATTTAAACAAATTTTTTTTTTAATACATAGTTAAATAATGCCCAAGTTGCTAGTATCCAACAAATTATACTTTCGAGATACATAATACATTTTATTTAGTTTAATAATTATTTATTGTTCTTACATTTAAAATCAATTAAATAGTTTATTATTTAAGACTAATACCTATTCATATGTAGTTGTTTTTCCTTAGTCACATTGAAAGGTTTAAAAAAAAAAGAATTTATTTAAAATTAGTGAAATTTGCCGTGTACCATAGGACAGTGTTAAAACATTATTTTTACTTATTTATTATTAGAAAAAAGTAACCAATTATACTACAGCTGTAATAATACAAACATATGTTAAAAGTGTCTTATTGTGTTTTATTATAATAATGTGACCAACATTTTATAAAATGCTCTAGTCTACATATAAAACGAACTGTAAACGAAGTATTCAATTTTTAAAATATAAATTCCAACCAAACTTTTTTTTATTAATATTTGCTGTATTACAATTATTATAAGTTTTTATCAATTAACTGGTAAAATAAAAAAATTGAAACAATTATTTGTTCATTATTATTGAATACATGCAACTAACACAAAATACTTGTGTATGGAGTTTTAAAAACTTAATAAAAAATATGCGGAAGTATAATTATATTAAAATGATAATACTCTTGTTACATTAAAATAAGAGGAAAATATAATACACCTAAATAATAAAATGTTAAAAAATTAAAAAAAAAACTTATTTTTTCTTCTTTTTTTGTACTGGTGATTTAGGATCCGTCTGTGCTGCTTCAGATTTTTCAACCTTATCAGTTTTTTTTTTTACAGGTGCTGGAGATTGTGCTGGTTTTAAATTTTTTTTAAGAAGTTTTTTCTGTTCTCTTTCTTTTTCTTCGAGTTCTTGGTTTTCTCTTTCAATCAATGTAATCAAGGTATTGCATCGCCTTTGTAGTTCACTGGCTGTTCGGCTTTTAATAAACCAATCAAATCTGAATTGTGGTGCACATCTAATTGAAAATATTTAGTTAAATAATTTTTTCCTAACCTAGGCATAATAATATTTATTTGCATTACCTTATAGCAGCTCTCAATTCTTCATATACATTTTCTTTATCAAAACCAAGTTTATGAAGCATGCAAACTAAAAATCTATCTTCGTCTTCGGTGTAGTTTTTTCCTTTGTTTGCCCCGTATGATACTCTTAATTGATGGAATGGTGCTCTATACCGTGTCATCTGTTATACGAAAAATAAATTACTTTAGTAAATAACCAATACACAATTTATAAGCTATATTTACCTTTGCATCCAAGGCTCTTTTAATGCTTGCCCGACGTTGTATTTTTGACTCTCCTCTTTCAATTTGACCCATAATTCTATCAATATCTTGAAATTCATGACACCTTTCCCAAAACACTGCACTATATTCTCTAACTTCTTCAGCAGTTTTGCCTATATTAATATAAAACCAAAAAGACATCAAAATATATCAAGCATTTTATATGTCATACCCTCAACTTCTTTTGATATATTATCAATATCGTCTCTTCCATATTTTTCATTAGCTTTGATAAACTGATTAAAATCACGTTTACTCCAATTTGTAAAACCCTAAAAACGTACATATTATAAAATTAAACATAATAATGTGCGACTTAAGAATTAAATTCTTTATATACTATAAGATGTTATTGATACAAAATTTTTGGAAAATTGAGCTACATATTGAATACACACTTAAGAAATAAACTGATAGTGTACCAATATTGGAAATTAATGAGACTTAATTTTTTATTAATTAGTAATAATGTTTTCAGTGAAAATGATACCAATAGAGCTCGTCCTGTATTGGCGACTAGAACTAAAATTTTTCTCAGTGAGCAATCTATAGTAATTTATAATCAACGCTAACATTCATTAAAATAATCAAATTTGTCAAAATTAGCTAGTGTTAGACAAATTTAATTTAAACAATAAATAATAACTAAACTTCTGATTTAAATTTTTTTTTACTATAGTTACTTTGAAATTGATTGCAAATAAATTTTCTTAAATAATAAATCATTTACTTTTTCACAACCACACCCTCATATATGCCAGGAACTAAATATAATTAATTGTCAAATTGTTGCCACTTTTTTGCTTAAATTATTTTTTGATTTGATTACCAGAAGGTTAATTTGTATGTAAATGTGATTTGGAACCAAACATGCACAAATAAGCACTCAAGCAAATTACACTGGAAGAAGAATGCACTGCGCTGGCACATACAAATGATTGCCAGAGCAACGTCAGAAGCTTCTGGCAGTTGTGTGAGTGTCCCGACAAGGGCCTTGCCTCAAGACGTTCCCTAGTGCGTTCTTATTCTATAAAGAGTGTAATAGTTGCCTAAAATTAAACTAATAGAACTCTTTACTTTGGTTAATAAAACTTCTTTTTCAGCTTGTTCTTCTTCAGTAAGTGGTTGTGCTTCATCAATTTTTTTCTGTTCTTCTTTTTGAATTTTGACTGCATCTGGTCCTAATTCAGGGTTCTTTGGTACCTATGTAAGTATTCAAAATAAATTATCGTCTAAGCTATTAACAATCACAATAAAATGAATTAATGGAAAATAAAAACTAACTTTATAACCAACGGTTTGGCGATAATAATAAATTTCTTGATCTAGCAGATCAAATAATCTAGTTGGGAAAAATTGGAAATCTTGTACCAACGGTTGCTTTGGAGGACGAGGTGCCTATAAAATAATAATATATTATTATATCTTTTAAATTCATAAAAATAAATTGATTAATCCACTTTGATAGATTTCAATACTTATTTGTTTTGAATAAATTAAAAATAATAATTTCTTTTTTAAATCCGGTACAATTATTGTATTGAAATCCATTAATAGTTTAAATTAAACCGTTATCAATGGTGGAAAATATACATGTTTATAGACCACATCAAATTTTAATAAGTGACAAAGTTAAAATACTTTAAACAATTAACATTTATTAATTATAACTATGTTAGATCATTATAACACTAACCTTGGGTTGCTTTGGTTCAGAGGTTCTTAGTGCTTCCCGGAAGTAAGCATCTACTGCATAATTTGCTTTACGCTCCCGTTTTGGAGGTTCTATCCAACTTCCAATACCAATTAATTTTTGTTTTTCTCTAAAAATGTATAATACATTATTTTCAAATATATAAAAATGTAAATTTAAAAAATCTCAATTAATAGCATTTAATGCAATTCCCAAAATAAAATACCATAATGCGTAAACGGTATATTAGGGATGTAACTTTCCACAAAATGTATGATTTCTCAAGAGCAGTGCTGTGCTTGCTATAATTAACCAACCGCGAATGTTTAACTTAAGTATTCTTTAAGTATAATTATTAGTATCAAGCTCATCAATAATGATATATTATATACATTAAAAATGATAAAATTTGATTCATAAAAGTGTACCTATAGTCTTCACCCTCAAATGTGTATAGAGATTCTGTTGGAGCATCTAATGTAAAATTTCTTAAAGAAGATTCTCCTAAAGACTCTAGTTTTTGTTTCATCTCTTCGGTCTTTAAACATATAAAAATAACATTAAAAATTTTTTTTAAAAATAATAAATAATAATTGTACCTTTTCTTCTCCTTTACGTAAAATAGTATCAATATCTTCATCAGTAATTTCAGAGTCCTTAGATTGAAAAACATGATTTGCACCATGTCGAATCATATTAAGCATTTCATCTTTATTCAAGGCATTTTTCTGATTATCAACTAATCGGCCTTGCTGAATGACCAACTTGTCTAATCTAAGTTTTACTTCAGCCCTTTCAACTATTTTTTCTTCAACAGTATTTTCAGTTATTAGTCGGAAAACTCTAACTTGCTTTTTTTGTCCAATTCGATGAGCTCGATCCTTTAACACACATAGGAAAAAATACCTATCAATTGTATACTTTTTTAATAAATAATGATGCTTACCATGGCTTGCAAGTCCATTTGTGGATTCCAATCAGAATCATACAAAATAACTACATCTGCAGTAGCCAAGTTAATACCAAGACCACCAGCACGTGTTGAAAGTATAAAAACAAATTTCTTGCTATTAGGTTCATTGTATTCATTAATCTGGCGTTGACGATCTTCATGAGGAGTTTGTCCATCCAAACGACAGTACTAAATTTAATAAATTGCAAATTAATAATCCTGAAAAATGTTGACCAGTTGAAACAAAAGAAAACAGTTACCAACATTGTATGCTTTCCAATGCATATAGTCTTCTAATATGTCCATCATACGTGTCATTTGACTAAAAACTAAAACTCGAGACCCTTGTTCTTTTAAAGCTTTCAATAGTTTATCGAACACAACCATTTTTCCACAATTGTAAACCTGAATAAAAGTGGGTAACATAAGATTTGTTATTATTTAAGGGTTCTTAGTGAGTACACTAAATGTTTCTTTAAAAAAAATTGTAAAATAAAAGTTAAAGCATTTTTTTTTTTTTTTTTCTAAATTAATTAATTTATATAATAAATAATTGTGTTGTGATACACACACAATAAAATATAATACTTTAATTCATAGTAATAGAGTATTCTCAGATCAGTTGATGAATTATTAACAAAGTTTTTATATAAGACTTTTTATCATTATGAGTTATACATATTTTTAGTTGATTAAAAAGTGTATTCTCGGAATAAAACAGGCAGTTAATAAAAATTCTAACAGACATTTTTTTGAACTTATTTTATAATGTCAAATAAATAGGTTTCACAATTAAAATATACATAATCTGATACTTACAATATGTTCGTCTGTAGTATAAGGGGGACCAGGTTCTGCACCATCAAATAAATAGGGATGATTACTACATTTTCTAAGCTGCATAAGAATATTTTGTAATCGCATCTTTTCAACTTTCCCAGCTCCATTGACTACATCTATGTCTTTCATTAAAACTTTAGTATACCTGGTTATAGAGTGAAGTTATTTTTATTTAATATTTTTCTATATTTGTTGACTAAATAAATTCTACTCATTATTTACATACCACTCTCGTTGCAGTTTACTGAGACCAACATAAACTTTAACTTCTTTTTTAGGTTTTAAACGTTTTTCTACTTCAGCTTTCAATCTTCTTAAGAGGAATGGTCGTAAAACCTTAAATTATTCAATTACAAATCAATAGAAACATACTTATTGCAAACATTATTCAATAACTTACAGCATGAAGTCGTTCGATCAATGTATTATCCCCAAGGCAATTATTCGTGTTGAACCAAGAATCAAAATCCTTTAAAATTAATTACATTTTTTAAATAGTTAAAACAAAAAAATTTAAAAATTAATTAAATGAAATACACCATACATCTGATGAGTTGAATACATCGGGCAGCAAAAAGTTTAATAGGGCCCAGAGTTCATGCAAATTATTTTGCAACGGTGTACCCGTTAATAGTAATCGATTAGTAGTTGCAAACTCTCTAATAATCTCCGAAAGTTTGCTTTTTTCGTTTTTGATCCTATGGGCTTCATCAATAACCAAATAACGCCATTGAATCTTCCGTAATACTCCTCTTTCACGAATTATCATTTCATATGAAGTAATACATACATCCCAATCACCAGGTATCAAGACATCACGTACAAATGTGTTCTAAAAAAGACAATTATCATTGTGGTATATACTTGTATTGTAGAGTAAATATGTACGATTCATTACACTAATATATGTTTAAGCGTTTATTTTTACAATAAAATCCAAATTCGTATTAACCTCCTCATATATAAAACTAGACTTGTAAGTTAAGGCAGCCGAACCGTTAAGCCATCCATTGATGGTTCAGTTTGTCTGCCATTTTCTCTGGGCACGTACGTAACTGTCTGGAGAAAAAGACTTACATCCTCACCTCAGTCATATCAGAAACCAATTTTCGCCAAATAGGCGATTAAACTAGACTAACTAACTTACTCCCATCAACAATTTTACATGATGTCCTACAAGACTTAGTGACAATTGGGTAGAAGTGAAGTGTCACCTACCTTATTATGTAAGGAAACTTTGCAAAAATTCCATACTAAGTGGTTATTTTTGGTAATTATAAAATTAACAGTAATAAAAACCTAAAACTTTGGAGGAAAAATCCCTTTTTTAATTTTGTACATCTTTTTTTAAAGTTGAAGAGGAGGAGTAGCCGAGTGGATAAGGCGGCAGTGTGTTAGCACTCACTGTCGCCGGTTCGACACTCAGTCACAAGCACTCCGTTTGCCGAGCGAGGTAGCACCCGGTGAAAAGAAACTGACACCCCCCTCTCTGGTAACAGACTGACGACCCGTCCCAGACAGCAAATCCGTCTAGAAACCATCACCTCATGATGGCGATTATCTTAATTATTTAAGTTGTAAATAACCCTGTCATGACATTGATTTAAGTTACATCCCATATCAACGTGTCCAACAAAGAAGGAAGTAACTTGATTTTTACAACTTTTGAGTACAGCCGCTCAAATTTTTCAGTTCAAAGGTAAGTTCTTTACATTGCATTTCAATTTTTTACAACCTTTTCGAAAGACAGGAGTTACAAATCGTCTCTATGGGAGATTAATAAAATGAAATGCTATCTTAATATTTAATAAACCAAAAAATGATAAAAATAGTGTTACGTCTTTCTTTGTTGGACACGTCGATATATCAAAATTAATTTTAACACTACTTACCCTAGCCTCACGATCTCCGATTAAACAAACTGTACGTATTGACGGACACCATTTTTTAAATTCATTTACCCAATTGGCCAATGTTGATTTAGGTACAATCACCATATGAGGTCCTGGTATACTTCTATAATGCTTCATATAGCTAGTAACAAATTAAGAGTAAAAAAAAAAAAACTAATAAAATGTATAGTATATAAGTAATTATAAAAGGTCTTACCCTAAAAGTGATATTGTTTGCAAGGTTTTACCAAGACCCATTTCATCAGCTAGAATACCATTAATGCCATTTTCATATAAAGATATCATCCAATTCAAACCGCGTACTTGATAATCTCTAAGTTCTCCATTTTTTATATAGTAAGGAGATTCTTCAAATTGAGTTATATATTTATCGGCAGCAAGTGATTCTTTTAATAATTCTTCATCTTCTTCTTGTTCTGTTTGTCGATGTCGATGACTATAGTTAAAACATGAATAGAATAAATTATTTTACTTAATACAAATGAAAATAAAAGTTTTGAAACATATCAAATAGATCAATGTAATTTTTCCCACTCTAACAAGAAATGAACTAAATTTTAACACTATACTTATAATAAAAAACCATACAAATGAAAATATTTAATTACTCTGTAACATCCGTTTCAGCTTTGGGTTTTTTTGGCCGACCTTTTGCTTTTTTTGGTGTACCACCAGGTCCACTAGCATTACTTTCTTTCTTTTGATTAGCAGTCATGAAATGGGCAAATATTTCAGTTTGTTTAAGAAGATAGTCAAATCTTTTACCTCGGTCAGTTTCCTAGAAATTAAATAAATAAACATTACAACTAATAATTTTATTAACTAATGACAATCTATGTCTATGACTATCTATGCAAGTTTATACGAAACTGATAGTTTTAATCCCATGAGTACAATGTACTTTTTTTATTTATGAAAAATAATGTTTTCTTTTCCATAATTATAAGGGATCTATTAGGAACCTTCTAAATTAATTTTTAACTAATTAATTATTGATTATTTTTAAAAACAATTTGTTTAGCTTTGAAGTAGAGCCGAGAAGGTTTATTTAATATTTACATTACTAAATTTACTTTAAAATAATAATGTCTCTTTCTATATCATCAAATCATTTCATTAGGAATTTATTATTGGAATTTGCACTGCTGAATTTAGACTATTTTTATATTTATATAAAAAATAAAACAAAAATGTTAGTAAGATTTTGCAGTATTATCTGAAATAATATTTATAGTAATAACCTTTATTACCTGTAATTTGTTTCAGCAAATATGTTGTCTGTTTAAAATTAAAATTATAATTTAGCAATATAAATTCTAATTTTGATTTGAAATTAACGAAATATACCTCAGATAATACAAATAATATAGTAGTTATAAAGTAATGTTATTATTTTAAATGATCCTCTATTTAATCCTACAATTTTAACGTTAATAATATCTTACAACTTTAGCACCAAATTCCTCGTTTTTAACTGGTGACGTTTCTGCTGTTGCCTCTGATTCCGAGTCATTCTATAAATATATATTTAAGAAATTAACAAAGTTAATTTAGTCCAAAATTTTTAGTTTGCTTACATAGTTTATTTTAATTGTTGTAAATATGCATTGTGAAAAATCTATTGTTACTTATTACATTAAAAAAAAAAAATCTTTCATTATATAGTAAAATGTCCAATAGGTACTCTATTCAACAAGAGAGGCCATCCTATCTGATTATGTGTAAATTACTACTGTATCACCCATCAAATCAAGAGAAAACAATAGAAAATGGATCTGCCAAAGATGGATTTTAATCCTTGTTAAGATGACTTCTCTTGTCAAACGGTAAATAAATTTAATAAGCAAAGAAATAGCTAGGAGTACAAACAAAAATCAACATTTTTAAAACAAATCTGAGAATTTACCGTACCATAACAATAGTTAAATACATTAAATGTACAAATACAAATACCCAAAGCAGTCAAATATCAATAACTATAATATTAAACTAACCGAATTGTCTTCTTTTGAATTATTCAAACTACCAGTAGTTTTTTTTGTCGGGCTTTTGGAAGACTTGACATCTTCGAAGTTTTCTTCTTCCGTTTCCATGTCCATACTGCTGTTCATTGGATACACCGAACTACAGTAATAGCAAATAATATTTGATTTTTATTCAAAATACAATTTTGGATAATTCTAGGTTATTATAAATTAGAACGAACAATTTGACAAACAAATTACCTTTTAGCATATATTGACAAGTTTTTTGATACTTGTTTTACACCTTGCAATAACAAACTTCTATATAAAAAGATAAAAATGTGAAGGTAATCAAATATGTTGATGAGACTGAAAAACAAACGGACAAAAGGTAGGCATCGAGTAGCCGGTGGCGGGTACACAAACACTGTGGTCTTTACAGCCCGAAAGCCCTGTATAGTGTATACAATGAACGCTAACGGCAAACCGCGCAATATACTACAGTAATCAGTATACACTAAGGAGTGAGGGCTAGGGAGCCAACGCAAAGTCGATCGGCGTTCGCTAACCGCGTTTTTGTCGGGCGGCTGCGGACATCTCACATCGATAACAGTTCCGCTTAACAGTGTTGTCAACGTGATTTTATTACCCGTCTTTTGAGCTGTAAGACAACGTACAGCCGCCGGAAAACAGTGCGCTCTGGCTGTGATACACGGTACTATTGTTATGACAGTTACGACGTATCGTAGGAATTTTTCTAAAACTACGATAGTTTTAAAACAAATGGTTTTATCCGTTTTTTGTACATGAAACGTCTTGATTAGAATTAAAAAGTATAATATAATATATTTTAAAATTACAACTGTACATTTTACATTTTTTCTTATGGTAAAAAAGCTTGCGCTGTTGTCAACTGCAGCGCTGAGTGTCCGGATGGATGGTGTTTTACGTGATTTTAGCTGTATTAGGCCATAGCTATAGCCGGGACCATAGACCAGGGGGTAAAACATTTAAATTGTTTTATCTTCTCCCTACTTAGGGGGTAGAGTGAATTTTTTTTAAAATTTAAAAAATATGTCAAGTTGCATATCAAATTATATGTTTTTAAAGTCACCGAATTCAAATTTAAAATACGATTTTAAATAAATACCGTATTTTAGAAGTTAAAGTGACTTAGGTGAGTGAATTTTATGTTTTAAAATAACTTCATGTTGCATTTATATTCATATATTTTTTTGGCTTCACTGAAATCAGTTATTGTATTTGTTTTATTATCAATTATTTAGGTAACAAAAATATTTGTAATTATCAACTTTAAATTCATATTTTAATTTGTTAGTTTTTAAATATTTTTTTACCAGAAAAAAGGGAGTAAGGGGGGTAACAAAATATTATAATTAAACATTGGATAATATGCTATAATGGAACGTACATACATTTTTTTAAATATTTTGTTTTATACCTTACAAATTTGATTGAATATAGATTATTTTTAAAGGTAAAAATAACAGTAGGTGACCTCTCAACTTTAACCCAGCAGTTAGAGTAGCAAAAAAAATGTTAAAAATTAAAACTGGGTATTTTAATATACTACAGTACTTAATTAACAACTACTTAAAAAAATTAGGTCTCTACGACCATTTTGAAAAATTCAGTTTCGATCGTCTTTTTCGGATTCTAGAGTACTGTGCGCCCTAAACATCCTAGGTTTTCAGGCTATGAACTAGAGGGAGGTTGCACGCATAGACCTATAAAGATATATCGGTAATAAATACTTAAAAAACATTACAATTTCATTCAGATTTTATCAATGAACATTCTGTTTTACTTTTTATAAAACGTGCAAGTATGTTTTGAAAAACTTGTTTTCTTTAAAAAAACTGTACAGACAATTTATTGTTGGTAAATTATTATTATACTAAAATATTGTTAATATTGTTTTACATACTATTAGTACATTAATAATATTACTATTAGTATTAGGGGTACCAATGCGAATTTCAAAAAAGGAAATTGACAATAGATCAGCTGTCGGTGGTTGGGCAGATTATAGAAAAAAAGTTTGAATACAAACAAAATGTGTGGCAGGTATTTGTCGACTTCAAAAAAGAATCAAATAATTTGGGCACGTAATGAGAACTGAGAAGGTCAAACTCAAGAGTACCTAAAAGCGGCCGTCGAGTTCCAATTATACATTGAATGGAAAACCATTATTAGAAATTGAACTGATGACAATTCAAATTCAATATTTTAATAAGAATCATTAAAAATGTTTAATATTAAAATTTCATTATCGGGTATTATCATATTACTATTTCTCCACAGAGAGAGAAGCAACTTTATTTAAAAAAATCAAGCGGGCTGCCTAAAACATAGGTTGCCATATAAGACACAGCATACTAAATCAATACAATAGTACATAACACAATTTTTCTTTAAACATTGATGGTAATAATAGTAACACAGGTAAACATAGATTCTTTAAGACAAAAATTAATAAATGAATAATAAGACTAATAATCCAATAAGTGGACGATTGAATAAAAATTAAAAATTAAAACATTTACGTAGAATATAGGTGGAAATTGATAATATACAATGTGTCCTTCAGGATTAAAAGACACATCTTACGCAGTTCGTCGACTGCTAGATCATTCGCTTTGAAGAATGCTTTGAATTGTACATTTAATCAATGATTCTATGGTTAAAAGTTAATTTTAAAGATATGATAAGAAATTTGAAAAAAGTGTACAATGGAAAAAATTGTCTTTGATAACGCATGCAATTTGGGAAAAGTGGTGCTGTCCCGTTTTATACATGTGGTTTTTATCAATATTATAACCGCTGATAACAATAAATAACAATAACATTCAGACAAACGAATACGGAATAAGTCTCAATTCAGAAGTCAGAACACGTGTACACCGTTTGCCGCTCGGTGCAATTATCTGTATACGGCACTTGCGATTTTAAATATGGCACCTAAAGTTAAAACCGCCGCAAAGAAGAATACTTCTTTCAATAAGAAAAAAATCTCGTTAAAAAAACCTGTTGCAAAACAACTTCCAAAGAAACATCACGTGGACGATTCTGACGATTCATTAGATTGTATTAAATTCAATAGTAAGTTATAAAATATTCAATCGATTATCAACTTGAAAGTGTGTAACCACAAGGTTTTTAATTCTAGGCGATTCTGATCACGATGCGAGCAGTTTGAGTGAAGATGAAGGTGGACAAGTATACGACAGTGATGATTTGGAGGACGAAGTTGAAAAGTTAAAGACATCTGATCCTGAGTTTTACAAATATATTAAAGAATGTGACAAAAACTTGTCAAAAATATCCGAGTCAAATGATCTAAGCAACGATGATGATGATGATGAGGATTATGAAGATGAAGAGGAAGGTATTAAATCTGAAAAACTGCATAAACCTCCTGATCATTTAGAGGTTTGTATAACAAAATGTTAAACAAATGAATTTTGCTTATTGTTAATTAAATGTATATTTTATAATATATAAAAATATTATTAAATGTATAAAGAACTCCAATCGTATAAAAACAAATTTGTTAAGTGTTGAATTTGTGGGATTCCCTAAACAAAGTTTACCTTATTAATAATTATTAATACAATTAATAAATATCAGAATGCATAAAATAGTTTTAAACTAAACTAACAAATTTAAATATAAATAGATGATAATAAATAATGAATGTAATTTTATTTGCTTCATTTAATCAATGTATATGATATTTTAAGATTGGTAGTGATGAAAGTGAATTTGAAGAAGAGTTTTGTAAAGAAGGAGATGAATCTGTTATTACATTATCTATGATACAGTCGTGGAGAGAAAAACTTCAAAATTCGTAAGATCTTAAACCTTATATTTGAAAAAAATGTATTATAAAATAATATATTTTTAGTAAACAGAAACTTAAATTCATTACTACTGCAACTAAAGCAATGACAGCAGCTCTTCAGAGAGTGACTGTAGATGAAATCAATAAACCTACTCCATATAAAGTTGAAGGAAGTTCAGGTAATAACTATTTTATTTTATATATTTTTTGTCCTAATATTATATTATACATTTTAGTGTTCAATGGAGTTCTTCAAATGTGTTTGTTTGACTTACATCCAGCTTTATTGAAGTTTTTAAAACTTCCCCCAGGCTGTACTTCTAAAAATATGATATTAAAATCAAAATACTGGAACAAAGTGAAAATGACTCTTAGATCATACTTGACTGATATATCCAAAGTAATATACTTCACATTTTTTTAAGTTTGTACTGCAATTAGGTATATATTACGGTTTTGATGTATAGCTGTTGAACAATGTATCTAGTGAAGATATCACATGTGTACTTCTGAAACATTTACATCAGATGATTGGATTTCTCTCATGTCTTCCAACTATTGTGAAACCTGTATTAAAAAGGCTTGTAGCATTATGGAGTGCCAATGATAGTGAAACTGTAAAAGTTGTTGCTTTCCTATGTATATTAAAGTTGGCCAATAGCGATCCATCAGCATATCTCGAATTGGTTCTTAAGGTAAATATATTTTGTTGCTCTCTTGTAAAAAAAATTACTATGTGAAGAAATAACCCAATTCAAAAATCACTTACATGCAGTTGTTAATTTGCATTAACTTAATGTGCATTAGCATTTTAATCTATATGTAGTTATAATTTCCAGAGTGTTATTTTATTTAATCAAAGAATCAAATTAAATAATATATTTTGTAGTTATAATTCTTTTGAATATAATATATATGCATTGTCTTTAAATTTATTTAAGAAAATAATATAAGTATTTGGCCATATTTTACACAAGGACAAGTCTTATGATTAAATACATATTCTTATAACACTATTTTCACATGTAATATTTTGAATTAACCTTTATTGTAGTTGGTATTATTTATTGTTAATTAAATTGAATATATTTTTTTAGGCTATGTATGTTGGATACATTGCTAACAGCAAATTTATCACTCCTAAATCATTGCCTGGTATCAATTTTATGAGACAATCGTTGACAGAAATGTTTTCTATCAATGAAGCAGTTTCATACAATCATGCATTTTTATACATAAGACAGTTGGCCATACATCTAAGAAACGCTGTAACATTAAAGAAAAAAGTATAAAAGTTTACTATAAAAATGAATGATTATCTAAATTTAAAGTATAATAAATCATATTGTTACAGGAAAATATTCAATCTGTTTACAACTGGCAATATATCTCATCATTGAAACTATGGTCAGACATTTTGTGTGTCACATTAAATAAAAAACAGTTGCAAACCTTAGTTTATCCACTTATACAGGTAAACTGAAGCGTACAAATATAAAAAAAAATATTTTTTAAAAATGTCATTTTAAGTTTCATCTTGTTCTAAAAAAAACTGTTAAGCAAACTTATGGTTAAATATATAGTAAAGATATAAAATCTACTTGAACCCTAAACCATAAAAATTGTGCACTTCTTGCGTACACGTGTCACGTGACTCAGTCTGTTGTTAGCGCTGAAGATGACAACATCGTTGTCATAACACGTGTACGCAAGAAGTATATAACTTTTATGGTTTAAGGTTCAAGTAGATTTTATATCTTTACTATATTCATCTTGTTCATTTATAGTCTTATTGAGTATGTAGAAAACATTAAAAAACACAAAACTTATTAACCTGAGAATTATGAAAATATCATCTATAATTTCCAAATACACCTCTCTAATAGTTAAACCTTTAGTGTTCAACTTTAAATAATGCAGCCTTTCTATGTTATACTTTATATTTCTTCTACATTCATCCTAACTATCAATTATGAGTGCCTATTGATAAGTTTAACCTCCGATGATCAGATGTAACTTGACTTTCAACTTTCATAAATGAAAAACATGCCTATAATAGTTGTTAGTATGCAACAATAATAATTTATGTCAACTGATACATTAAAATATGAGATATAGCAAGTTGTGGCCAATCGATATGATTGAAATAAATGTCTGAAATAGTTCTGACTCTGTGCAACATATCTTAAAACGTATGTGGCTTTCATGTATAGTTCAATTAGTCTTGATCCCATAGATGTACCTGAGCTAGCTTAATCTAGTTATTATAGGTTTTTAAATTATTTATAAATTATTACTATTTTATTTATCGTGCCAATTATCCTTTTAACATTTTTTAAATAAAACTTCTGTAAATAATTTTAATTAGAACAACCACCATTAAGAAAATATTGAACAACCATTTTCACTGCCATTTTTAGATAATTGTCGGATGCATTAAACTCATACCAACAGTTCAGTACCTTCCATTGAGGTTTCATTGTATATCTATGTTAACAAAACTGAGTAAAGAGACCGGCAAATTTGTACCTGTATTGCCACATATTTTAGAGGTAATTATTATTTTACTAGATTCTAATTAATTTTTATTAGCTACTTTTTCCTGTTGGTATAAATTCTGTGTTCTCTATTTTTAACTGACTGATACTGGGCTTATCGTTATTTTCATAAGTTCTGAGTTACTTTTTATTCATATTTTTTTAGGTTTTAAGTTTAGTTGATTTTCAAAAAAGACATTCAAAAACATCCATGCGGCCAATGGATTTTACTTGTGTTTTACGTTTGTCAAAATCACAGTTGCAAGAAAATGTGTTTAAAGATGCGGTTGTTGAGAGTGTACATAGTTCTTTAATGGAGTATCTTATAGTCGAAGCACATACAATTAGTTTTCCAGACTTGGTCGTACCACTTATTATTAAAGTTTGTTTTTATGCTACTAAATAATATTTATTACATATTGTGTACATTATTATTATTTTTTTGTTTATATAGTTGAAAGAGTTTATTAAAAATTGTAAAAACATGAATTACACACGTAAATTACGAAGTATATTGGACAAAGTAAAAGACACATCAAATCTAATAAGTGATAAAAGAGGGAAAAGCGGTATTTCTCTGTATGACCTAAAAGCAATCCAAGCATGGGAATCTGACATTAAATTAGCTGGCACGCCAATGTCGCAATATTATGATAGTTGGTTCAAGTTAAACCAACAACAAATGGCTAGAAAATTAACCAACAATATTGCTGTAAGAAAAATACATACAAATTACTAACAATTTTTTTTTTCTAACAAATTATTTTACAGTAACAATAATGATTAATAAGACAATTATTAAATATCAAAGCTGCCTAGGCTTGTGCTAGGTGAAATAAAAGTTAAGTTATCTTATTTTACATTATTTCTTTGTTTTTATTTTTTATTAGCTAGGAGAATTTAATATACCTACTTTGATCAAACATAAGCCAAAACAAAACGGTAATGATGGTCCAGCAGAACTGTTTCCATCTGACGATGAGGATTTTGAAGCAAATTTTGGGTAAATCATTCGAATATAATTTTTTTTTAATTTTTAATAGTACTAGCTTTTGACATTTATGTTTAAAATAATAGTGTGGTTTAAATGTGAGATTTTACTATTTTTAGGTCATCAGATGATGATAAAGATAACTATGAAGAAGAAGAAGATTATGATAATGATGATGATAACTAATGTGTTTTAGTTTTTCATAAACCTATTAAGTGTTGATATTGTTTAATTTGCATTATATTAAAATGTGTTATTTATTTTATAACATGATAAATTTAGTGTAAATTTAACTATAGGTATTGTATTGGAATAAATAAAGACAATTTATTTAACAATAAAACAACTAATTATTAAATAGGGGTCTCCAATTTCGGTCCAGGCCTGTTCTGGCTTGCCAAGCTTCCTGATGTTTTGATAATATAAACTATAAATAATATTTATTTTTCAAGAAAATAAAAAAATAAAATAACGGTGGTTTGTAAATTGTTAGAGATCCTTGCATAATTAAAATATATTTAAAAAAAAACCTTTTTGGGCAGGTATTTTTATTATTATTTTATGAGAAGTGGCCCCTAAGATATTTTGCTTTATGATTCCAAATATCCAAATCGGAGACTGCAAATAAGATACAATAGAGACATATAGATTTCAGAATGCCCTTATTCGGTCTAAGTTGATTGTTGTATCCAGTGGCGTGACTAAAGACTAAAGCGCCCGGGGGCAAGACATTTTTATTTTGCGCTCTAAATTACATGTTAACCTAACCGCACAAAAACGCCCTACATTTTTCTTCCTCTGTACCAACGGTAGCTACTGGTTGTATTTTGATGGCAGTGTGGAAAAACGCTCAAACGACGAGAAACTATAAACGTGCCTGTAGAGATTTGACGTTGCGGTAAAATAATACAAATGCCATGTTTGATGTTATTACAATATGCAATCGTCGTTTCCCCCTCCGGGGGACGCCGGTCGCCGTTGTATATATTTTATGTTATTGTAATGATTTAATTTAACGGATGGTTTATATATATATATTTTTTTTTATTATTAGTCGGCGGAGGGAGATGTTGATAAGGCGGTTGCTCGTTAACGCTAAATCGAAACGAAACGCCGTGGCGAGGCGGCGATGGTTGTAAGTACAAACTGCCACAGTGCCACCGCTGTGCCGACGGGGTGTAAATGAAAAGCGAAATTAGCCAGACAAAGAGCTTTGATTGGTGACAGAGCCCTCGTAATTGATGTTATACACCAATGTTTTGCGAATAGTAGAGTTGAGTGAACGCACCGGCGAGGCGCGGCCCCGTCAATACAAATTCGTCTTTCCCCGTTAGTTACCCTCAAAGCAAAAATATAAATAGTATAATGGTATATTATTTCACTAACCGAACCAAAAAAAATTTGGTCTGTCCATTAATCCAAACTCAATTCCTCGTACCCAATCAATTCAATACGGCTAACTAAAACACAACAAATTTCAACATAATTGAAGAAGATATTATAATCTGTGATAGGATGGCAGAAGCTGATAAGTCACAAAAAGTGTTTTGTTAATTTTGTCATCATGATATGTTTTGAAATAGTAATTACACAAATTGGCAAAATATTGTATGACTGGGTAAAAGCATTGTTATGGCTTAAGCTATGATGATATAGAAGCATTACATAGAATACATTTTGCAGAACAACTTTAATTGTATTTTCTTAAAGTTGGAAAAAGAGACATACGGCTTGTGCCATCCTTCCGTAGATGTTAGAACAAAAATACTAGTATTTAAAATTAAAACAAATGCAAATTCATATTGGAATTTAGTAGTATGAATTTCAAAACTGTAAGCACAGTACAAAGCAGCTAGGTATCTACTTAATACTGGTAGTACAAAGTGAAGAGAGATTATGGCATTCAGTGCCGAGTGCGTAAATTGAAAATTGCTATTTTTATATCCCTAAAACATAAGATAGCTGCCGTAGAGACTAATAAAATTGAGAATTAATTTCAGTCATTAAGCAATAATTGTAATACATTAATAGTATTAATAATAGGTTAAAGTGAGATTATTCATATTATATTAGATGTTCAAGTTTGAATTTTTTTTCAATTATATCCACTGATTTCGAGGGAAACAAAATAATTTTTATTTAGTTCACGTTAAATTTTCGTTAACGTTTTCAATCCTCATTTTTAACTCAAAAAAATATTCAAACCATTCGATATAAAATAGTATATTCTAAAATTAGGGTTTGAATTTTAGGGGTGCTAATTTTGAGTCTAGGGTTGCTAAAGTCTCCCTAGCACCCCCTAGCTGTGCCTATGTCTATACATTCGTATAGTAGGAGTTGTTACTAGATTCTTCCCAATTCTTTAATCTTCAAAATTAGCATAAAACAAACCAGCATAGTACAACCCGATTTCAGTGTAACAAACACATTGTTAGTTTTTCCAAACTTAAGAACGTTACTGTAAATTGTCTTCTATTGTTTATTATTTGTATGAATTAGATCTCATAAATAATAGGCCCTATTGTAAACTAATAATTTTCACCTATTTAATTGCATAATGTTTTTAATTTTTCATGCTTGATAATTTTTGAGCAACCGCGTTGGTTAATAATTATTATTTCTCATATTATTATTATATAAAAAGATACTATCGGTTTCAACCACATTAGTGGTACTATATTACACAAAACTTGAAAGTTTGTAGATGATGTATATTTATATTATTTATAAGGGCATACGCGAATTTAAATTATTGAAGTAGTATAGTCGCTGTTTAAATAATCTCTCCCCTGCAGTTTGATTGCCGAGTTAATGTAAACGAGGATCGGTGCACTCGGAACTGCTCGATTACTATGTAAATTGAATGCTCTGCATGATGTTTGTGTTTGTCACAATTTATGAAAACGAGGCATTTTGCCATACACACAATAACAGTCGAGTAAATTATTTATATTTCAACACCACCGCCTATGTGACTAACTAAGTGTATACGAATTGCCCGCTGCTCAACTTAATGATCAATTTACATTTTTATGAACTACAGCATTGTGCTTGTGCCCGCGGGATTGAATATTAGTACCGGCATTAAACAACAAGATGTTAAAAAAAAAAAAAAACTGTACAAATAACTTACCTATTAAATAATAGCTAAACACGATATTCGATGGAAAAATGAAAATTTATTTTTAATCAAGATATAATTTATTTATGAATTTTGTGGACATGGCTAAACAATAAGACTAAAGCGTAATAAAGCTTCCATATACCTACATGTTTATTGAGTGATGACTGAGTTTATTGACTTACGTCATAATATGTGTCTAATTTAGCATTTATAGCTTCAATAAACAAGGCCGAACGACACTATAAACATTTCTAAAGTATTCAAATTGTTATACAGAGTTGTTAATTAGTACTCAAGTACAAAATAACATTTTTACGAGAAAAGCAAACAACTGTTTTAAAAACTTTTTATTTATAATTAATTGATTTTTTTATTACCAATTTATAATTAAATTATTTGCAAATGTGGCGGTAAAAATCCTTATACTTACTGCTGCTTATCTTGGTATTTCAATTCAATTGGTAAATCATTTTTCTTAGTCTCGTGGATGTTTCAAGACACTAACCTAAACAATTTACAAACATAAGTCCATTCCGCCCGAAAAAAAACAAAAAAATAAGTAAATTTTGGATTTAAGTGCTCTCCTACGGAAACTCCTCAATCAACATTATTATTTTTTGTGGTTGTAAATTAAATTATACCATAATAATGATTTAACTACCTACTGGACTAGTTTCTTCGTACATATGTGTATAGTCTATATTATTATACATATACAGCTTCACATTTAGGTGCCACTTGTTTGGTAAGCATCAAGTAGGCAGCCGGCTTGCATCCAACCGTCAAATCTACTAAACGTCTGTGTCTCAATCTGAAGGAAATACACAAATGTTAAACATGAAAAAAAATGTAGTTTAAAAATCGTATGTATAAAATCGAAAGACTTTCTCTTCGAAATTGAGAAAAAACACATAAAAGTATTAGTGATGGGAATCCGAAAATCCGGATTTTTCAAAAAACGCTATTAAGCCACTTGAAAATCGTATAAATATAAAATATTATTACAATATAAAGCTGTGTATGTAAGTAAAATGTTTTGATACAAATTAAAAAAAATAACTTAACTTTATCCATAAAATTCTTTCGGATTTCAACAAATCTGAAATCCAAAAGCAGTTTATTTTTTGGTGTTGTGTTTTATTTTTACATTTTCATATAAGATATTTTACTTAGGTACACAGTTTTATACTGTAAAAATATTTGACATGCTTTTTAAGTGGCTTAAATTGCTTTTTTATTTGTAAAAATACGGATTTTTGGATTCCCATCATTAAGAAAACATATTTTACAATATGTACCTATGGCACGATATTGCCATTTGCCATTACAGTATGGTGTAATTTGGTCATGTTCGTGGGGGGGGGGGGGGGGTAAAAAAAATTGCATACATTTCACTCATTACCCTCTCCTCCCCCAATTTTTTTTTTGTATGTATACCATTGTGATATATATAACGTCAAGGGGGGATACGACACTCAAATCCCCCCGTAATTACACCACTAACCTATTACTATAATATAATAATCAAATAAGTTCGAAATTTGTTCGTGCGGTATCCTTTTGTTATATTTTATAACATTACAGATGGTCAATAAAAACAAAATAAAAAAATTATTATATAGCTTAGATCTTATACCGTGCTGGGTGCTCGATTTTTTTTCCATTTATCTTTCTATAGGTATATAAACAACTATGTTTAAACAAACCGATGAGAGTTTTACTCACTGCACATTGAAAAGAAAGATACCCTTTATTCAGTTCATTTCACTGGGAAGCGCATAGGTTGAACAAAATTAGCAATGATATGTTGCGGCTTATCAAGTCAAGTAGTCACATGAGAGGGACGTCGGTGCAGGGTGCTTAATGCCGGTCATTCATCGGCAACAGTTTCGACCATTAATTTGGCCACCATTATATTCGATTGCGCACACGTGGCTTTAAGCCACTTTAGCCGGGAGATGTACGGTTTTTTGTATACAAAATTAATCAAGTGCATAAAGTGTCCTCTGTATATGTAATTGCAGAGCGGACTACGGGCTATCATGTTGCGAGTAGGTATAACGTTATTTGCGATGCTGTAGGGGCTTATTTACAATGTGCTTGAACAATAATACTTCTAATAGCCGTTCCCTCAAACGTCTATCGCGCTCAGT